AGTCCACCCCTAAGTGACAAGGTCCAAATTGGGCCCAAAGTGTCAATATTTTGTGTGGCCGCCATTATTTTCCAGCACTGCCTTAACCCTCTTGGGCATGGAGTTCACCAGAGCTTCACAGGTGGTCACTGGAGTCCTCTTCCACTCCTCCATGATGACATCACGGAGCTGGTGGATGTTAGAGACCTTGTGCTCCTCCACCTTCTGTCTTCCACTCCTCCATGACGACATCATAGAGCTGGTGGATGTTAGAGACCTTGTGCTCCTCCACCTTCTGTCTTCCACTCCTCCATGACGACATCACAGAGCTGGTGGATATTAGAGACCTTGCGCTCCTCCACCTTCCACTCCTCCATGACGACATCACGGAGCTGGTGGATATTAGAGACCTTCCACTCCTCCATGACGACATCACGGAGCTGGTGGATGTTAGTGACCTTGCGCCCCTCCACCTTCCACTTCTACATGATGACATCACGGAGCTGGTGGATGTTAGAGATCTTGTGCTCCTCCACCTTCCATTTCAGGATGCCCCACAGATGCTCAATAGGGTTTAGGTCTGGAGACATGCTTGGCCAGCCCATCACCTTTACCCTCAGCTTCTTTAACAAGGCAGTGGTTGTCTTGGAGGTTTGTTTGGGGTCGTTATCATGTTGGAATCCTGCCCTGCGGCCCAGTCTCCGAAGGGAGGGGATCATACTCTGCTTCAGTATGTCACAGTACATGTTGGCATTCATGGTTCCCTCAATGAACTGTAGCTCCCCAGTGCCGGCAGTACTCACGCAGCCCCAGACCATGACACTCCCACCACCATGCTTGACTGTAGGTAAGAGACCCTTGTCTTTGTACTCCTCACCTGGTTGCCGCCACACACGCTTGACACCATCTGAACCAAATCAGTTGATGTTGGTGTCATCAGACCACCAGACATGGTTCCAGTAATCCATGTCCTTAGTCTGCTTGTCTTCAGCAAACCGTTTGGGGGCTTTCTTGTGCATCATCTTTAGAAGAGGCTTCCTTCTGGGATGACAGCCATGCAGACCAATTTGATGCAGTGTGCGCCGTATGGTCAGAGCACTGACAGGCTGACCCCCCCCCCACCCCTTCAACCTCTGCAGCAATGCTGGTGGCACTCATACGTCTATTTCCCAAAGACAATCTCTGGATATGACGCTGAGCACGTGCACTCAACTTCTTTGGTGGACCATGGCGAGGCCTGTTCTGAGTGGAACCTGTCCTGTTAAACAGCTGTATGGTCTTGGCCACCGTGCTGCAGCTCAGTTTCAGGGTCTTGCAATCTTCTTATAGCCTGGGCCATCTTTATGTAGAGTATAGAGGATGTCAGTGACAACAAGTCAGTCCCCCCCCCCCCCCAGTGTCAGAATACCCGCTACAGTCCCGCTATAAATCGCCGATTGCCGCCATTTTTAGTAAGAAAAAAAAAAAATCCCAGTATCTATACCGCCATTTGTAGACGCTATAACTTTCACATAAACCAATTAATTTACACATATTGGGATTTTTTTTAGCAAAGACATGGAGCAGAATACATTTTGGCCTAAATTTATGATGAAATTTGATATTTTTTATTTTTTTTTCTGGACGTTTAATAGCAAAAAGTCAAACATATATTTTTTTTCTCAAAATTGTCGGCCTTTTTTTTTTTTTATAGTGCAAAAACTAAAAAAAAAAAAAAAAAAAAAAAGCAGACGATCAAATATCACCAAAAGAAAACTCAATTCGTGGGAAAAAAAAAAAAAAAAAAGATGTAAAATTCATTTGGGTGCAGCGTTGCATGACCGCATAATTGTCAGTTAAAGTAAAGCAGCGCCGTAACGCAAAAAAATGGCCTTGTCAGGGAGGGGGCGGGGAATCCTCAGGAGGGCAAGTGGTTAAACAGCACAGTGGCTAAATGGTTAGCACTTCCGCCTGGCAGTACTAGGGTCGTTGGTTCAAATCCCAGCCATGGCATGTTCTCCCTGTGCCTGCGTGGGTTTCCTCTGGGTACTCCCGGTTTCCTCCCACACTCCAAAGACATGCTGGAAGGTGAATTGGCTCCTGTCTAAATTGTCCCTAGTATGTGTATGTATGAATGTGAGTTAGGGACCTTAGATTGTACACCCCTTGAGGGTTAGGGACTGATGTGAATGTACAATATATATGTAAAGCACTGCGTAAATTGACGGCGCTATATAAGTACCTGAAATAAATAAAATTCTTCACAACTTTATCCCTGACCTGTCTGGTGTGTTCCTTGGGCTTCATGATGCTGTTTGTTCACTAATGTTCTCTAACAAACCTCTGAGGGCTTCACAGAACAGCTGATTTATATTGACAATAAATTACACACAGGTGGACTCTATTTTACTAATTAGGTGACTTCTGAAGGCAATTGGTTCCACTAGATTTTAGGGGTATCGAAGTAAAGGGGGCTGAATACAAATGCACACCACACTTGTCAGATATTTATTTGTAAAAAATGTTGAAAACCATTTATCATTTTCCTTCACAATTATGTGCCACTTTGTGTTGGTCTATCACAAACAATACATTTACGTTTTTGGTTGTAACATGACAAAATGTGGAAAATTTCAAGGGGTATGAATACTTTTTCAAGGCTCTGTGGTTTAAGACATTAAAAGAATTGTCCTGGAAACAAAGTGTTGGAATTCCTGATCTGTATACTTGTCCCGGGTCAGACAGCATTGGAGCCAAAGCATTACCAGGTGCAGCAACAGCAGCCACTGCGATTGTGACAGTCCCACTACTGGTACAGTGACACCATAGAAGACCAACATCGCTCAGGACAGCTGAAGACCTCCAGTGTGTCTGTACTGGGGCCCATCACATCAAACCCCCCCCCCCCCCATGTCAGATGTCCCCCTATTACATCAGGGACCCCCCCCACATTGGGGACTCCCCCATCACATCAGAGGTTCCCTCCACCACATCAGAGACCCCCATCACATCAGAGGTTCCCCCCACAACATCAGAGACCCTCATCACATCAGAGGTTCCCCCCACAACATCAGAGACCCCCCCATCACATCAAACCCCCCCCCATCATGTCAGATGTCCCCCTATTACATCAGGGACCCCCCCCATCACATCAGAGGTTCCCCCCACAACATCATGTACCCCACATCACATGTTCCCCCCGCAACATTAAGAGACCCCCATCACACCAGATGCCCACATCAAATAAAAGACCCCCATATACATCACATCAGAGGTTCCCCATATCACATCAGAGGTTCCCGACCACATCAGAGACCCTCCCATTGCATCAGAGTCCCCCCCCCACATCACATCAAGGGCCCCCCATCACAGAGATCCCCCCACAACATCAGAGGCCCCACAATCACATCAAAGACCCCCCCCCCCCACAATAGAAATCCCCCTCTTTCCCATCACATCAGCAACATCAGAGGCCCCAGCACAACATCATGGACCCATTACGTCAGACCCCTCCACTACCTCAGGGACCCCCATCACATCAGAGACCCCCCACAACTTCAGGGACCCCCTCCCAAAACATCAAGGACCCCCATCCCACCAGAGACCCCCCCATCACATCAGAGACCCCCTCCTACCACATCATGGGCCCCCCATCACATCAGGCGTTACCCACAAAACTTCAAGGATCACATCACAGGTTCCCCCCATCACATCAGGTACCCCCCATCACATCAGAGGTTCCCCCCCCACATCAGAGACTCCCCCCCCCCCACATCATCAGGGACCCTCCAATCACATTAGTGGTCCCCCGCCCCAGAAGATCAGGAACCCCCATCACATCAGAGGCTCCCCCAATCACAGCAGAGGTCCCCCCTATAACATCAAAGACACCCCATCAAATGAGGGACCCACCATCACATCAGGAACAATCCATCACATCAGACAATTCCCCCATTCACCCCCACATCAGGGACCCCAATCACATCAGAGGTTCACCCCACATCAGGGACCCCAATCACATCAGAGGTTCACCCCACATCAGGGACCCCAATCACATCAGAGGTTCACCCCACATCAGGGACCCCAATCACATCAGAAGCTCCCCATCACATCAGGCCCCCCCATCACATCAGAAGCTCCCCATCACATCAGAGGTTCACCCCACATCAGGGACCCTAATCACATCAGAGGCTCCCCCGTCACACTAAGGACCCCCCATCACATCAGCAACATCACAGACCCCCCCCCACAACATCAGAGGTTCCCCGCACAACAGAGACCCCCCCCCCCCCCCCCCCCGTCACAAAATCAGGGACCACCCTTCCCATCACATCAGCAACATCAGAGCCCCAGCACAAAATCAGAGGATTCCCCCCCCCCATTACATCAGAGACCCCCCCCACAACATCAGGGACCACCATCACATCAGAGACCCCCCCCACAACTTCAGGGGACCCCATCACATCAGAGACCCCCCACAACTACATCAGGGACCCCACCATCACATCAGAGACCCCCCCACAACTTCAGGGACCACCATCACATCAGAGACCCCCCCCACAACTTCAGGGACCACCATCATCACATCAGAGACCCCCCACAACTTCAGGGACCACCATCACATCAGAGACCCCCCCACAACTTCAGGGACCACCATCACATCAGAGACCCCCCCCCCACAACTTCAGGGACCACCATCACATCAGAGACCCCCATCACATCACGGATCCCCCCAAAACTTCAGGGACCCCATCACATCAGAGGTTCCCCCCCACATCAGGGCCCCCATCACGAATCCCCCCAAAACTTCAGGGACCCCATCACATCAGAGGTTCCCCCCTACATCAGAGACCTTCACATCACCAGCACTCATCCATCACCAGGGTAACGCGGCGACCCCTGTCTAGAGCGGGCGGTACGATCTTGCCAGCTTTCCACTCCATGGTGCCTTTCTTCCGGTCTTCACAATCAACTTTATTTGTAGAATTCACCGACAAACACTTCGATGTACGGTGGCTGCAGACAGACAAACCTCGGGATCCATGGCGGCACACCTGAAAAAACGGGTGTATGAGGAGTTCACCAAAGTGGTACAAGTGAGTGAAACATGTCAGAGGAGGGGGGCTGTGTGCCTTCTCTTCCACAGGCAGACGGTACTGTGAGCCGCTCACTTTCTCAGGAAAGGCTGGGGATCAGGTTAAGGCCTACCGGTACATGATGACTAGGAGAAGCCCCCGTTGGTAGTGAGCAGTGTGTGGTAGGACAGGTCTGTGATGATAGAAGACGGTCCTATAGGAGGTGTGTGATCTCTAGGACTGCAGGCCTCTCCACCCACCATCACAGGTCACATATAGGTGGGGGCACCTCTCAGGGACTTCAATGGGGGATCTTCCTGGACTCCTGGGAGTCTCACTCCTCCCGTTACATTTCCTGTAGCACACAGTCAGTATAGGGACACCTGGGATTCTCACTTCTTATGTTACATTCTCCACCGTTGGTCAGAGCTTACACAAGATTAATGACCGTCTCCCCTCCCCCACCTTCAGGGGACATGACTGTGATCCCGGTGTAAGCACCATGCTGGTCTGTATCAGAGCTTACACTGGGAGAATGGCCATCTCCCCCACCTGCAGGAGACATGACTGTGATCTCGGTGTAAGCTTCATGCTGGTCTGTGTCAGAGCTTACACTGGGAGAATGGCTGTCTTCCCCCTGCCACTGATCCCGGGGCAAGCTCCATGCTGGTCATGAGCTTACACTGGGAGAATGGCCATCTCCCCTCCCCCACCTGCAGGGCAAGACTCTTGGTGTAAGCTCCATGCTGGTCTGTGTTCAGAGCTTACACTGGGAGAATGGCCATGTCCCCTTCCCCACCTGCAGGAGACATGACTGTGATCCTGTGGGAAGTTTCATGCTGGTCTGTTTCAGAGCTTACACTGGGAGAATGGCTGTCTCCCTTCCACCTCACCTGCAAGAGACATGACTGATCCCGGGGGAAGTTCCATGCTTGTCTCTGGAGCTTACACTGGGAGAATGGCCATCTCCCCTCCCCCACCTGCAGGAGACATGACTGTGATCTTGGTGTAAGCTCCATGCTGGTCTGTGTTAGAGCTTACACTGGGAGAATGGCCATCTCCCCTCCCCCACCTGCAGGAGACATGACTGTGATCCTGTGGGAAGTTTCATGCTGGTCTGTTTCAGAGCTTACACTGGGAGAATGGCTGTCTCCCTTCCACCTCACCTGCAAGAGACATGACTGATCCCGGGGGAAGTTCCATGCTTGTCTCTGTCAGAGCTTACACTGGGAGAATGGCCGTCTCCCCTCCCCCAATTGCAGGAGACATGACTGTGATCCTGTGGGAAGTTCCATGCTGGTCTGTTTCAGAGCTTACACTGGGAGAATGGCCGTCTCCCTTCCCCCACATGCAGGAGACATGACTGTGATTCCTGGGCTAGCTCCATGCTGGTCCGTGTCAGAGCTTACACTGGGAGAATGGCCATCTCTCCTCACCCACCTGCAGACTTTCTGAGTCTGGTCCGTGTCAGAGCTTACACAGGATCGGTGACCCATCCCCTCCCCAGTGTGTCAGTGCTTGGGTCTGGTGATTGGTTGCACTGGCCTGAGCCCCGCCCGGTGAAGAGGTGGTAGGAGGTCACTCATTCCCCATGTCTGGATGAAGCTGGTATTTCCGAGGGCTCCGTCAGATGAACAGAATGGCGGGGAGCACAGCAATAATTCTTTTGGTTGCTCGTTAAGGCGGGCGATCCAATCCCGTCCTCTGTGCAGAGGCGTTGTCATGGAGCTGCATGCAGGCCGCCCATAGAACTACAGCAGACATACCAAGAGACCGTCCCCTCCCTGCAATACCCATCCAACATACTGGGCTCTGATCTGTTATCATGGAGTCTCTGATCACTGATTGGACACTGACTGAGAGATACAAAGTAACAACATTACAATGTGCTGACAGCAACAATGTACTTCATGTAATCCTATATCAGGTGATCGGCCCAAAGTCAGCGCCTTCTCCACACCAACTGTCACTTGTAGAACTTACAGACAACCAGCCAGACAGCGGATAATATGCTTCACTTCTACACTTCTTCATCAAAACCTGTTACTACTGTACACAAACATCACCCCGGGATCACCCCAATTCCTACCCCTTCACCCCCTGGGATCACCCCACTTCATGCCCCTTCACCCCTGGGATCACCCCAATTCCTGCCCCTTCACCCCTGGGATCACCCCACTTCATGACCCCCTTCTAACCCCAGGATCACCCCACTTCATGCCCCTTCAAACCCCAGGGATCACCCCGATTCCTGCAACTTCACCCCTGGGATCACCCCGATTCCTGCCCCTTCACCCCTGGGATCACCCCGATTCCTGCCCCTTCACCCCTGGGATCACCCCAATTCCTGCCCCTTCACCCCTGGGATCACCCCAATTCCTGCCCCTTCACCCCTGGGATCACCCCGATTCCTGCCCCTTCACCCCAGGATCACCCCGATTCCTGCCCCTTCACCCTGGGATCACCCCGATTCCTGCCCCTTCACCCTAGGATCACCCGATTCCTGCCCCTTTACCCCGGGATCACCCCGATTCCTGGCCCCTTCACACCCGGGATCACCCCGATTCTGCCCCTTCACCCTGGGATCACCCCGATTCCTGCCCCTTCTCCCTGGGATCACCCCGATTCCTGCCCCTTCACCCTGGGATCACCCGATTCCTGCCCCTTCACCCTGGGATCACCCTACTTCATGCCCCTTCACCCCTGGGATCACCCTACTTCATGCTCCTTCACCCCTGGGATCACCCCACTTCATGCTCCTTCACCCCTGGGATCACCCCACTTCATGCTCCTTCACCCCTGGGATCACCCCACTTCATGCTCCTTCACCCCTGGGATCACCCCACTTCATGCCCCTTCACCCCTGGGATCACCCCACACTTCATGCCCCTTACCCCTGGGATCACCCCGATTCCATGCCCCTTCACCCCGGGATCACCCCGATTCCTGCCCCTTCACCCCGGGATCACCCCGATTCCTGCCCCTTCACACGGGATCACCCCGATTCCTGCCCCTTCACCCCGGGATCACCCCGATTCCTGCCCCTTCACACCCGGGATCACCCAGATTCCTGCCCCTTCACCCCCGGGATCACCCCAGTTCCTGCAACTTCACCCCCGGGATCACCCCAATTCCTGCCCCTTCACCCCCGGGATCACCCCAATTCCTGCCCCTTCATCCCCGGGATCACCCCAATTCCTGCCCCTTCACCCCTGGGATCACCCCAATTCCTGTACTTTCACACCTCATCAGATCACCCCAATTCATCCACCTTCATAGTGCAACCCAGTTCCCGCCCCTTCACCCCTCAGATCACCCCAATTCTTGCCTCTTCACACTCCATGAGATCATCCCAATTCCTGCCCCTTCACCCCACGGATCGCCCCAATTCCTGCCCCTTCACCAATGGGATCACCCCAATTCCTGCCCCTTCACCCCTGGGATCACCCCAATTCCTGCCCCTTCACCCCTGGGATCACCCCAATTCCTGCCCCTTCACTCCTCGGATCACCCCAATTCCTGCACTTTCACAACTCATCAGATCACCCCAATTCATCCACCTTCATAATGCAAACCAGTTCCTGCCCCTTCACTCCTCAGGTCACCCCAATTCCTGCCCTCTTCACCCCTCAGATCACCCCAATTCTTGCCCCTTCACACTCCATGAGATCATCCCAATACCTGCACCTTCACACCTAAGATCAGTCCCAATTCCTGCCCCTTCACCCTTCAGATCACCCCAATTCCTGCCCCTTCACACCTCATCAGATCACCCAAACCTCCTCCACCTTCATACTGCAACCCAGTTCCTGCACCTTCACCCCTCAGATCACCCCAATTCCTGCACCTGCAGGCCTCAGGTTATCCCAGAGCCCTGTATACATTAGTTTAGCTCAGGCTGGATATATGTGGGGGAGCACCAATACCTGCCTTTAATTCTCTAGATCATCACTGTGCTCCCTCTGCAGCAAAAGCACTCCTGTCTCTAAGGGCTCGTATACACTAGCATTTGGGGGGGTGCTAAAAAAAAACACAGTTGAGACACGTTTTTACTGCCACCTCCCTCAGCCGCTCCCCTTAAGCTGCAAAGTCTGAGAGTATACAATTGCTGTGCGGCTGCTGCAAGAATTAAACCCCCTGTCCTGACCACAACCGCACAACCCTTTCATGATGGTCCACAGCCTTGTGCAATGCATGCAGTTGCAGTACCATGGTGCAGCATTTACAAAGTAAAACAGGCAGCAAGGAGGCAACACATCGCTTCTTCACTGCCTATCAAATTCCTCTAAGCGATCTGACCACGGATCGCTCTTCAGAGGCGTGGCGGTGACAACTATTAGTGTAAATCTAGCCTTCTGATCTTCCAAAGTGTCCTCTGTGCAGGAGGGGCGACAGCCAATGGCACTGAAAAAGTCATTGTATGTCAGGGTTTTCTCAACCCTTGTAATACGCTATTAAGAGACATAACCACCTTCTTATCTCTTCTTTCTGCATAGCAGCAGCCGCTTGAGGACATCTCAGCAAAGAAGCTCAGACTGACCAAGCCCAGCAAGTCGGCCGCGCTTCACATCGATCTGTGTAAGGCCACGTCGCCGGCTGACGCTCTGCAGTACCTCTTGCAGTTTGCACGCAAACCCGTGGAGGCAGAGAGCGTGGAAGGAGTGGTGAGGATCCTGCTGGAACATTACTACAAGGTAGGTGGAAGCCATCCGCAGACTCTTCCATTTCTTTCTGGCAGAGCGAACCTACTTATCTCCACGGCTTGGTTTGTAGGAAAATGAGGCCTCTGTGCGTCTGAAGATCGCATCGCTGCTCGGCTTATTATCCAAGACTAAAGGATTCTGTCCGGACTCTGTGGTGGATGATGTGATCAGTTCTGTGCAGAATGAAAGTAAGAAAAGACAAAAACTGCCAATTTATCTGTCACATTTCAAGGCTGTCAGGGAAGACTTTCAAGGAATTATCCATTTTCGTGTCTGATTTTTTCATAGTCTTTTCAGAATTTCTGTACAATTCCAGCCATGATAAGATCCCCTAGACCTAGTTTTGAAGGGGGGGGTCAGTGTTGATGTCTGCTTTTTTTTTTTTTTTTTTTTGCTAGAAAATTACATAGAACCCCCAAACATTTTGTGTGTGTGTGTGTGTGTGTGTGTGTGTAAATATACAGTGGGGATCAAAAGTTTGGGCACCCCAGCTAAAAATTTGTATTAATGTGCATAAAGAAGCCAAGGAAAGATGGAAAAATCTCCAAAAGGCATCAAATTACAGATTAGACATTCTTATAATATGTCAACAAAAGTTAGATTTTATTTCCATCATTTACACTTTCAAAATAACAGAAAACAAAAAAATGGCGTCTGCAAAAGTTTGGGCACCCTGCAGAATTTATAGCATGCACTGCCCCCTTTGCAAAGCTGAGACCTGCCAGTGTCATGGATTGTTCTCAATCATCGTCTGGGAAGACCAGGTGATGTCACTCTCAAAGGTTTTAAATGCCCAGACTCATCTGACCTTGCCCCAACAATCAGCACCATGGGTTCTTCTAAGCAGTTGTCTAGAAAACTGAAAATAGTTGACGCTCGCAAAAGCTGGAGAAGGCTATAAGAAGATAGCAAAGCGTTTTCAGATGTCAATATCCTCTGTTCGGAATGTAATTAAGAAATGGCAGTCATCAGAAACAGTGGAAGTTAAAGCAAGATCTGGAAGACCAAGAAAAAATATCAGACAGAACAGCTCGCAGGATTGTTAGAAAAACAATTCAAAACCCACGTTTGACTGCACGATCCCTCCAGAAAGATCTGGCCGACACTGGAGTTGTGGTACACTATTCCACTATAAAGAGATACTTGTACAAATATGGTCTTCATGGAAGAGTCCTCAGAAGAAAACCTCTTCTACGTCCTCACCACAGAAATCATCGTTTGAACTTTGCAAATGAACATACATATAGACAAGCCTGATGCATTTTGGAAACAAGTTCTATGGACCGATGAGGTTAAAATTGAACTTTTTGGCCGGAATGAGCAAAGGTACGTTTGGAGAAGAAGGGGCACAGAATTTAATGAAAAGAACCTCTGTCCAACTGTTAAGCATGGGGTTGGATCAATCATGCTTTGGGGTTGTGTTGCAGCCAGTGGCACAGAGACCATCTCACGAGTAGAAGGAAAAATGGATTCAATAAAATTTCAGCAAATTTTGGATGGTAACTTGATGCCATCTGTGAAAAAGCTGAAGTTAAAGAGAGGATGGCTTCTACAAATGGATAATGATCCTAAAACACACCTCGAAATCCACGGGGGATTACATCAAGAGGCGTAAACTGAAGGTTTTGCCATGGCCTTCACAATCTCCTGACCTCAACATAATTGAAAATCTATGGATAGACCTTAAAAGAGCAGGGCGTGACAGACAGCCCAGAAATCTCAAAGAACTGGAAGACTTTTGTAAGGAAGAATGGGCAAAGATACCTCAAACAAGAATTGAAAGACTCTTGGCTGGCTACAAAAAGCGTTTACAAGCTGTGATACTTGCCAAAGGGGGCAGTACAAGATATTAACTCTCCAGGGTGCCCAAACTTTTGCAGACGCGCCATTTTTTTGTTTTCGGTTATTTTGAAAGTGTAAATGATGGAAATAAAATCTAACTTTTGTTGACATATTATAATAATGTCTAATCTGTAATTTGATGCCTTTTGGAGATTTTTCCATCTTTCCTTGGCTTCTTTATGCACATTAATACAAATTTTTAGCTGGGGTGCCCAAACTTTCGATCCCCACTGTATGTATATGTGTGTGTGTGTGTATATTACACATTATCTTACAGAAGTGAGTCCACCCCTCAGATTTTTGTAAATATTTGATTCTCTCTTTTCATGTGACAACACTAAAGAAATGACACTTTGCTACAATAGTGACCAGAGTGACTTTGGCTGGGAGGCCCATGGAGCACAGCCCCCTTTTGAGGGGGGTGACAAAGAAGCTGAGGGTGAAGACGATGGGCTGGCCAAGCATGTCTCCAGACCTAAACCCTATTGAGCATCTGTGGGGCATCCTCAAACGGAAGGTGGAGGAGCGCAAGGTCTCTACATCCACCAGCTCCGTGATGTCATCATGGAGGAGTGGAAGAGGACTCCAGTGGCAACCTGTGAAGCTCTGGTGACCTCCATGCCCAAGACGGTTAAGGCAGTGTTGGAAAATAATGGCGGCCACACAAAATATTGACACTTTGGGCCCAATTTGGACCTTGTCACTTAGGGGTGGACTCACTTTTGTTGCCAGCGGTTTAGACATTAATGGGTGTGTGTTGAGTTATTTTGAGGGGAGCAAATTTACATGTTTATACAAGCTGTACACTCTCGTCACATTGTAGCAAAAGCTCCTTCAGTGTCACATGAAAAGATAGTCATTTACAGAAATGGAGGACTCACTTCTGGGAGATATTGTATATGATTGTGTAGTGTGGCGTATATAATATATATATATATATATATATATATCCATGTGTGTGTGTGTATATTGTATATATATATATACAGTCATGGCCGAAATTGTTGGCACCCTTGATATTTCTCCAGGAAATCATGTATTTCTCACATGTATTGCAGATGTTTTGTACACATGTTTATTCCCAGTGTGTATTGGGACAAAACAAAAAAAGGGGAGAAAGAAAGCAAATTCAAATAATGTCACACAAACCTCCCAAAAAGGGCTGGACAAAAGTATTGACCCTTTCACAACTGCGGATAAATAAGGAATGTTACATGACACTTGTAAAACTCACCTGGGCCATATTTGGAAAAGGAGAGACGTTCACTTAACCTTTGCATTGTGTGTCTGTCTGTGCCACACTAAGCATGGACAACAGAAAGAGGAGATAGAACTGTGAGGACTCAAATTTGTGCAAAATATCAACAATCTCAAGGTTTTGAGTCCATCTTAGAACTAGATTTGCCTTTGTCCACAGTGCGCAACATTTAGTTTGCAACCCATGGCACTGTAGCTAATCTCCCTGGTCGTGGACGGATGAGGAAAATTGATGAAAGATTTGCAACGCAGAATAGTCCGAATGGTGGATAAGGCCCCAAAAAATGTTCCAAAGACATCAAGCTGTTAGGCTCAGGGAGCATCAGTGTCAGCGCGCGAAACACTGACATTTAAATGAAATACGTCACATTGTGAGCACAAGACATAAAAAAGCAAGTACATTTCAAAGATGTACAGTGTTGTCACATGAAAAGATAAAGAATCGAAAAATGATACAAAGAACAAACACACAGTACCAGAAATGGTGAGGGTTCAATGATGTGGGGTTGTTTGCTGGCCTCTGGCACACTGGGTGCCTTCTGTGTGCAATATCATGAAATGGATTACCAACAGGATTTTGGGTCGCACTGTAGGGCCCAGTGTGTCAGAAAGCTGGGTTTGTATCCTGGGTCTTCCAGCAGGACAATATACGTATAGTTCAGAAATGGATGGCATATAGAGCTGGAGAGTTCTGAATTAGCAGAGATCTAAATATGTGGAGGGATTAAAATTGGTTGGGTTTGTCCTTCTTAACTGGAGCTAGTTTGTCCAAAACATTATTTGCGTTATAGGAAGCGACTGATTCAAGTGTTATGTTTTTCAAAGGGTGTGCAACCAAAAATATTAAGTTAAGGGTGCCAAATACAGATTTTTGGGTTTTTGTGTGACATTTGTCATATTTGCTTTTCTGCCTCTGTTTACAATACATACAAAGGGAATAAACATGTGTATAGCAAAACATGTGTTAATGTATACCTTTTTTGTGTGAAATACTTGATTTTCAGGAAAAATATCAAGGGTGCCAACAATTTCGGCCATGACTGTATATTATTAGATTATTAGCAGAGGCTCTATGAATTACGGTGGGCATCTTTTTTGTCACACAGTATTTGAAGGTTTTTCAGTGACTATTTGCCAAACGATAATAATGGGATACAAAGGTAATCCGGGTGAATAAAGGCAAGTGAGGGTTACATTCGTAGAACATAAGGTGTGGCTTTTGATGACATTAGTATGGGCAGATCAGTCAAGCAGAAAATACATAAGTCGAGGAGCATATAACGAGAGGAGGGGATGTCCCACGGCAGGGAAAAGCAGATACATCGTTAGGGAAGGGCACACACATCACCCCGTGGACATTGCAGAGGCCATGGAGGACTCTACCCTGTCATATTTCCTAGGACAGCCTCTGTTGATGTCGGTGTCTTTATATTGTGGTAAGCTGGCATTGACCAGTTGTTTTCAGAACATGAGGGAAGGGAGAGTGGGCTTTTTCCATTGTAATGCTATGGCCTTTCTCTCATAGAACAAGAGCAGGTTAGGCAGGGTTTGTTCTGCCATTGTAGGCAGAAGATTTTCCATCAGACAAGATGTAAACCATTACACAGTGAGTGTGTGAAACAATACAATTTTATTATTCAGAATATAAATGCATAAAATTGCCAATCAATACACAGAAAACACCATTATCCATCTCCTCAACCCAAACGTTGTCAGTTTCACCATTAACCACTTGCTGACCGCAGATAGCAAAATGACGGCTTCTCTGTGGCCGGCCAGTTCTGGGAGGGTGTCATATGACGTCTTTCCAGAACGTGTCCTCCCGTGTGCCCCCAAGGATCTCCGTGATCGCTGTGTCCCCATGGACACAGATGATCACGTGATGTGGTAAAAGGCCAATCACAGCGTCCTTTTACCACGTGATCAGCTGTGTCCAATGACAAAGCAAATCACCGGTAAATGCAGTTGCTGGTTATTGCCTGCACTTTCCTCACACTGTCACAGCGTGAGGAAAGCACTGCCGATAACCGGCAATTGTCAGAGGAGGGATTGGCACTGATGATCAGTGCCCTGATGATCGGTGCCCATCAGTGCTGCCCAGCAGTGCCCAGCAGTGCCATCAGTCAGTGCCCATTATTGTTGCATATCAGTGCCAGCTCATCAGTTGTGCCCATCAGTGCCACCCACCTGTGCTCATCAGTGCTGCCCAGCAGTGCCGCCAGTCAGTGCCCAGCAGTGCCATCAGTGAGTGCCAAATCAGTGCCCATTATTGTTGCATATCAGTGCCAGCTCATCAGTTGTGCCCATCAGTGCAGCTTTATCAACGCGCACATCAGTGAAGGAGAAAAATTACCTGCAAAATTTTATAATAGAAACAAAAAAAAATTTAAGAAAAAAATTTTTTTTCATAATTTTTGCTCTTTTTTTTTTTTTTTTGTTTATAGCACAAAAAATAAAACACCCAGCAGCAAGTACATACCACCAAAAGAAAGCTCTTCTTTTTTTTGTAAAAAAATTTATAAAAATTTCATATGGGTGCAGTGTTGCATGACTGTGCAATTGTCACACAAAATGCGACAGCGCTGAAAGCTGAAAATTTGGTCTGGGCAGGAAGGGGGTATAAAAGCCCTGTAGGCAAGGGGTTAATACATATATATATATATATATATATATGATGTCATGGTTTGGCCTTTTTAGCACGGCAGCGACGTCCACCGGTCATCTGCTGGGCTGTTTATAAACACCGTCTGGGCTAACAACCACGGGATATTTTAGCATGGATTATTATCTTGACAAAAACTTGTAGCTTTGATATCCAATGATTCCTAGATGGATATATGTGAGACATAAACTCCAAGTAGTACTGCTGGGGTACTATTTTTAGAAAAAAAAATCCTATTTAGGATATGATGGTATATCTAGTCCCACAGCATGAGACGCCGGACAAAATGCAAATTAGAGGTATGCAAAGCAGGCAACCGTTGGGATAGGTATGGATAGGTAGGTAATCGCAGCAAAATAGTAACGGCATAAGTTCATACAGGCGGCAGGACTTGATGATGAGCACAGGCAGTAGGGTATACGGTCATTATAGCAAGGCAGTCAAGCCAATATAAACAGCTGTGAATGCTGACAGGGCTTTGCCACTCGCCATCGAGCCGGAACCTAAATTCCACTTCGCTCACCCTTTCTGCTGATGACGTTCAGTCCTTTGTGGAAATGCCGTGTTGTGCAAGGTGCTTGTGAAAGTTCGTCAGTAGCCTTCCCATCCAGGGAATGTAACTGTCGTGGTACGCCACTGTGCCGCTAACCGTGGTGATTGGACCGCACATATTTAGTTTAGCGGATTCCTAGTTTATTCATAACTTCTCTTCTCATTCTTTATTAACCTCCCTGGTGGTATTCCCGGGTGTAGCTCGGGGTAAAGTTTCAGCACCACAAGCGGTAACCCCGAGCTACACTTGGGAATACACTGCAGTGCTGCTCCGGGATCTATTCTTCTCTTACCTTGTCCTTCGCTCCCGCGATGTCCTCCGGCCAATGCCAGCATCTGTCTTCCGGGTTCCGTTCCCTGCGACGTCGGGACGTACGGGGGACGGAACTGGCGGGAAATTAAAAAATGTCAAAAAGTGACATTCACTAAAATCACATAGTAAAACATTCCTGTATCAAACCATTTCACATGCATTTTGTCCCGAGTGCTTTGTCCTGCGCCCTGCCTGCATTTTTACTGTTCTTTCTGCCTGGAAACTGAGAAACGTCCATGGCGTCCAAAAAGCGTCCCTTTAGGTCAAAATTGGCTTTAGACCGGCTAGAGAACAGCGATAGTAAATCAGAACCACTTGCAGAATTGAGTGATAATGATTCGTGGGGGAAATTCGTCATCAGACACTGAAAACGATTTTGCGACTTTGCTCAGCGATGTGCGAACTTGGCGCTATATTTCAAATTTCAGTGTTTTTGGTTTGATTGGATTATTGAATTACATTTATTATTATTATTATTTATTAAATTATAATTTATCATTTCGTGTTTCAAATTTTAACATACCCGGGATGTTTACTAGGCTCTTGTTCGGACAGATTACAGTGAGTTATTTCTAAAAATTACAGGCCTACAATAAAAAAAAACGACATATTTCCATGCAAAAAAAAATGTACCGCTTTGAGCACAGAAATATGGACATAATCAGACTGCTAGGGCGGTTAATATAGAAGATTTGTTAATCAGGCCCAGAATACACACATGCATTGAAGGTTGGAGAGGAACACTTGAAATCAATATATTTATCAGGGTCAACACTCTCCCCCCCCCCCCCCCCCCCCTTCTTCCCCTTCCCCTACGCCTTTCTCATGCTTCTAGCCGCAGACAGTAAATGAGAAGGTGAGCAGCACTGGAACAGAAGGACCGGATATACTATGAATACCCTGTGTACTTCAAAGAGGATTTTTTTAAAGCACATGTAGGACTCCACATTTCCCCAGCTGGTTAAAGCGGAGTTCTACCTGGGAAAAAAAAAAAGTCAGCAGCTACAAAAACTGTATCTGCTGACTTTGAAAATACAGCCACTTACCTGTCCCTCGGTCCAGCAGTGTCCTCACCACGGCTGGTTTCACCGGCCGTCTTCTCTCCCTGGTGCCGGCATCTTCAGTGTGGACACCCCGGCTGTGACAACTTGCGGCTTCACAGCCGGGTGTCCACTGCGCCAGCACGGGAATGGCTACACTTTGTGAATGGCCCCGTAGTCTTCTGGGACCTGTCACGTGTCCCAGAAGACTACGGGGAAGGAGGTGGGAGGACAACTTCTGCTTCCGATCACCTAGGCCAGGGGTAGGCAACCTGCGGCTCTCTAGCTGTTGTGGAACTACATTTCCCATGAGGCATTGCAAAGATTACAAAACTGACAGTTACAGCTATGACTTGCAGAGGCATGATGGAACTTGTAGTCCTGCGGCTCTCAGGTTGCCTACCCCTGGCCTAGGCAATCGCAGCGGAAGTGGGAGCGGGTACCTGTCAAATTCGGATACCTGTTCCCCAAAGGTGCCAAAGGCTTAAAGTGGAACTTCCCCTTTTGGGTGGAGCTCCGCTTTAAATAGGTCCTTTTTTCACTGATTTCACTCGTGACCACTATTGTCCTCATTGATAAGAGATCAGGATTTTATATGGAGGAAATGTGAGTTTTTTTGTTTTTTTTTTCTTTACATTGCAAAAATAACTCCACATATTCCAAATGTTCATGGATGCTGTTTGTGTTCCTCCATAGAGTCCCACCAGGTTCTGGCACAACTTCTGGACACTTTGCTGGAAATTGGAATTAAGTTACAAGACAGTGTCACTCTCCAGACCAGACTGGTAGAGATTTAGCCTACAAGGTAATAAGAACTGAAGTGATATGTGCACATGACAGTCGGTACAATAATTCATTTTTTTTTTTTTTTTTGCTTTGAGATGAGGACATCCAATATCATCCAGCTCTCTTTTTCCCTACCCTTACTGTTCTTGGTCCTTTACTTGAATTAATTGGATTACAGTTCTTGTAATTGAGGAAGCTCAGCATTACTGGGTGGTCTACATGTCAAAGAAGCCTGTTGGACCCTTGTGGGATTTTCCTTCCTTTTCTCTCCTTATTGGACAATTTACCCGTTATGTTTATTACACTGACAAATGAAAATTTTGGATGTTCCTGCACTTTCAAATCTCATGCAAGTGGCCACCAAGAAACGTTCAAAGCGTGAATCTCCCCAGAAAAAAAACAGACAAATCAAAACCGGACAAATGTTCCAACAGTTCCCTGCTTTTTGAAATTTAAAACAACATCAAATTTGGTTTAGATACATTGTAAAGCCCAACTGGCAGTGTTGATTGCCACTTTAAACAAGCTGCTAGCAAGCTTCAGCACTTTTTGAAATTTGTTTGAAGCCTGCTAGCAGCTTGCTTAAAGTAGAACTTTTTTTGTTTTGGATAGAATAAGGGAGGTTTATAACCCCCTGTCTGATTTTTGTTCCCCATCTGTGTCCCATTAGGGAGATTTCCCTTCACTTCATGTCCCACAACCAAACAGGAAGTGAGGAAAAAATCCCTGCAAATTAGGAGAATTTTTTTGGGACCCCCAGGTTACTATAACTAGTGTCCCCATTGGAAGATTTTCTTTTGCTTTTATTTTTATTTATTTCAGGTACTTATATAGCGCCGTAAATTTACAAAGCACTTTACATATATATTGTACATTCACATCAGTCCCTGACCCTCAAGGGGCGTACAATCTAAGGTCCCTAATTTACATTCATACATACACATACTAGGGACAATTTAGACAGGATCCAATAAACCTACCAGCATGTCTTTGGAGTGTGGGAGGAAAGCAGAGGAAACCCACGCAGGCACAGGGAGAACATGCAAACTCCAGGCAGGAGTGGTTGCCGTGGCTGGGATTCGAACCAACGACTCTATTACTGCCAGGCGGAAGTGCTAACCTTTTTGCCACCGTGCTGCTTTCAAAGGTAATGGTAAACAGAACAAGTAGAGAGGGTGAATCTCCTTAACAAGGGCACAGACAGCAATAAAAACTGACAAACCTTCTAATTCCTTTGTACTCTAAAGGCAAAACCTCCTTTTTTTTTTTTTTTTTTTTTTTTTTTTTTTTTTTTTTTTTTGCATACTACAGTATACTTAGGGAGGCAATCAACACTCCCATTAGGGTCTGTGTTCAACATTTACAATCTGGAGCTGAATGATACTTCAAAAGCTTCAAAACAACTTGCTGAAAGCTCTGTAAATGCTTTGTCAAAGCTTGCTGTTCACATTACTCTCAAACAAGTTGAAGGTTGTGTGTAACAGGCCTTAAAATGTATGTAAACCTTGAAATAAGGGCACACCCTGCACCTGATCCAGGTTCTGTTGTTTTGTGCCATTTAGTTGGCACTTTTTTGGTTAGCACTTCCTACGCCTAGGATGGCAACGCCACTCTTTATTTGGCCAAGGGGGAAGAGCCAGGAGCGCCGGCGGGGGACAGGAGAAGAAGAGTATCTGGGCTGCTGTGTGCAAAACCATTACACGGAGCAGGTAAGTATAAAATATTTGTTTTAATTAAGAAGAAAAACAAACCTTTAGTATCATTTTTAAGATTTGCTATGGTAAATGGGAACATCTAGAAGTGCTCATTTGTTCATTGTGCCTAAGCAGTGTCCTGACAAACATGCAAATACCCTCAAAAGTACAGCGCAATCATTTGTGCAACTTCGAATAATCCAATCATTGATCTAGTGCGAACAACAAAAAATGACCATTCTATAATTATGTGGAAAAAAAAACAAATTCTAACTTGTCTACACATACACTATATTGCCGAAAGTAGTGAGACACACCCCTCCAAATCATGTGATTCAGGTGTTCCAATCCCCTCCATGGACACAGGTGTATACATTCAAGCCCCTAGGCATGCAGACTGCTTCTACAAACATTGTGAAAGAATGGGTCGCTCTCAGGAGCTCAGTGACTCCAAGCGTGGTCCCGTGATAGGTTGTCACCTGTGCAATAAGTCCATCCGTGACATTTCCTGGCTACTAAATATTCCACGGTCAACTGTTAGTGGGATTATAACAAAGTGGAAGCAACTGGGAACAACAGCAACTCATCCACCAAATGGTAGGTCACGTCACATGACAGAGCGGGGTCAGCGCATGCTGAAGCGCACAGTGCGCAGAAGTCGCCAACTGTCTGCAGAGTCAATAGCTAAAGACCTCCAAATTTTGGTGTGGCCTTCAGATTAGCACAACAACAGTGTGTAGAGAGCTTCATGGAATGGGTTTTCATGGCCGAGCAGCTGCACCCAAGCCTTACATCACCAAGTGCAATGCAAAGTGTCGGATGGCGTGGTGTAAAGCACACCGCCACTGAACTCTAGATCAGTGAAGCCGCGTTTTCTGGAGTGACCAATCACACTTCTCTGTCTGGCAATAAGATGGACGTGTCTGGGTTTGGCGGTTGCCAGGAGAACGGTACTTGCCTGACTGCATTGTGCCAAGTGTAAAGTTTGGTGGAGGGGGGATTATGGTGTGGGGTTGTTCTTCAGGGGTTGGGCTTGGCCCCCTAGTTCCAGTGAAGGGAACTCTTAAGGCATCAGCATACCAAGACATTTTGGACAATTTCATGCTCCCAACTTTGTGGGAAGAGTTTGGGGATTGCCCCTTCCTGCTCCAACATGACTGCGCACCAGTGCACAAAGCAAGGTCCATAAAGACACGGATGAGTGAGTTTGGGGTGGAGGAACTTGACTGGCCTGCACAGAGTCCTGACCTCAGCCCCATAGAACACCTTTGGGATGAATTAGAGCGGAGACTGCGAGCCAGGCCTCCTCCCCCGACATCAGTGCCTGACCTCACAAATGTGCTTCTGGAAGAATGGTCCAACCTTCCCATAGACACCCTCCTAAACCTTGTGGACGGCCTTCCCAGAAGAGTTGAAGCTGTTATAGCTGCAAAGGGCGGGGCCAACTCAATATTGAACCCTACGGACTAAGACTGGGAGGCCATTAAAGTTCATGTGCGTGGAAAGGCAGGCGGCCCAATACTTTTGGCAATATAGTATAGGTTAATAATTATAGATTTATATTTAATTGGAGAATAAGGTTATCATTTTTTGTTGTTTGCACTTTATCAAGGACAAGTGTCAGAAATAGTTGCTAGTCACTTTGGGTGGGGGGGCCCATGGAACCCAGCTCACTTTGGAGGGGTGGGGAGACCCCTGTCTCAGCTCCCCAGATCCCTATTATGTTTAAGTCACCCTGTGCCTGTTAGGGGTACAGGGTGAAATGTCCTAATATTGGGGTGGGGGGTTGTTCATTGTTTAATGCCATGTGGTTGTGTCCCATTGTTCTATTGTGTGTCTTGCTTGGGAGAAAAACTATTATGGGATGTATGTGTTTGTGTATTGGCTTGGTGGGGGGTGTCTGCTGATGTCTCTTGTTGCTAGATGTGGTTTTCCCCACCCTGTGTCATTATGCAGGGAGGGGGGAATTGTTCCCTGAATGTATATATCTTATATCTGTGTTAAAATACAGTAGTCTATTTCCTGGTTTTACTTCGAGTGGTGTCTGTGGTCGGACAGGGAAGCGGTAGTCTAACGGAAATACCCAAGTGCAGTCGGGGTCCGGTTCCATTACGGTTTGGTTCCTTCTGGAAAAAAAAAGCCGTGCATTTCTTGGTATGCAAGGGTGCCTAGGCACTCCTGTACCTACAGCCTTGTAGTTGGATGTCTACAGTGTGAGATCTAAGGCACAGCTGCCTATAACTGCTAGTGCATGCAGTGAGGATTGTTGATGTCACTACTGTGTTGCTCACTGCTGGAGCCCTACCTCTACCAAGATGGCCAACTCCACATAGAGACATAGTGCAGAACAAGACATGGGACATTGGTAATGGGGGAAACGATCAGCTGAAGGGAGACCACAGGCACAGGTGAGCAGTCCTTTGTCTTTGCCTGCATTTTCTGGGCACAGCTTCCAGAGCTCAGTTCCTCTTTAAAATGATACTAAAGTCCTTGTTTTTTTTTTTTGTTTTTTTGTTTTTTTTAATAACGGACATGTCATACTTACCTGCTCTGTGCAGTGGTTTTGCACAGAGCAGCCCGGATCGTCCTCTTCTCTGGTTCCACACCGGCGCTCCCTCCTGTTAGGTGCTCCCAGAGTAAGCAGCTTGTTATGGGGGCACCTGAGCACTCGCACTTCCGAGTCTATTTGCACACAGAGCCGAGACTCCGCTGCGCCCCCCTTCCTCTCCTGATTTGCTCACTGGCTGTGATTGACAGCAGCAGGAGCCAATAGCTTCCGCTGCTGCCTCAGTCAAACAAGAGGAAGAGTCCCCAGAGAACCAAGGCTCTCGTGTACATCGTTGGATTGGGATGGGGCTTCTACACACAAGGTTTGTTTACCTTCAGGGATACAATACATGAAAGTAAAAAGCTCCTTTTAGAACCACTTCAACCTCCCTGGCAGTATTCCCGAGTGTAGCTCGGGGTAAAGTTTCAGTACCGGAAGCGGTAACCCCGAGCTACACTCGGGAATACAGTGAGGAACAGAAGTATTTGAACACCATGCGATTTTGCAACTTCTCCCACTTAGAAATCATGGAGGGGTCTGAAATTCACATTGTAGGTGCATTCCCACTCTGAGAGACAGAATTAAAAAAAAACATTCAGGAAATCACATTGTATGATTTGTAAAGAATGTATTTGTCTTGCACTGCTGAACAGAAGTATTTGAACACCTGAGAAAATCAGTGTTAATATTTGGTACAGAAGCCTTTGTTTGCAATTACAGAGGTCAGACGTTTCCTGTAGTCCTTGACCAGGTTTGCACTGCAACAGGGATTTTGGCCCACTCCTCCACACAGATCTCCTCTAGATCTGTCAGGTTTCGGGGCTGTCGCTGAGCAACACGGAGTTTCAGCTCCTTCCAAAGATGTTCTATTGGATTTAGGTCTGGAGACTGGCTAGGCCACTCCAGAACCTTGATATGCTTCTTACGGAGCCACTCCTTGGTTATCCTGGCTGTGTGCTTCGGGTCGTTGTCATGTTGGAAGACCCAGCCACGACCCATCTTCAATGCTCTGACTGAGGGAAGGAGGTTGTTGCTCAAAATCTCACAATAAATGGCCCCATTCATCCTCTCCTTAATACAGTGCAGTTGCCCTGTCCCCTTCGCACAAAAGCACCCCCAAAGCATGATGTTACCACCCCCATGCTTCACAGTAGGGATGGTGTTCTTGGGATGCAACTCGTCCTTCTTTTTCCTCCAAACACAACGGGTGAAGTTTAGACCAAAAAGTTCTACATTGGTCTCATCTGACCACATGACTTTCTCCCATGCCTCCTCTGGATCACCCAGATGGTCATTGGCAAACTTCAGACGGGCCTGGACATGTGATGACTTGAGCAGGGGAACCTTCCGTGCAATGCATGATTTGAAAACATGACTGCGTAGTGTTCTACTGACAGTGACCTTTGAAACTGTGGTCCCAGCTCTCTTCATGTCATTGACCAGCTCCTCCCTTGTAGTTCTGGGCTGATTCCTCACCTTTCTTATCATCAGTGATACCCCACGAGGTGAGATCTTGCATGGAGCCCCAGTCCGAGGGAGACTGACAGTCGTCTTTAGCCTCTTCCATTTTCTAACAATTGCTCCAACAGTTGATCTATTTTCACCAAGCTGCTTGGCAATTGCCCCGTAGCCCTTTCCAGCCTTGTGGAGGTCCACAATTTTGTCTCTGGTGTCTTTTGACAGCTCTTTGGTCTTGCCCATGGTAGTAGTTGGTGTCTGACTGACTGTAGGGTGGACAGGTGTCTTTAAAGAGCTCAGACAGGTGCTACTAAGTTAGATTAATGAGTGGAGTAGAGGTGGACTTTTTAAAGGCACAGTAACAGGTCTTTGAGAGCCAGAATTCTTGCTGTTTCTTAGGTGTTCAAATACTTATGTTCAGCAGTGCAGGACAAATAAATTCTTTAAAAATCATACAATGTGATTTCCTGAATTTTTTTTTTTTAATTCTGTCTCTCAGAGTGGGAATGCACCTACAATGTGAATTTCAGACCCCTCCATGATTTCTAAGTGGGAGAACTTCGCAGGGTGTTCAAATACTTCTGTTCCTCACTGTACACTGCAGCGTTGCTCCGGGATCCCTTCTGCTCTTACCTTGTCCTTCGCTCCCACGATGTCCCTCCTGCAGCATCCCCGGCAATGTCCTCCTACGGGGGACAGAACTGGCGGGAAATTTGAAAGTTGTAAAAGTGACATTCACTAAATACACTAAAATCACATAGTATAACATTCCTGTATCAAACCATTTCACATACATTTTGTCCCGAGTGCTTTGTCCTGCGCCCTGCCTGCATTTTTACTTTTCTTTCTGCCTGGAAACTGAGAAGCGTCCAAAAAGCGTCCCTTTAGGTCAAAAGCGGTTTTAGACCAGCTAGAGAACAGCGATAGTAAATCAGAACCACTTGCAGAATTGAGTGATAATGATTCGTGGGGGAAATTCCTCATCAGACACTGAAAACGATTTTGCGACTTTGCTCAGCGATGTGCGAACTTGGCGCTATATTTCAAATTTCACTGTTTTTGGTTTGGTAATATTATTGAATTAAATTTAATATTATATTATTATTTTTTATGATTATTTATTAAATTATAATTTATGATTTCGTGTTTCAAATTTTATCATCCCCGGGATGTTTACTAGACTCTTGTTCGGACAGATTTCAGTGAGTTATTCCTAAAAATTACAGGCCTACAATAAAAAAAAACGACATATTTCCATGCCAAAAAAATGTACCGCTTTGAGCACAGAAATATGGACCTAATCAGACCGCTAGGGAGGCTACGGTTCCCTTATGTGACCTGTTATGTGATGTGGTCATTCTAAGCTTTAGAAAGGTTTATGGTATTTACATTTTGCTGAATGAAATCTTGGTGACAACAAGGTGTAAATGTGTGGTAATTCTGTGCTTCGTGGCAGACTTTTTAAGATTGTATATGCTGAAAGTCATTGTTTTTTATGTCCTACCAGCTATGCTTTTACTCCCCAGTCACCATGTATTGTCCTCTCATATACAGTACCTGTCAGACACATCCCATGGAGTCCGAATCAAGTGTCTGCAGCTTTTGGGTTGTCTGGGTTCTGTGGATAAAGTCCCCCTAAAAGAGGCAGAAAGCACACCAACAAAACATGTACAGAAGATAATAGGTGATTATTTCAATGATCAAGACCCCCGCGTCCGGACTGCTGCTATAAAAGCCATGGTGAGTGTTATCTACACATTAATTATGACAAGTTATTCTCATGCTTTACCAATGCACTGCAAAGCAACAGGTTCAGTTTAATTACCCCCCCCCCTTCCCAGGTGCTTATGCTTACCTTCCTTTGCGATCTCCCTGGGGCAGAACAGTCCAATGGGAAGCCACTGTGTTGAAGCGGAACTCTGGTCTCCTGTCAAAAATAAGTCAGCTGACTTTTTAAAAAAACATCACTCACCTGTCCCTCAATCCAGTCCCCAGTCGGGTTCACCAGCCGTCCTCTGTCCCCGGCTCCAGCATCTTAACTGTGGGCACCTATATGTGAATCTGCAAGACTGCGCATTGTGAAAGGTCCCGCAGTCTCCTGGGAGCTGTCACATGTCCCAGAAGACTGCGAGGGGGAGGAGAACTTCCACTCCTGATCACCTAGGCCACGGGTGTCAAACTGGCGGCCCTCCAGCTGTTGCCAAACTACAAGTCCCATGAGGCATTGCAAGATTGACAGTTACAAGCATGACTACCAAAGGCAGAGGCATGATGGGACTTGTAGTTTCGCAACAGCTGGAGGAATGCCAGTTTGACACCCGTGACCTAGGCGGTCAGAGCGGACGTGGGAGTGGGTACCTGTCAAAATCGGGTACCCACTCAATAACCACCCCCTCCCCCCCACTCCCTAAAGGTGCCAATTCTTAACAGGGAGCAGGGGACAGGTCCTTTTTAAAGCAAAAATTCCCCTTTTGGGTGGGGCTTCAATGTGTTCAAAATGTACCTGTTTTATATGTATGTATATAAATGGCCGGATGGGGGCAGTGTAGGGGGGGTTGCCGTTCATAAACGGCGCCCGCCATTTTGGACTGTGCGCGCTCCCTGGGAGCGCGTGGCACCGCGACCCGGTGCCGCTGTTTCCTCTGGACACAGCGGAACACCAATCGCTGTACAGGACCTCTGTGTGAGGTCCCGATCATGTGATCACTGATTGGCCAATCCGTGATCACATGAATAGTAGTAAGCAAGATGTCACTTCTGACATCATTGCTTACTACGTGTGAAATCTGTGAATGATCACAGAGATCACATGGTATGAGGCTATTCACAACAGCCCTTGTACCATGTGACAAGCTGTGACCAATCGCAGCTCACACAGTATTTCTCAATGGCTGCAAGAATGCAGCCAGAGAGAAGGAGAAATGATTGCTTTTACAGCCTTTATGGGTATAAAAACAATCGGTGTAAAAAAAAAAAAAATCTTCATCACCCCCCACAAGTAGTACAGTGTCACTATGGTGACACTGTACTGCTAGGGCGACAGTATGTTAAAAACAACAAAAAAAAAACAAATAATATTAAAAAATAAAAATGGAAAAAAAAATATTTTTTTACTAAACAGATAACTGAATACATTTTGGCCAAGATTTAGAAAGATTATTTATTTGCAAAATATTATAAGAAAAACACTTTTTTTCAAAGTTTTTGGACTTTTTTTTCATTTATCTAGCAAAAAAATAAAAATCCCAGTGGTGAATAAATACTACCAAAATAAAGTTTTATCTTTCTCAAAAAAATGCCAAAACATTCATATGGGTACAGTGTTGCATGACCGCGCAATGGAAAGCTGAAAATTGGCCTGGACAGGAAGAGGGTGAAAGTGTCCGGACTGGAAGTGGTTAAAGAAACCTTGTTCGGTCACTAAAGAAATGAGGATGGCAACTCCCTGCAAGAGAAGATTTCGTATACTTACTTCTCCAGGGGCCCATGTGTCCCACCTCCCCTCTCTTCCAGTGCTGCAGCCTCATTTAGCAGCTCCAACATATAATAATTATGGGGGTGTCAGACGCCTATGTCCCTTACTGTGCACTATAGTTCCATCCTCTGGACCGTACATCAGTGCTGAGTCTTGTAGTGCTACAGGGGTTGGAGGGAGGACCATGGTGCACGCCCAACACTCAAACGTGAATTGTTCTTACATTGCTGTATGTCATTGGTTGATTTATGTGTTGTTGTCTTTGCTCAGTTACAGCTCCATGAGAGAGGCCTGAAGTTACAGCAAGGGACATACAGCCAGGTACAGTGCCTCAGAACCTAGTGACCATAATGCTGGACTTGTGTGAGTGATGGTGCACCAATTTATAAATCTTCCTAAGAACAGTGGTGTCACTGAGGTTGGTGTCACCTGGTGCGGTAAAACGTGATGTCACCTCCCCCCTCCCCAATATTTCCCATTTACTGAAAGTATTACACAGCTCCTGCACCTCTGGACCTCTTCACATTACACAGCTCCTGCACCTCTGGACCTCTTCACATTACACAGCTCCTGCACCTCTGGACCTCTTCACATTACACAGCTCCTGCACCTCTGGACCTCTTCACATTACACAGCTCCTGCACCTCTGGACCTCTTCACATTACACAGCTCCTGCACCTCTGGACCTCTTCACATTACACAGCTCCTGCACCTCTGGACCTCTTCACATTACACAGCTCCTGCACCTCTGGACCTCTTTACATTACACAGCTCCCTGCACCTCTGGACCTCTTCACATTACACAGCTCCTGCACCTCTGGACCTCTTTACATTACACAGCTCCCTGCACCTCTGGACCTCTTCACATTACACAGCTCCTGCACCTCTGGACCTCTTCACATTACACAGCTCCTGCACCTCTGGACCTCTTCACATTACACAGCTCCTGCACCTCTGGACCTCTTCACATTACACAGCTCCTGCACCTCTGGACCTCTTCACATTACACAGCTCCTGCACCTCTGGACCTCTTCACATTACACAGCTCCTGCACCTCTGGACCTCTTCACATTACACAGCTCCTGCACCTCTGGACCTCTTCACATTACACAGCTCCTGCACCTCTGGACCTCTTTACATTACACAGCTCCCTGCACCTCTGGACCTCTTCACATTACACAGCTCCTGCACCTCTGGACCTCTTTACATTACACAGCTCCCTGCACCTCTGGACCTCTTCACATTACACAGCTCCTGCACCTCTGGACCTCTTCACATTACACAGCTCCTGCACCTCTGGACCTCTTCACATTACACAGCTCCTGCACCTCTGGACCTCTTCACATTACACAGCTCCTGCACCTCTGGACCTCTTCACATTACACAGCTCCTGCACCTCTGGACCTCTTCACATTACACAGCTCCTGCACCTCTGGACCTCTTCACATTACACAGCTCCTGCACCTCTGGACCTCTTCACATTACACAGCTCCCTGCACCTCTGGACCTCTTCACATTACACAGCTCCTGCACCTCTGGACCTCTTTACATTACACAGCTCCCTGCACCTCTGGACCTCTTCACATTACACAGCTCCTGCACCTCTGGACCTCTTCACATTACACAGCTCCTGCACCTCTGGACCTCTTCACATTACACAGCTCCTGCACCTCTGGACCTCTTCACATTACACAACTCCTGCACCTCTGGACCTCTTCACATTACACAACTCCTGCACCTCTGGACCTCTTCACATTACACAGCTCCTGCACCTCTGGACCTCTTCACATTACACAGCTCCTGCACCTCTGGACCTCTTCACATTACACAGCTCCTGCACCTCTGGACCTCTTCACATTACACAGCTCCTGCACCTCTGGACCTCTTCACATTACACAGCTCCTGCACCTCTGGACCTCTTCACATTACACAGCTCCTGCACCTCTGGACCTCTTCACATTACACAGCTCCTGCACCTCTGGACCTCTTCACATTACACAGCTCCTGCACCTCTGGACCTCTTTACATTACACAGCTCCCTGCACCTCTGGACCTCTTTACATGACACAGCTCCCTGCACCTCTGGACCTCTTCACATTACACAGCTCCTGCACCTCTGGACCTCTTCACATTACACAGCTCCTGCACCTCTGGACCTCTTCACATTACACAGCTCCTGCACCTCTGGACCTCTTTACATTACACCGATCCCTGCACCTCTGGACCCTTTTACATTACACAGCTCCCTGCACCTCTGGACTCCTTTACATTACACAGTAGCTGGGGCAGCACAGTGGCTAAATTGTTCACACTTCTGCCTGGCAGCACTAGGGTTGTCTATTTGAATCCCAACCACAGCACCACCTGCCTGGAGTTTGCGTGTGTCCTCCCTGTGCCTGCGTGGGTTTCCTTCAGGTACTCCGGTTTCCTCCCACTCTCCAAAGACATGCTGGTAGGTTAATTGTTCCCAATCTAAATTGTCCCTAGTATGTGTATGTATGAATGTGAGTTAGGGACCTTAGATTGTACGCCTCTTTGAGGGTAATAAAATAAAAATTACAACCCCCTTTACTTTACACACGCTCCACAACTCTGCCCTTTCCTACCATTACTCAGACACAGCAATTATGAATAGAAGGTGGGAGATGCTGGAGTTTATTTTTCAGAATAACAAGTTGATGATTGGTTGCTAGGACCACCAAGCAACCAATCACCTTCTGGTTAACTTGATAGGTTAACTCTGGCAGCTCCTGCACTCTTTTTTCAGCGGTGTCACCCGCTCTGTGTACAGAAATGTTCTTATTCTGCCTCCTGCTCTCTGCTCTGCTGTTAGTGGCGGAGGCAATTCGGCGTCCGCCCTGGGTGTCACCCCTTTGGCAGGTGTCACCCGGGTACGGTCCACACACCCATAGCAACACCACTGCCTAAAAGAGATGGGCTTACACCCCACTGTCACTATGCATAGAACTTTCACTTCTGTCTTGGAGCCTAGGACTTTGTAATTGTGAAGACATTACTTCGCTTCAAGGTGACTGTGAACTTAGGACTTCACTGTCAGCCCAACTACCTAGATGGTCTCTGTCCTTGGGACAGGGCCCCTTTGAATTCTATGAAGATCTGCGTGGCCGGCACACAGAAGATGTTTACAGACAAATGTTATCATTGTGCCACAGCAGTGAGAAACAGGTCAATATAGTTTGGTCCATATATATTTGGACACAGGCACAATTTTCATACTTTTGGTGCTGTATGTCAGAAGAATAAATTAAAGTGAAACGATCCAAATGAATTTGAAGTGCAGACTTTCAGCTTTAATTCAAGGGGTTGAACATAATTATCAAGTACAAATGTTAGGAACTGCATCCATTTTTATACACAGTCCCTCCATTTTCAGGGGCTGAATTGTAATTGAGCAAATGAATATAATCATAAATAAAATGTTAATTTTTAATATTTTGTTGAGAATCCTTTACTCTCAATGACTGCCTGAAGTCTGGAACCCATGGACATTACCAAAGACTGGGTTTCCTCCTTTCTGATGCTTTGCCTGAAGTCTGGAACCCATGGACATTACCAAAGACTGGGTTTCCTCCTTTCTGATGCTTTGCCAGGCTCTAACTGCAGCTGTCTTCAGTTGTTCTTTGTGGGTCTTTCTGCCTTTAGTTTGGCCTTTAGCAAGTGAAATGCATGCTCAGTTGGATTGAGATCAGGTGATTGACTCGGCCATTGCAGAATATTCCACTTCTTTTCCTTCAGCAGCTCCTGGGTTGCTTTTTGCAGTGTGTTTTGGATCATTGTCCATCTGTACTGTGAAGCGCCATCCAATCAACTTTGCTGCATTTGGCTGAATCCAGGCTGACAGTACAGGTGAAACTTGAAAAATTAGAATATCGTGCAAAAGTTCATTTATTTCAGTAATGCAACTTAAAAGGTGAAACTAATATGTGAGAGGGACTCATTACATGCAAAGCAAGATAGTTCAAGCCGTGATTTGTCATAATTGTGATGATTATGGCTTACATCTCATGAAAACCCCAAATCCACAATCTCAGCAATTTAGAATATTGCATGCAATCAATAAAACAAGGATTGTACATAGAACAGTATCGGACCTCTGAAAAGTATAAGCATGCATATGTACTCAGTACTTGGTTTGGGCCCCTTTTGCAGCAATTACTGCCTCATGCGGCGTGGCATGGAAGCTATCAGCCTGTGGCACTGCTGAGGTGGTATGGAAGACCAGGATGCTTCAATAGCGGCCTTCAGCTCTTCTGCATTGTTCGGTCTCATGGCTCATCTTTTTCTTGGCAATGCCCCATAGATTCTCTATGGGGTTCAGGTCAGGCGAGTTTGCTGGCCAATCAAGCACAGTAATCCCACGGTCATTGAACCAGGTTTTGGTGCTTTGGCAGTGTGGGCAGGTGGCCAAGTCCTGCTGGAAAATGAAGTCCGCATTCCCATAAAGCACGTCTGCGGAAGGAAGCATGAAGTGCTCCAAAATCTCCTGGTAGATGGCTGCGTTGACCCTGGACTTAATGAAGCACAGTGGACCAACACCAGGAGATGACATGGCTCCCCAAAACAACACAGACTGTGGAAACTTCACACTGGACTTCAAGCATCTTACAGTGTGTGCCTCTCCATTCTTCCTCCATACTCCAGGTCCTTGTGCCTCTCCATTCTTCCTCCATACTCGGGTTCCTTGTTTTCCAAATGAGATGCAAAAGTTGCTCTCATTAGAAAAGAGGACTTTGGACCACTGAGCAACAGACCAGGTCTGTTTTTCTTTAGCTTCTGACGTTGTTTGTTGTTCAGGAGCGGCTTGACAAGAGGAATACGACATTTGAAGCCCATGTCCAGGATCCATCTGTGTGTGGTGGCTCTTGATGCACTGACTCCAGCCTCAGTCCGCTCCTTGTGAAAGTCCCCAACACTTTTGAATGGCCTTTTCCTGACAATCCTCTCCAGGCTGCGGTCATCCCTGCTGCTTGTGCACCTTTTTCTTCCACACTTTTCCCTTCCACATAACTTTCTATTAATGTGCTTTGATACAGCACTTTGGGAACATCCAACTTCTTTTGCAATTACCTTTTGAGGCTTTCCCTCCTTATGGAGGGTGTCAATGATGGTTTTCTGCACAACTGTCAGGTCGGCAGTCTTTCCCATGATTGTGATTCCTACTGAACCAGACGGAGAGACCATTTAAAGGCTCAGGAACCCTTTGCAGGTGTTATGGCTTAATTAGCTGATTAGAGTGGGACACTTTGAGCCGAGAATATTGCACCTTTTCACAATATTCTCATTTTCTGAGATTGTGGATTTGGGGTTTTCATGAGCTGTAAGCCATAATCATCACAATTATGACAAATCACGGCTTGAACTATCTTGCTTTGCATGTAATGAGTCTATCTCATATATTAGTTTCACCTTTTAAGTTGCATTACTGAAAAAAAATTAACTTTTGCACGATATTCTAATTTTTTGAGTTTCACCTGCATATCTGTAAACACGGCAGAATTCATCTGGCTGCTTCTGTCTTCTGTCACATCATCAATAAACACCAATGACCCAGTGCCACTGGAAGCCATGCATGCCCATGCCATCACACTGCCTCCACCATGTTTTACAGATGACGTGTGCTTTGGATTATGAGCTGTTCCAAGCCTTCTCCACACTTTGTCCTTCCTGTCATTCTGGTACAGATTCATCTTAGTTTCATCCATCCAAAGAATGCTTTTCCAGAACTGCTCTGGCTTTTTTAGATGTTTTTTGGCAAAGTATAATCTGGCTTTTCTATTCTTCAGGCTTATGAATGGTTTGCACCTTGTGGTGAACCCTCTGTATTTGCTCTCGTGAAGTCTTCTCTGGATTGTAGACTGACAATGATAGGCCCACCTCCTGGAGAGTGTCCTTCACTTGTCTAGATGTTGTGAATGGGATTTTCTTTAACATAGAGAGCATCCTGCGATCATCCACCACTGTTGTCTTCCGTGGACATCCATGCCTTTTTTATGTTGCTGAGCTCACCAGTGCATTCTTCTTTCCTCAGAATGGACCAAACTGTTGATTTGGCCACTCCTAATGTTGCTGCTATCTCTCTGATTGATTTGTTTAGTTTTTGAAGCCTTACAATGGCCTGGTTCACTTGCATGGACAGCTCCTTTGAACACATGCTGTAGGTTCACAGAAATGTATTCCAAATACAAATACCACACTTAGAATCAACTCCAGACCTTTTACCTGCTTAATTGATGAAGAAATAATGGAGTAGCCCACACCTGGCCATCAAACAGCTTTTGATTCAATTGTCCAATTACTTTTGGTCCCTTGAAAAGGGGGGATGGCTACTCTTAAGAGCTGTAATTCCTAAACCCTTCCTCCAATTTGGATGTACATACCCTCAAATAAACCCGAGAGTGTGCACTTACATATATCCAGTATAGAACTATAGCTTCAATATGTTTTGGTAAATACCTGAAAAAAACTAAAATTGTGCCTGTGTCCAAATATACATGGACCTAACTATATGTATCTAAAGAGGGTAAGGGTTAGGTTACTTTAGATTGTGGTTGCAAAAACGTTAAGTAAACTTTAGGAAGCCACTGTTTACTTAGCAGTCCTCTTTAGGGATGGGCTCATGTGTGTTTGGATCCTAGTTTGAACCCACCTGAGCGATCCCACGAGAAAGCTATTGTCAGGGCTCCAGGGTATGACCAGAGGTATGTGATTGACGCAGGGAAACGCAGGCTTCAGATATGTTATAAACAATAAGACAATTTATTAAAGACTAACAATACAAACATAAACGCAGTGCAATACTAAAACATAACACAGTGCAAACGAACCAAACCACCCACAGATAACAATATATACAATGCAAGCGTCGTCAGGCAGGCCGGGTCAATAACAATCGGGCAGGTAGGAACAGGGGGTCAGGCAGAGAATGGTCGGGGTCACAAGCCAGGGATGAAACAGGAGAAGTCAGCAGAGGTCCAGAATCAGGCAGGGTCAGCAACGAATCAGACAGAGACAGGAACAGGAACAGGAATGCAGGAACAAGATACAGGGCCCAGGAAAAACACACACCAAGGCAAAGACTGCAGGTCTGGCCATCACTTAAATACACCTGCATAAGCAGTTTCAGGTGTTTGGCTGGCTGCAGGGTTGAGTCTCTGATTGCTAGGAGCACCCGCTGGCCAGCCCTGGTACTGCAGCCCACAAGGCAGGTGAGTCCCACCATTACTGGCAAGTCCATTCCTGACAGCTATCACTGTACTTGGCCAATCATAAGCAACCATAGCATTCTCTGCGTTGCAGCCGCACGTATACATGCCCCTTGTATATAGGCGGCTGTGGACCATGGAATGCCTTGGCCACTTATGATTAGCACAGTACAGATGACCGCTTTCTGGCAAGAACCCTCAGGTGGATTTGGACTAGTATCTGAACATGCCTGAGCCCATGTAAGGAAATAAAAAAACAACCTGGACCAGCAGCTAGGTGGATTGAAACATAAACTGTAAGATGACGACTGAAAGCTGGAGATGTCTGAATGCTACAGACAGTTCTCGTTGCAGACATTTTGATGGATGACTACAGTGTTTTGATGGGTGATGGTTTCATAACTGTCATGACTTCAGAATGAAGAATGTGATTTTCCCATTAATATATACTGTATTATGTGAAGATAATGGCCCTTGTGTCTCCTGTACAGGCTTGTAAACTGCTCACCGACGACTATGAACAAGTGCGAAGTGCTGCCGTGGAACTTATTTGGGTTTTAAGTCAGCTCTATCCAGAAAGGTAATTCCAGTTTTTTTAAATTGAGTAAGCTTGTCCCGAAGAAAAGAAGTAACACTAACATAATGTGTGTGTGTGTGTGTGTGTGTGTGTGTATATGTTGTGTGTGTGTATGTTGTGTGTGTGTGTATATACGTGCACACACGCCTCAAAAAAATGAAAGGAACACTTTGAAAATACATCAGATCTCAATGGGGAAAAATCTCCTCCTGGATATCTATACTGACATGGACGGGGTAATGTGTTAGGAATGTAAGGATGTCCCATCGTTGGATGGAAATAATGATCGACCTACAGAGGACTGAATTCAAAGACATCCAGAAAATCAAAGTGAAAAAATGATGCAGCAGGCGAGTCCATTTTGCTGAAATTTCATTGCTCTCAGAATGGTCCTCAGTAGTTTGTATGGCCCCCCCGTGCTTGTATGCATGCCTGACAAAGTCGGGGCATGCTCATAATGAGATGATGGATGGTGTCCTGGGGGATTTCCTCCCAGATCTGGACCAGGGCATCACTGAGCTCCTGGACAGCCTGAGGTGCAACCTGGCGGCATCGGATGGACCGAAACATGACATCCCAGAGGTGTTCTATTGGATTTAGGTCAGGAGAGGGTGGGGGCCATTCAATAGTATCAATTCCTTCATCCTCCAGGAACTGCCTGCATACTCTTGCCACATGAGGCCGGACATTGTCGTGCACCAGGAGGAACCCAGGACCCACTGCACCAGTGTAGGGTCTGACAATGGGTCCAAGGATTTCATCCCGATACCTAATGGCAGTGAGGGTGCCATTGTCTAGCCTGTAGAGGTCTATGCGTCCCTCCATGGATATGACTTCCCAGACCATCACTGACCCACCACCAAAACGGTCATGCTGAGCGATGTTACAGGCAGCTTAATGTTCTCCACGGCTTCTCCAGACCCTTTCACGTCTGTCACATGTGCTCAGGGAGAACCTGCTCTCATCTGTGAAAAGCACAGGGCACCAGTGGTGGACCTGCCAATTCTGGTGTTCAATGGCAAATGCCAATCAAGCTCTATGATGCCGGGCAGTGAGCACAGGGCCCTCCCGCCACCCTCATGAAGTCTTTTTCTGACTGTTTGGTCAGAGACATTCACACCAGTGGCCTGCTGGAGGTCATTTTGTAGGGCTCTGGCAGGGCTCATCCTTTTCCTCCTTGCACAAACGAGCAGATACCGGTCCTGCTGATGGGTTAAGGACCTTCTACGGCCCTGTCCAGCTCTCCTAGAGTAACTGCCTGTCTCCTGGAATCTCCTCCATGCTCTTGAGACTGTGCTGGGAGACACAGCAAAACTTCTGGCAATGGCACGTATTGATGTACCATCCTGGAGGAGTGGGACTGCCTGTGCAACCTCTGTAGAGTTCAGGTATCGCCTCATGCTACCAGTAGTGACACTGACCCTAGCCAAATGCAAAACTAGTGAAAAACGGTCAGAAAGCATGAGTATGAAAAAAAAGTCAGTGGCCTCCACCTGTAAAACCATTCCTGTTTTGGGGGTCATCTCATTGTTGCCCATCTAGTGCACCTGTTGTTAATTTCCTTAACACCAAAGCAGCTAAAACTATGAGATTAACAACCCCCTCTGCTACTTACCTGACCAGATCAATATCCCAGGAGTTTCATTGACTTGATGCTAGACTCTGAATAAAAAGTGTTCCCTCAATTTTTTTGAGGTGTGTGTGTGTATAAAAATGTGTGTGTATAAATGTACAGATAATTTGGTGTGAAGGGTGCAAGATTTTCTCCCAGGTTTTCTGCTCCGCACAGCCCTCTACACATTAGCCGTAATTCTTTCCATATCCATATCATGTTCCTGTTGTGTGTCCTGTGTGTAACTCTTCCTTCTCCCTTCAGCATTGTTCCTATCCCATCCTCCAATGAGGAGATCCGGCTAGTGGATGATGCTTTCGGCAAGGTCTGTCACATGGTCAGCGATGGATCATGGGTAGTCCGTGTTCAAGCCTGCAAACTTCTGGTAAGTTCTTTGTTAATCTTCTCTGTACCGTCTACTGTACATGTATGGTGGAGCAGCATGCACACAGCACTGGACAGCTACATACACACTCAGGGTCTGTTGCTGGACACTTGACTTTGCACACCCACATGGAACACAACAGTTGCTGGAGCGCATGCATGTAGACAGGAAGTAGATCAGCTGCAAAAAAAACAAGGGGAACAGGTGATATTGCCATGGTTGTCTGTGATTGGCTGCTAGACCCAAGCAGTGTCACAGGGGAGGAATCTCATGCGCCCTCCATATACAGAAGCACTGTGTATCTTTGCATGGACCCTGTCCTTTTGCCCTAAATAGGTAAGCTGACATTGACCTTTAACCCCTTGCCCTCCAGAGGATTTCCCCCCCTTCCTGACCAGGCCATTTTTTGCGTTATGGCGCTGCGTTATTTTAACTGACATTTGCGCGGTCATGCAACGCTGCACCCAAATGAAATTGATGTCCCTTTTTCCCACGAATTGAGTTTTTCTTTCGGTGGTATTTGATCGCCTCTGCATTTTTTGCGCTATAAAAAAAAAAAAAAAGACAATTTTGAGAAAAAAACAATATTTTTCACTTTTTCCTATTAACTGCTTCTTGTCCGCCCTATAGCAGAAATACTGCTACAGGGCAGCACGGGTGTGCAAAATCACTTGTGTGATTTTGCATTTCTGGGTAGGGGGCGCGTGCAAGCTGTGTGTGCCCTACCCACGCCATCATTTGTGGCCGGTAATTACTCGCCTGCGCCTGGTGATTTCCGACGATCACCGACAGGGAGGAGGACTGTTTTTTGTTTACTAACAGCGATCCTCCCTGTCAGTTCGGGCACAAAGCAAAGCACAGCCATCCAGAGCAGTGTGATTACAGAGAAACACCAACACATCACCCCCTAGTAAAACACTCCCTGCACACAGTTAACCCTTTGATCGCCCCTCATGTTAACTCCTGCCTGCCCAGTGCCATTAGTACAGTGTCAGTGCTTTTTTCTTTTAGCACTGATCACTGTATTGGTGTCACTGGGGATGTCAGTGACACCAAGTCAATTTCCCCCCAGTGTCAGAATGCCCGCCGCAGTCCCGCTATAAGTCACTGATTGCCTCCATTACTAGTAAAAATGAAACAAAAAAAAATTCCAGTATCTATACCGCCATTTGTAAATGCTATAACTTTCATGTAAACCAATTAATTTACACATATTTTTTTTTTTTTTTTTAGCAAAGACATGTCGCAGAATACATTTTGGTGTACATTTATGACGAAATGTGATTTGTTAAAAAAAAAAAAAATTTACTGAACATGTTTAATAGCAAAAAGTCAAAAATATTGTGTTTTTTTTTTTTTCTCAAAATTGTTGGTCTTTTTTTTTTGTAGCGTAAAAAATAAAAACCGCAGAGGCGATAAAATACCACCAAAAGACAGCTCAATTCGTGGGAAAAAAAGGACGTAAATTTAATTCGGGTGCAGCGTTGCATGACCACGCCGTAATGCAAAAAATGACCTGGTCAGGAAGGGGGGGGTAAATCTTCAGGAGGGCAAGTGGTTAAAGATGTCCAGTAAAAAAAAATTTTTTAAAAATCTAATTTTGTTCATACACATAGGCCAAAATATATTCTGCAACATGTTTTTGTTAAAAGAAATCCCAATACGTGTAAATTAATTGGTTTACGTGAAAGTTACGGTGTTTACAAATAGCGGAATATATACTGGGATTTTTTTTTTTTTAACTAGTAATGGCGGTGACTTATAGCGGGACTGCAGCAGGCATTCTGACACTGGGGGGGGGAACTGACTTGGTGTCACTGACATCCCCAGTGACACCAATACAGTGATCAGTGCTAAAAAAAAGTACTGACACTGTACTAATGGCACTGGGTAGGAAGGGGTTAACATGAGGGGCGATCAAAGGGTTAACTGTGTGCTGGGAGTGTTTTACTAAGGGGCTGTGTCCGTGTGCTTCACTGTAAGCACACTGCTTTGGATGGCTGTGCTGTGCACAGCCATCCAAAGCAGTGTGCCCAAGCTGACAGGGTGGAGAACTGTTTTGTTTACAGACAGTTCTCCTCCCCATCAGAGATCCTCGGCAATTACCGGGGTGTTGGCGAGTAACCCGGGACCCAGTGATTGACGGCCGTGGCTGTGCCCCCTACCCGGAAATCCGAAATGTGTGTGTGTGTGTGTGTGTGTGTGTGTGTGTGATTTTGCGCACCCGTGCCGCCCTGTAGCAGTATTTCTGCTATAGGGCGGTCGGGAAGTGGTTAAAGAAGAAGGGATACAACAATGGTGAACTCCTATTTGGTAGTGTTATGCACCCAAAGAACTGTCTGTACTCTTTTAACCTCTTTCCGACTGAGCTTTACCCGAATGAAAGCTACAGCACAATTGTCCAATTCTGGGAGGGTGTCTATTGACATGCTCCCGGAACCCCGCTCCCGTGGTTGGCATCGGGCACACTCTGTGATTGCTGTGTCCTTTGGACACAGCTGATCATAGATCGGGGTAAAGGGCCAATCACAGAGGCCCTTTACCTGTTTCCAATCACAGCTGATTACATTGTACACAGGATTTTCTGGTTATCGGCAGAGAAGGTAAGCAGCAATCCACACAGGAGACCTCTACACATAATCAGGGCACTGATCATCAGTGCAGCCCCATCAGTGCCCCTATCGCTGCCCATCCGTGCCGACTGTTAATGCCGCCTCATCAATGACCATCAGTGCAGCCTATCAGTGCCCCTATCGCTGCCCATCAGTGCTGACTGTTAGTGCCACCTCATCAATGACCATCAGTGCAGCCCCATCAGTGCCCCTATCGCTGCCCATCCGTGCCGACTGTTAATGCCGCCTCATCAATGACCATCAGTGCAGCCTATCAGTGCCCCTATCGCTGCCCATCAGTGCTGACTGTTAGTGCCGCCTCATCAATGACCATCAGTGCAGCCCCATCAGTGCCCCTATCGCTGCCCATCAATGCTGACTGTAAGTGCCACCTCATTAATGACCATCAGTGCAGCCTATCAGTGCTCATCAGTGAAAAAGAAAAATTACATATTTACAAAATTCTATAACCGAAAGAAAAACTTTTGGGTTTTTTTTCAAAAAATTTTCTGTCTTTTTTCACTTGTTTAAGAAAAAGAAAACATCCAGTGGGGACTTAAATACCACCAAAAGAAAGCTCTATCAGTCTAAAAAAAAAATATAAAAATGTTGTTTTGGGTACAGTGTTGCATGACTGCGCAATTGTCATTCAAAGTGCGACAACGTTGAAAGATGAAAGTTGGCAAAGCAGTTAATAATACACACTAATTTCTTGTACCAATTCTTCTTTTGTACTACAGGGATCAATGCTGCAAGTCAGCCCCCATTTCCTGGAGCAAACCTTGGACAAGAAGCTTATGTCTGACCTGCGGGTAAAGTGTCCTGTCTAATAAATTGGGAATCTGTGGGTATCATTTAACAGAGATAAGAGAAGACTTTTTTTTTTTTTTTTTTTTTTTTAAAGCCCTGGTGGCCAACCTGCAGCCTAAGGGCTCCTTGTGGCCCTTTGATTCTGGTTGTGCAGCCGGACAGTGGCACTGCAGGGTCGGGTGGCCGTTTATAAACAGCCTCCCCGCGACCTGCTTGTGCGCGCTCCCTGGGAGGCCGCGGCACCGTGATCCGGTGCCCGCTGCGTCCTCCGGACACAGTGGAACACCGATCGTCGTACGGGACCTCTGTGTGAGGTCCGGATCATGTGATCCCTGATTGGCCAATCAGTGATCATATGAATAGTAGTAAGCAAGATGTCGCTTCTGACATCGCTGCTTACTACGTGTGAAATCTGTGAATGATCACAGAGGTCACATGGTACAAGGCTATTCACAACAGCCTTGTACCATGTGACAAGCTCTGACCAATCACAGCTCACACAGTAGTTCTCAATGGCTGCAAGAATGCAGCCGGAGAGAAGGAGAAATGATTGCTTTTACAGACTCTATGGGTGTAAAAGCAATCGGTGTAAAAAAAAAAAAAAAAAAATTCTTCATCGCCCTCCATGGTGACACTGTACTGTTAGGGTGACAGTATGTAAAAAAAAAAAAAAACCCATAAAAAAATAAAAATGTTTAAAATTTATAAATTTTGGTTAAACTAATTTGGGTTATTTTTTTTTTTTATTTACTAAAAAGATAACAGAATAAATTTTGGCCAAGATTTATGGTGAAATATTATTTATTTGCAAAATTTTATGAGAAAAACACTTTTTTCAAAATGTTTGGACTTTTTGATTTATATAGCAAAAAAATAAAAATCCCAGTGGTGAATAAATACCACCAAAATAAAGATTTATCTAAAAAAAATGCTAAAAAATTCATATGGGTACAGTGTTCCATGACCGCACAATTGTCATTCAAAGTGTGATAGCACTGAAAGCTGAAAATTGGCCTGGACAGGAAGGGGGTAAAAGTGTCCGGACTGGAAGTGGTTAAAGCAGAACTTCCCCTATTGGGTGGAGCTCCACTTTAAAGTCCAATTATTCCCACCAATGACATCAGTAGAACGGCTTCGTGAATGGGCAAAATGCAGCTTGCATTTGGATACATTCAGCTTGCTTTGAGATACTTCTAAGTTCCTTTGGAGGTGCTTCTGACCTCATTCTAACCTGGTAAAGCTGCCTTTGCATTCCTTTTGATATGTATCGATCTAAAAGAACATTTCTGATGTGCTTTGCTATGTTATCCTTTTAATTAAAGCGGAGCTCCGCCCAAAAGTGGAAGTTCTGCTTTAAACCTTTCTCCCCATTAAGGATTGGCACCTTTGAGGAGCGGGTACCCGAATTTGACAGGTACCCGCTCCCATTTCTGCTGTGATCGCCTAGGCGATCAGAAGCGGAAGTTGTCCTCCTTCCCCGTAGTCTTGTGGGACACGTGACAGGTCCCAGAAGACTACGGGGCCATTCACAAAGCGCAGCGCTTCTCGCGCATGCGCAGTGGGCACCCGGATGTGGAGCTGTCACAGCCGGGTGCCCACACTGAAGATGCCGCTGCCAGGGGGAGAAGACGGCCGGTGAAACTAGCGGTGGTGAGGACACCGCTGGATAGAGGGACAGGTAAGCGGCTGTATTTTAAAAGTCAGCAGCTACAGTTTTTGTGTAGAAAACTCTGCCAACATGCTGCATGTTGGCACCCTTGTTCTCTGAAGAGGGGGACCAGTCCTTAAAGCAGAACTTCCACTATTGGGTGAAGCTCTGCTTTAAAGTCCAGTTATTCCCACCAATGACATCAGTAGAACGGCTTTGTGCTTGGGCAAAATGTAGCTTGCTTTTTTGGTACATTCAGCTCGCTTTGAGCTACTTTTAAATTCCTTTTTGGAGGTGCTTCTGAACTCATTCTAACCTGGTAAAGCTGCCTTTGCATTCCTTTTGATAAGTATCGATATAAAAGCACATTTCTGATGCAAGTAATTCCGCACATATCAAGTAAGTTGACTATTGCCTTAGAGAAGGGGTGTCATACTCTATTTAATCGCGGGCCGTATCAGCATTATGGTTGCCCTCAAAGGGCCGGTTGTATCTGTAAGACTAGATATTTAGAGTACCCCATCCCCCATTACATCAGATGCCAAGAATCCCCACACCCTCCCTAACATCACCATGCACCCTCTTTGGGGGCAGAGCTGGAAATCAGAAAGTGCAGGGTCTGGAGGAGGACCAGAGGTAGGGTGGAGTCAGTTACCAGAGTCTGCTGAATGCTGAGACCAGGGGAGGCAGAGATGAGGGAGTGCTGCAGCTGCACTGAGAGGTGCAGGATTTGGCAGAGGAATTTTATTCTCCTCTCTGCTGCCGACTGCTGAGACAAGGTGGGGGCGGAAACAAGGGGGTACCTGCAGGAGAGGTGCAAGGGCCACATGAAATGGCCTGTGGGAGTCACTTTGGGTGGGGAGCCCATGGAACCCAGCTCACTTTGGAGAGGTGGGGAGACCCCTGTCTCAGCTCCCCATATCCCTCTTATGTGTAAGTCACCCTGTGCCTGTTAGGGGTACAGGGTGATCTGTCCTAATATTGGGTGGGGGGTTGTTGATTGTCATGTGTCATTGTAATGTCATGTGGCTGCATCCCATTGTTCTATTGTTTCTGGTTTGGGAGCAAACTATTATGGGATGTATGTGTTTATGTGTATTAGCTTAGTGGGGGGTGTCTCCAGCAGCCCTCCCTCCTTATTTGACTGCTGGTGTGAAGTTTGAATACCTGTGTGTCTCTTGTTACTAAATGTAGATTACCCCGCCCTGTGTCATTATGCAGGGAGGGGGGATTGTCCAGAGTGTATATATCTTGTATCTGTGTTCAAATAAAGTCGTCTAGTCTTGTATGGTCGGTTGTGGTGTCTGTTGTCCGTGTTCGGACAGGGAATCGGTAGTTTAACGGAAGTACTCAAGCGCAGTCTTGGTCGGTTCCGTTACATCCTGGAGGGCTGGATTCGGCCCGCAGGCTTTGTGTTTGACACCTGTTCCTTAGAGACTTGTATATTCGGAACCTCAAGTGCAGCCTCTGACATTGCCAAGGGGGTGCACACAATATTTGGTGAACGTAATGCTACATAAAGTTGTCAGACTATGGCCATGCTACAGGAGATGGTCAGAAATTTCTGATCTGTTATAGGAGTTGTTGGACACTGGAGACATGCTGTACAAGATTGTCATAGAGTGAAGGACACATGAGGTGAGACTGCTAGAGATCACAGCTATCAGCAGTTCACAAATCAATGTTTCCGTGTTACAATTGCACTTGTGCCAAATTCGATATATGTGTCGCGCAAGATCCATTATAAAAGATCCACGGACTCTTTCATGTGCTGGAAGATACTTGGAAATTGAATTACCAGGTAACAAAGGTTGTTTTTTGTATTGCATATTCCTTGCCACGCAGAGGAAGAGAACAGCACACGAGCGGGCCAAAGAGTTGTACAGCTCCGGGGAGTTCTCCAGTGGTAGGAAGTGGGGAGACGACGCACCCAGAGAGGAGCTAGACACAGAAGCTGTGAACCTGATAGAGTCGGGAGCTTGCGGAGCATTTGTTCATGGTCTGGAGGACGAGATGTACGGTATGTAGGCCAGAGTATAGAAGGTACTTCTACGGCAACAAAGCAGAGGTTAGCATCTGTTTCCTAATCAACACAGGGAGAATAAAACATTACATTTCATTGGCTGGGACAGACAAGTGCCTTGCGTCATGGTTTCCAAAAAAAAAAAAAATATATATATATATATAGAGTTGTGTTCAAAATAATAGCAGTGTGTTGAAAAAAGTGAATAAAGCTCAAAATCCTTCTAATAGCTTTTATTTCCATCCACACAAATGCATTGGGAACACGACACATTCTATTCCAAATCAAAACATGAAGAAAAATACATCAAATTTGTGTTGTTCCTCTAAAAAAAATTGAAGAAAAGTGAATATTAGACGGTTTAAAAAAATCGCAGTGTTTGTATTCTTCTTTACAAACTCAAACATTCACTATATAAACTGAAAAATGTTTGAAGATTTTGCTTTCCTTTGAATGACTTCATGAATATTTGGTTGTAGTCGCACTGTTTCTGAGAACTGCTGTACATCTGTGTTGCATGGAGTCACCCAACTTCTGGCCCCTGTGATCAGGTATTCCAGCCCAGGATGATTGGACGACATTCCACGGTTCTTCTCTATTTCTTGGTTTTGCCTCAGAAACGGCATTTTTGATGTCACCCCACAAGTTTTCTATTGGATTAAGATCCGGGGATTGGGCTGGCCACTCCATAACGTCCATCTTGTTGGTCTGGAACCAAGATGTTGCACGTTTACTGGTGTGTTTGGGGTCGTTGTCTTGTTGGAACACCCATTTCAAGGGCATTTCCTCTTCAGCATAAGGCAGCATGACCTCTTCAAGTATTCTGATGTATTCAAACTGATCCATGATCCCTGGTATGCGATAAATAGGCCCAACACCGTAGTATGAGAAATATCCCCATATCATGATGCTTGCACCACCATGCTTCACTGTCTTCACAGTGTACTGTGGCTTGAATTCAGTGTTTGGGGGTCGTCTGACAAACTGTCTCCAGCCACTAGACCCAAAAAGAACAATCTTACTTTCATCAGTCCACAAAATGTTGCGCCATTTCTTTTTAGGCCAGTCAATGTGCTCTTTGGCAAATTGTAACCTCTTCAGCACGTCTTTTTTTCAACAGTGGGACTTTGCGGGGGCTTCTTGCAGATAGCTTGGCTTCACATAGGCATCTTCTAATTGTAACTGTACTCACAGGGAACGTCACACCTTCTTTCATCTTCCTGGAGCTGATTGTTGGCTGAGTCCGCGCCATTTTGGCTATTCTTCTATCCATTCCAATGGTAGTTTTTCTCTTTCTTCCACGTCTTTCAGGTTTTGGTTGCCATTTTAAAGCATTTGTGATCATTTTAGCTGAGCAGCCGATCATTTTCTGCACTTTTTTATATGTTTTCCCCTCTCCAATCAACTATTTAATCAAGGTAAGCTGTTTTTCTGAACAATGTGTGGAACGACCCATTTTCCTCAGAATTTCAGAGAGAAATGCACTGTAACCAGCATGTACAACATTTGCTGCCTTCCTTCCTTAAATAAGGGCAATAATTGCCACCTGTTTTTCACAGAATGAATGACCTCAATAATAGAACTCCACACTGCTATTATTTTGAACATGCCCCTTTCAATGAGTGATTCAATGACACAGAATCAGCAGCATGCATGTCATGACTGTTGGGTCTGTTGGATTTCTATTACTCACTACACCTGCTAGTAAATTATTTGCCATGTAGAAATATCATTTCTACCAAAAACAGTGATTGATCCGGTTAGTGATGTCTGACTGCTATTATTTTGAACCCAACTGTACATACCCTCAAATTAAACGTGAGAGTGTGCTCTTTCAGCCCATATCCATTATATAACTATAGCTTGAATATGTTTTGGTAAATACCTGAAAAAAAAAAAAACTAAAATTGTGCCTGTGTCCAAATATATATGAACCTAACTGTATATGTGTGTGTGTGTGTGTATATACATGTGTGTGTGTGTGTGTGTATATGTGTGTTTGTGTATGTATGTATGTGTATGTGTGTGTGTGTGTGTGTGTGTATGTATATATATATATATATATATATATATATATATATATATATTAGATTGTAAGCTCCAAGGATCAGGGCCCTCCTATCCTTCTTGTATTGAACTGTACTGTTACTGTATTGTCTCCCTTTATATTGTAAAGTGCTGAGCAAACTGCTGGCGCGATATAAATCCTGTGTAATAATAATGTGTGTGTGTGTATGTATGTGTATATATGTGTGTGTGTGTGTGTGTGTGTGTGTGTGTGTGTATATATATATATATATACAGTCATGGCCGAAATTGTTGGCACCCTTGATATTTTTCCTGAAAATCAAGTATTTCACACAAAAAAGGTATTGCATTAACACATGTTTTGCTATACACATGTTTATTCCCTTTGTATGTATTGGAACAAATATAAAACAGAGGCAGAAAAGCAAATATGACATAATGTCACACAAAACCCCAAAAATGGGCTGGACAAAAGTATTGGCACCCTTAACTTAATATTTGGTTGCACACCCTTTGGAAAACATAACTGAAATCAGTCGCTTCCTATAACCATCAATAAGCTTCTGACACCTCTCACCCGGAATTTTGGACCACTCTTCCTTTGCAAACAGCTCCAGGTCTCTCTTATTGGAAGGACACCTTTTCCCAACAGCAATTTTAAGATCTCTCCACAGGTGTTCAATGGGATTTAGATCTGGGCTCATTGCTGGCCACTTCAGAACTCTCCAGCGCTTCTTTGCCATCCATTTCTGAGTGCTTTTTGACGTATGTTTGGGGTCATTGTCCTGCTGGAAGACCCAGGATCTTGGACGCAAACCCAGCTTTCTGACACTGGGCCCTACAGTGCGACCCAAAATCCTTTGGTAATCCTCAGATTTCATGATGCCTTGCACACAGTCAAGGCACCCAGTGCCAGAGGCAGCAAAACAACCCCAAAACATCATTGAACCTCCACCATATTTTACCGTAGGTACTGTGTTTTGTTCTTTGTAGGCCTCATTCCGTTTTCGGTAAACAGTAGAATGATGTGCTTTACCGAAAAGCTCTATCTTGGTCTCATCTGTCCACAAGACGTTTTCCCAGAAGGCTTTTGGCTTACTCAAGTACATTTTGGCAAACTGTAGTCTTGCTTTTTTATGTCTCTGTGTCAGCAGTGGGGTCCTCCTGGGTCTCCTGCCATAGCGTTTCATTTCATTTAAATGTCGACGGATAGTTCGCGCTGACACTGATGCTCCCTGAGCCTGCAGGACAGCTTGAATGTCTTTGGAACATGTTTGGGGCTGCTTATCCACCATCCGGACTATTCTGCGTTGCAATCTTTCATCAATTTTCCTCATCCGTCCACGACCAGGGAGATTAGCTACAGTGCCATGGGTTGCAAACTTCTTGATAATGTTGCGCACTGTGGACAAAGGCAAATCTAGTTCTCTGGAGATGGACTTGTAACCTTGAGATTGTTGATATTTTGCCACAATTTTGGTTCTCAGGTCCTCAGACAGTTCTCGTCTCCTCTTTCTGTTGTCCATGCTTAGTGTGGCACAGACAGACACACAATGCAAAGGTTAAGTGAACGTCTCTCCTTTTTATCTGCTTTCAGGTGTGATTTCTATATTGCCCACACCTGTTACTTGCCCCAGGTGAGTTTACAGGAGCATCACATGCTTGTAACATTCTTATTTATCCGCAGTTGTGAAAGGGTGCCAATACTTTTGTCCAGCCCATTTTTGGAGGTTTGTGTGACATTATGTCGAATTTGCTTTCTTTCCTCCCTTTTTTTGTTTTGTCCCAATACACACAAAGGGAATAAACATGTGTATAGCAAAACATGTGTTAATGCAATACGTTTCGTGAGAAATACATGATTTCCTGGAGAAATATCAAGGGTGCCAACAATTTCGGCCATGACTGTATATATATGTGTATGTATGTGTGTATGTATATATATGTATGTGTATATATGTATGTGTATGTATATATGTATGTGTATATATATATATATATATATATATATATATGTGTATATATATTTATTACACACTGTATATATGTATTCGACTTTTTAAATAATATGAGTTAAATTAATATGAGTTTTTAGACATACTATCCAGTAATGTAAAATAACTCTTCTTGAAAGTTTTACATTATTTTATACAGCATGGCACTGGCCGTAATATGCGTGAAGTAAGCTAATCTTTTCCGCCATTATTGGCGTTTTCTTTTTCTGTCGGCACAACCCCATTTTTTTGCCGATAATTTTCCGTGGCCAGTACATTGGTACATCACTACTAAACAGGTATCTATTCCTGAGTTATAATTGGGATGTGGTGCCACCAGTCCAATTCTGTCATGAAGTAGTGTAATTACATTAAGACACACAATTGCATTTGAGTCTATAATTGTAGACAATTTGTCTTACGCTGTCTCTGCAGAGGTGAGGATCGCTGCGGTGGAGTCCTTGTGTCTGCTGGCTCGTTCTTCTCCACCATTTGCAGAGAAATGTCTGGACTTTCTGGTGGACATGTTCAATGACGAGATAGAAGAAGTAAGACTGCAATCCATCCACACCATGCGTAAGATTTCTGAAAACATTACCCTGCGGGAGGACCAGCTGGACACAATCCTGGCTGTACTGGAGGTAAGAAATTAGGGGGGGCTGACATCAGTGATCCAGATAATGAAGAAATACAACTCCCAACATGCTCTTTCAGGCTGGTGTGTCATGCTGGAACTTAATGTGTATTTGAACCCTACTAATTTGTATCCTCTTGGTCTGTTAAAGTAAATACACTTTTTTTTTAATATATATTCAATATATACAAAAAGATGTTAAGGTGGAACACCAGCTTAATTTTTTTTTCAGTTTCCACCTGTCCCCACCTTGTGTTAAATATTAAAAAAAATAATTCAACGTTTTACTTCCTTTCTCCACCCTCCATTGCTGGTGCTTGCTTCCTTCTCTGTTCAATGCTTCCAGTTCTCTTCAGGCAGAATGACAGTCATGTCCACAGGAAATTCAAAAACAGAATCACTGAGTTGGAAAAAGGATCCCCACCGTGTTTTGTTGAACCACCTTATGCTTTAATTCCAGCCTTCAGTCTGTTGGGATGTCTCTACTAACTTTGCACATCTAGACTTTGCAATATTTGCCCGCTCTTCTTTGCAGAACTGCTCAAGTTCAGTGTGATGGTGACTGTTTGTGGACTGCAGTCTTCAAGTCATTCCACAGATTTTCAATGGGGTTTAAGTCTGGGCTCTGACTAGGCCATACAAGGACATTCACCTTTTTCTCCTCCAACCACTGTGGGCTCATTGTTGCGCTGTGTTTTGGGCCATTGTCATGTTGGAAGGTAAACATTCTTCCCTTTGGCAACTTTCTGGCAGAGGGCGACAGATTTTTCTCAAAAATGTGATTGTATTTTGCCCCATCTATTTTTCCTTTTATCCTGACAAGTGATCCAGTCCTTGCTGCAGAGAACTACTCCCCACAAAACAAGATATTCCCACCTCCATGCTTTATTGTAGTAATGGTGGTATTTGGATGGTGAGATGGATTGGATTTCCACCAGACATATTGTTTAGTGTTGAGGCCAAATCATTCAATTTTTGCCTCATCTGACCAGAACACCTTTTTCAGAATCTTCAAGGTGCGTTTTGGCAAAGCTCAGTGATGACTGCATGTGGCCTTTCTTGAGGAGCGTTTTTTTCTTGCAACTCTCCCATACAAGCCACATTTGTGGAGAATTTGTGATATTGTTGTCACATGTATATAATGACCACTCTTTGTCATCAATTCCTACAACTGCTTCAGAGTTGCTGTAGGCCTCTTGGTAGCCTCTCTGACCAGTTTGCTCCTGGCTCTTTCATCCAGTTTAGAGCGATGTTATGGTCCAGGGAGCTGGATAAAACAAAAAATGTTTCTGTCTTCATTTCACAATGTGATTATTTTAAAGGGGGTGATTCTTTTCTTTACCCACTGTATATGTATTTGCATTGCTTGAGCAGTTGTTTCTTTATCCTTTTATTTTTTTTCTTAAATAATTAAACCATTGGGGAGAAGAGAGGCAACTGTTGGGATGCACCCTTGACCGTGTGTGAGCATGTGGAATATTTTTTAGGAGTATTTAATGCAATTTTGGAAAGAAAAAATATATATGCAAATGGTATATGTGCATGAAGGGTAAAGATAAACACTGACGGATCCGCCATGCTTTCCTCTGTCTTGTAGGACTCTTCCCGTGACATTCGAGAGGCTTTGCATGAACTACTGTGCTGCACCAATGTGTCAACTAAAGAATGTGTTAACATGACCCTGGGGGAGCTTCTCAAGAACCTGTCCAGATACCCCACTGACCGCGACTCCATCTGGAAGTAACTATCGTACAATAGGCTCAACTCCCTTTTTTTTTTTTTTTTTTTTTTCTACATCCACAACTGATTACAGGGATGTACATTTAATGGGAATATTGTTGTGTGCAGGGCTGGATTATGGAGGTAATAGGAAGAGGGGAGAGTTCCTCCCATGTCGATCTTCATCATGTGACATTTTTAGACGTCACGTCACGATGTACAGTTGTTCTAAAAACAACTCCAGTGGATGCAAAGTGACCACAGGATATTTGGGGGGAGTGCAAAATAGCAGTCACTTTATTTGAATAAAGTGATGACCATTTAGGATCGAATCACTTTTTAGCGAGTTAGTACTGACACTATTTTTGGTTTGTCACATACACAGAAAATAACACAAGAATTGAATTGCATTACTGTAATAGTGTTTTTAATGATTTACCTATGGTTCTATTTTAACCATTAGCCGCCCGGCCTATAGCCGTTTGGCGGCCGCAAAAGTGCTGCAGATTTACGGGGTATACGCCATTTGGCGTCCTCCCGCACATGTGGAGTTCGCGCGATTGCAGAGCCGCACAGCAGCGCGATCTGTCACCGGCCGCGTACCTCGGACAACGGCCGATGACAGATCTGAGTACCGGCCCCCGTTGCCGGTACCATGTGACCTGCTGTGACCAATCACAGCAGGTCACATGACAGTTGTATACAATGGATGGCTTCATTCATGCCATCCATTGTATACTAGTGCCTAGCTGTGAATGGTCACAGCAGGTCACATGCAGATATCATGTGATTAGCTGTGGCCAAATCACAGCTAAGCACAAAAAAAAAAAAAAAAAAAAAAAACAAAACCTGAATGAATCGATGTCATTCAGGTAAATGCTTGCTTATAGCAAAGTAATTCTTTGCTATAAGCAAATTTGTGTAAAAAAAAATAAATACTGATCACTTCCCCAAAGTAGTACAATGTTACTATGGTAACATTGTACTACTTTGGTCATAGTAAAATATGAAAAAACAAATCTTAAAAAAAATAAAAACAAAATGTAATAAAAAATATATATATATTTTTTTTTCATACTGTCACCAGTCAGTGTCCCTGATCACCGCCATGCCAGTTATATGATGACGCTGTACTGCACTGGTGACAATATGTAAAAAAAAAAATAGTGAAAATAATTTTTTTAATTTTTTCATTTTCCGAAAAATTATGACAAAAAAAATACAACTTCAAAAAACTCGCCATGCCTCTTATGAAGTACGTCGGACTGTCTACTTTACAAAAAGGGGTCATTTGGGGGATATCTGTACTGTTCTGACATTTGGGGGATATCTGTACTGTTCTGACATTTGGGGGATATCTGTACTGTTCTGACATTTGGAGGATATCTGTACTGTCCTGACATTTGGGGGATATCTGTACTGTTCTGACATTTGGGGGATATCTGTACTGTTCTGACATTTGGGGGATATCTGTACTGTCCTGACATTTGGGGGATATCTGTACTGTTCTGACATTTGGGGGATATCTGTTCTTTTTTGACATTTGGGGGATATCTGTACTGTCCTGACATTTGGGGATATCTGTACTGTTCTGACATTTGGGGGATATCTGTACTGTCCTGACATTTGGGGGATATCTGTACTGTCCTGACATTTGGGGGATATCTGTACTGTCCTGACATTTGGGGGATATCTGTACTGTCCTGACATTTGGGGGATATCTGTACTGTTCTGACTTTTGGGGGTATCTGTACTATTCTGACTTTCTTGGACCTCAAGAAATTAGATTGGCTGTCAGTACTTCAGGACTGATCAATTTTCAGATCTATACCATAGTTTGTGAACTCTATAACTTTCCTACAAACTAAATAATACATCCTAATTTGGGTTATTTTCACCAAAGACATGTAGTAGAATACATCTCGGCCTAAATGTATGAAGAACAATTATTTATTTGTAAACTTTTATAACAGAAACAAAGAAAAACGTGTTTTTGTTTTTTTTTTCAAAAGTTTTGGTCTTTTTTTGTTAATTTAGCAAAAAATAAAAACCCCAGCGGTGATTAAATACCACCAAAAGAAAGCTCTAGTTGTGTGAAGAAAATGATAACATTTTAGTTTGGGTACAATGTTGTATGACCGCGCAATTGTCATTCAAAGTGTGAGAGCGCTGAAATGTGAAAACTGGCCTGGGCAGGAAGGGGGTAAAATTGCCCGGTATTGAAATGGTTAAAACCGCACTTTAGGTATTCAGCCACTTTGTAAAATGGCTGGCATTCAATTAGTTAAAGTGGAGCTCCACCCAAAAGGGGAAGTTCCACTTTAAGGACTGCTCCCTCGCTCCCCATTAAGGATTGGCACCTTTGGGGGGTGGGTACCCGGATTTGACAGGTACCTGAAGTGGAAGTCCTCCCTCTCTCCCTGTAGTCTTTTGGGACATGTGACAGGTCCCAGAAGACTACAGGACCATTCATGAGGTGCAGTGCTACTCGCTCATGCGCAGTGGGTACCCGGCTGTGAAGCCGCAAGCTGTCACAGCTGGGTGCCCACACTGAAGATGCCGGCCTCCTTGAATACAGGACGGCTGGTGAAGCAGGCTGCAGGAGGAACCCACCGAGGGACATGTAAGTGGCTGTTTTTTAAAAGTCATCAGCTACAGTTTTTGTAGCTACTGACTTTTATTTTTTGACAGCGTGAGTGGAACTCCACTTTAAGTCCAAAGAGGTGCATGCCACCTCATTGATTTACCTTTTTAATTTATAATTGACAGCTTTACAGAACTCCAGGAGTGCAATTATCACTACACTTCTGGGGTCTGGGAGGAGAGATGGCGTGTTCACATAATACAAAGTGCCCCATGAGTGAGAAGGAGGAGGGAAGGTGCGGGCATAGAAGCTGCAGGCAACTCTGCAGCCTCAGGAACTGAGACCAGAGGGTGTATCATCGGAGCACCAGAACTATAGCCATGTTTATGCTCCCAAAACTCAGAAAAAAATGTTAAAGCGGAGTTCCACTCACCCTTCCAAAAAATAAGTCAGCAGCTACAAAAACTGTAGCTGCTGACTTTTAAACAGCCACTTACCTGTCCCTCAGTCCCGTGGTATGTCCCTTAAGCCCGTTTCACCGGCCATCCTGTATTCCAGGAGGCCGGCATCTTCAGTGTGGGCACCCGGCTGTGACAGCTTGCGGCTTCACAGCCGGGTGCCCACTGCGCATGCACGAGTAGCGCTCCGCTTCATGAATGGTCCTGTAGTCTTCTAGGACCTGTCACGTGTCCCAATAGACTACAGGAAGGGAGGAGGGAGGACACCTACAGGGAGGGAGGATACCTTCCATTTCCGATCCCCTAGGCGATTGGACCGGAAGTGGGAATGGGTACCTGTCAAATTTGGGTACCTGCTCCCCCCCCCAAAGGTGTCAATCCTTAATGGGGAGCAAGGGAGCAGTCCTTAAAGTAGAATTTCCCTTTTTGGGTGGAGCTCCACTTTAACTGTAAATTAGATAATTCTACGAGCTGAATTTCTGGAGTTAGAATAAGCATCTTATTTTTCAGTCTTGTGATAGAAATGGGACAAAGTAGAGGAAATCTTTGGCAATTGTATCTGGGGCAGATATTCAAATTGGTAGTTGGCCTTTTGCCTCCTGTTCCAGCGGCCATTGTCAAGAGAGGAAGCGGGGAATAAATTTCGCCAGCAGGGACAGTAGAACTTGTTGCAGTTTTCATGTGTGTACTGTACACTTGGGTACATAAAAAGTTACTGTTGCTGTTTGCATTTCCCGTTCTGCAGATGTTTGAAGTTCCTGGGCAGCAGACACCCCACGCTGGTCCTGTCGCTGGTCCCTGATCTCCTGGGTACCCACCCTTTCTTTGATGTGCCAGAGCCTGATATGGACAATCCATCCTGTATCCAGTTTCTATGTATATTTTCTGTGCTACGTTGACCAAACAGGAGTGCTGAGTATTGTAAGCCTGTGGGAAGAATGGTGGTTGCCACTACTGAGCTTGTTACTTGTCTGGGTTGTATTGGTACCCATTACCTTAAAGCGGAGTTCCACCCTCCCCCCCAAGAAAAATAAGCACTTTAGCTGCTGACTTTTAACATTAGGGCAGTTACCTGCTCAGGGATCCAGCGGTGTCCTCACTCTGAGCCGATATTTTAGTTGGCTATCGGGTGCTAGAGCATTCATCTTGACTACGGGAAACCGTCAGTGAAGCCTTGAGGCTTCACAGCTGATCTACTGTGCAAGCGCAAAGCGTTCTGCGCTTTGGGAATGGGCCGCAGTCTTCTGGGACCTGTGAAGTGTCCTAGAGGGCTGCGAGGGGAGGAAGGAGGGGGTGGAGGGCCAACTTCCAGCCCAGTTCACCCTGGTGAAGTGAGCCGGAAGTGGGAGCGGGTACCTGTCAAAACCAGATCCCCTCTCCTCTCTCCCCCTTCCCCCATAATGTGCCAAATGTGGCAGCAGAGATTGAGGAGGATGCAGATAAGCAGAGCTTCCACTTTTGGGTGGAACTCCGCTTTAAGTAATTTCGGAGTCACTAACACAGAATTGAGTCAAAGGTAAGTCAGAAGTCCTTATATTCATAATTGTTTCAGGTCAGTGTGACGGGAGTCACTTTGGTTTGGGGGCCCATGGAACCCAGCTCACTTTGGAGAGGTGGGGAGACCCCTGTCTCAGCTCCCCATAGTCCTCCTTTGTGTAAATCACCCTGTGCTTGTTAGGGGTACAGGGTGATATGTCCTAATATTGTGTGGGCTTTGTCTCAGACTGTGTAGACATGTTTGGGAGATAGATGGGGTGGGGGGTTGTTGATTGTTTAATGTTATGTGGCTGCATCCCATTGTTCTATTGTTTGTCTTGCTTGGGAGCAAACTATTATGGGATGTATGTGTTTATGTGTATTAGTTTAGTGGGGGGGTGTCTCCAGCAGCCCTCCCTCCTGATGGGACTGTCTACTGGTGTGAAGTTTGAATACCTGTATGTCTCTTGTTACTAAATGTAGATTGCCCCTCCCTTTGTCATTATGCAGGGAGGGGGGATTGTCCCCTGAGTGTATATATTTTGCATCTGTGCTCAAATAAAGTAGTCTGCTTCTGGTTTACTTCAAATCTGGTGTTGTCCGGATCTTGGGGTAACAATAGCCAGATTCACTGGTAACGTGTTCCAGAGCCTGAGAAGCAGCTTCTTGATGGAGATACCCAGTCGTGGGTGTCTGGGGTCTGTTACAGTCAGTGACATTTGAAACCAGAGGGATAGCATGATAGCAGTGTAGATAGCACTTTCAGCAGGGGACATTAGTAGTCAAAGGTCCAAGGTTTCCCTCAGGACAGGTTTCTTTTTAATAATCCAGTGCTGGAATGTATACTCTGGAAGTTTCGTAACTTTTGGAAATTTACTTATGATCCTCTGGTGTCAATAATGTAGTTCGTCATTGTTTTGAAAGGCTGTGTTTTGGGCAGCACAGTGGCTAAGTGGTTAGCACTTCTGCTTAGCAGCGCTAGGGTCCTTGGTTTGAATCCCAACCACGACACTACCTGCATGGAATCTGCATGTTCTCCCTGTGCCTGCGTGGGTTTCCTCCGGGTACCCCAGTTTTCTTCTACATTTCACAGACATGCTGGTAGGTAAAGTGAAATAAATAAAAATGGGGTATGTAGCGCTACAAAATATCAGACAGAGGGTATCACCATAAAAAGTAACAATAATGGACATAAATTGTTCATATGGTGTATCTGGAGGGCAGATGGATATGATCCTGTGACGTTCCAGATCCAACTCATTAGGATAGAAAAAAATAGTGCGGTTATGCGCTTACCACAAATACATACAATATGGGCATTGTATGTAAATCCTCAGCAACAGGTCATCATGGTCTGGTCAGCAGCATGAGCAGCATCTGGTCACATCAGGACATCAGGGTCTGGTCAGCAGCGTGAGCAGTATCTGGTCACCATAGCGGGCATTCAGGGATGGTGGTGCACACCTTTTATAGGGGTCCCCTCAGACTCACCCGTAGGTCCAACGTTGTCCCGGCACCAACTGGTTCCTTATTCCAGATCACCACCTTGCAAAGCTCATTATAAACGAGCCAGGAGGCAAGAAGGTATCAATGGTGAAATACGTTTATTCAAAGTAAAATAAGCAAACAGAAGGAAGGAACTCACATCAGCATAAAGGGATACATCCACGTCTCATGGGTTCCCTGGTGGCTAGTGGTTCCATCAGCATAAAAAACACTCATCCAGGTCTGATTTAAATGTCCCTGGTGGCTAGTGGTATCATCAGCAGAAATTGTATATCAAGATTCCCCAGGGATGAAAGCAGCCACCCAGGTCTAATAACAAGACTCCCCTGGTGGTTAGTGTTTCCCTGGTGGTATAGGCGTCAATTGGGTGGATCCCCTAACATGTTTCAAGCAAATGCCTTTGAAAACGAGCATTTGCTCGAAACATGTTAGGGGATCCACCCAATTGACGCCTATACCACCAGGGAAACACTAACCACCAGGGGAGTCTTGTTATTAGACCTGGGTGGCTGCTTTCATCCCTGGGGAATCTTGATATACAATTTCTGCTGATGATACCACTAGCCACCAGGGACATTTAAATCAGACCTGGATGAGTGTTTTTTATGCTGATGGAACCACTAGCCACCAGGGAACCCATGAGACGTGGATGTATCCCTTTATGCTGATGTGAGTTCCTTCCTTCTGTTTGCTTATTTTACTTTGAATAAACGTATTTCACCATTGATACCTTCTTGCCTCCTGGCTCGTTTATAATGAGCTTTGCAAGGTGGTGATCTGGAATAAGGAACCAGTTGGTGCCGGGACAACGTTGGACCTACGGGTGAGTCTGAGGGGACCCCTATAAAAGGTGTGCACCACCATCCCTGAATGCCCGCTATGGTGACCAGATACTGCTCACGCTGCTGACCAGACCCTGATGTCCTGATGTGACCAGATGCTGCTCATGCTGCTGACCAGACCATGATGACCTGTTGCTGAGGATTTACATACAATGCCCATATTGTACGTATTTGTGGTAAGCGCATAACTGCGCTATTTTTTTTCTATCCTACTGAGTTGGATCTGGAACATCACAGGATCATATCCATCTGCCCTCCAGATACACCATATGAACAATTTATGTCCATTATTGTTACTTTTTATGGTGACACCCTCTTTTGATATTTATTTTGTAGCGCTACATACCCCATTTTTATTTATTTCACGTTCAAGGTATTGAGGATTACCCTGTATGTTAGCTGCTCGCTTTGTCTGTTTGCGCTCACTTACCTTACCCTTTACATATATGGTAGGTAAAGTGGCTCTAGTATGTGTGAAAGTAAGAACCGTATACAGCGCATTCAGAAAGTATTCAGACCCCCTTAATTTCTCTCAATTTTTTAATGTTGCGGCCTGATTATTATTATTATTATACAGTATTTATAAAGCACCAATAGTTCGCTCAGCGCTGTACATTACAAAGGGGGACAGAACATGTGACAGAACAACAACAATACAATGCAAAACATGAGGGGATTGAGGGCCCTGCTCTTTCGAGCTTACAATCTAGGATACTACAGTTTACATTTTTTTTCTTCCTCATTTATCTACACTCAATACCCCATAAGTGTAAACGGAATTTTATAAATGTCTGTGAAATTATTAAAAATTAAAAACTCAAATGTCATATTGGATAAAGTATTCAGACCTTTTGCAACAAAACTTGAAATTTTAGCTCAGGTGCCCCCATGTTCTTTTGATTGTTGCTGAGATGTTTGTGCACCTTGGTGGAGTCCACTTATGGTAAATGAAACTGATTGGACATGATTTAGAAAGGTACACACCTCCCTATAAAAGGCCTCACAGCTGACAAAGCATACTGAATCAGGGCAAAAGCCATGAGGTCAAGGGTACTGCCTGCAGAGCTCAGAGACAGGATTATTGCAAGACACAGATCTAGGGAAGGCTACAAAAATATTTTCTAATGCAATGAAGGTTCCCAAGATCACAGTGGCCTCCATTTTCAAATGGAAGAAGTATGGCACAACCAGGACTCTTCCAAGAGCTGGTCGCCCCGGCCAAACTCCACAATCTGGGGAGAAGGGCCTTTGTAAGAGTGCTGACCAAGAACCTGCTAGTCACCCTGGCAAAGGCCCTTCTCTCCAGATTACTGATTATGGCCGGGTGACCAGCTCTTGGAAGAGTCCTGGTTGTGCCAAACTGCACATTTGAGAATAATGGAGGCCACTGTGGTCTTGGGAACCTTCATTGCATCAGAATTATTATTATTTTTTTTTTTTTATGTACCCTTCCCCAAATCTAAGCTCTGCAGGCAGTGACTTTTGACCTCATGGCTTTTGCTCTGATACAGTATGCGTTGCCAGCTGTGAGGCCATTTTATAGGTGTGAGCCTTTCCGAATCAATTCTAATTTAATTTAACCTGGCGGTATTCCCGAGTGTAGCTCAGGGTAAAGTTTCACCAGCACACGCGGTAACCCTGAGCTACACTCGGGAATACCCTACAGAACTGCTCTGGGATCTCTTCTGTAGTTACCTTGTCCTTCGCTTCTGCAATGTCCCCCCTGCAGTGTCCCCTGCAATGTCCTCCGGCCGATGCCGAAACCCATCTTCTGGGTTCTGTTCCCTGCGACATATGGGGGCCGGAATTGGCGGGAAATTTGAAAGTTAAAAGTGACATTCACTAAATACACTAAAATCACATAGTATAACATTCCTGTATCAAACCATTTCACATACATTAGTCCCGAGTGCTTTGTCCTGCGCCCTGCCTGCATTTTTACTGTTCTTTCTGCCTGGAAACTGAGAAACGTTCATGGCGCCCAAAAAGCATCCCTTTAGGTCAAAAGCGGTTTTAGACCGGCTAGAGAACAGCGATAGTAAATTAGAACCACTTGCAGAATTGAGTGATAATGATTCGTGGGGGAAATTAGTCATCAGACACTGAAAACGATTCTGCGACTTTGCTCAGCGATGTGTGAACTTGGCGCTATATTTCAAATTTCAGTGTTTTTGGTTTGATTATATTATTTAATTAAATGTATTATTATATTATTTTATATGTTTATTTATTAAATTATAATTTATGATTTCGTGTTTCAATTTGTAACATACCCGGGATGTTTACTAGACTCTTGTTCGGACAGATTTCAGTGAGTTTATTCCCAAAAATTACAGGCCTGCAATAAAAAAAACTACATATTTCCATGCAAAAAAAAAGAACCGCTTTGAGCACAGAAATATGGACATAATCAGACCGCTGGGGAGGTTAATGCAGGTGGACGCTGATCAAGGAATAGAAACATCTCTGCAACGATCAAGATAAACTGGAGGAATCTGAGCTACCATTTCAAGTGTTGTTGTAAAGGGTCTGAATACTTTGTCCAATATGAGTTTTCAGTTTTTTATTTTTAATAAATTCAGACATTTGTAAAATTCCGTTTTCACTTTGTCAATATGGGGTGTTTGAGTGTAGATTAATGAGAAAAAAATGAATTTAAACAGCAGTAATATCAGGCTGCTACATAATTGAAATCGAAAAAATTGAAGGGGGTCTGAATACTTTCTGAATGCACTGGAAGTACCTGTAATAAATATTTTAAATAATGCACAATATTTTTTTTTTTTAAGCCTTTAACTCTTCTCACCAGATATAGCTCTTTTGGTTTTGATATTTAATGCTGCAAAAACCTGCCCCACCATGCCAGCCCTGTTTTCTGGCCACCTTTTCCGCCACTACGCCTACCTGCGGGACAGCCTGTCGCACCTGGTCCCTGCATTGAACGTAAGTCATTTTATCACATCACTTTTCTAGTCATCAGGATCTGCCATAGCTGGCCCTAGACTATAAAGCCCTGGTACCTGTGGCCTGGAGTGTAGATCTGGCTATTTGGGGCTCCTGCTTGCAGTATTTGTGTTTTCCTATTGCCTTGTAATAGCAGTCATTTCTACCAGAATGATGCAGCTATTCAGGGTAAGCCTTGTACTTTTATCAATGAATACAAGGCTTTCTCTGATTGGCTGGGGTGAAAATTGTGAGATCATCCATCTTTCCACCTCGGAAATACTATAAATGGACTTTATAGGCATGAAGACTAGGTAAACGTATAAATAAAATCAATATTGCTTTGACATTAAGTCACGTATAGACCATAGTATTAAAAAACCTATTTGGTAATATCCCCACAATGAATGTCCCTTCTGGTGCTGGAGAAGAGGCCAATTCTCCAGCGCCAGAATGTCCCTCTCACCCCCCCTACCCCATAGGCTCATCCTGGTGTTTTTTTCCATGCCTCATCACTGGTTGTGCTCCTTCTGTACATGGTGGGCTCTGGGACATTTGTTGCGGGGATATTACCAAATAGGTTTTTAATACTATGGTCTAGGGGCGGACTGACAACTCATGGGGCCCCCGGGCAATAGGGGATCATGGGGCCCCTGTATCCTCACCCACACTCAAACCACACCCAAAAAAGCCTATGAAAGGTACCAGGGACATCTCATGGGGCCCCTTACTGACCCCGAGTTCCCCAATAGTCAGTCCACCCCTGCTATGGTCTATATGTGACATAATGTCAAATAAAACCGTATTGATTTTATTTATATGTGTACCTAGTCTTTGTGCCTATAAAGTCCATTTGTAGCATTTCTGTTTCTTCTGACTAGTCAAAATTAGGACGTAGCACTAGTGTATATATTGGGAGTGACCCTTCACCTGAGGGTACCCCAGCTTCTTTTTATTCACCTTTCCACCTGGGCTAATTAGAGGAAGCCTTGTATTCATTTATACAATTTTTAATATTTAATGTTTTAAATTAAAAGAATTTTTGGATCTCCTCAGGTAACATACTTAAAGTGTTACTAAACCCACAACAGTAAAGTCTGTCCGTATATGCAACAAAGCATGCTTGGTATACTCACTGTGAAACCTAAGGGGTTAATCCTCCACATTGTGTAAAAAGGATGTTTGATCCTCCCCTTCTTCCAGTGTCTCCTAAATATCTCCTGATAGAACATAGGCTTGGGGGCAAGCTGCACATGCTCAATTTGCTGTGTATTGCTAGAGTTTTTTTTTTTCTTGGGAGAGTGCATCAGCAGAGGGCCAATCAGCACTCTCCAGACAGAGGTCAGAGGTCTTGTATCCTTCTACAGGAAAACCCCTCCTACAAATGAAAAACTCCTCCTACAAGCTGTAACCAGTGCTCTGCTGGACACTGGCGGAAATCACAAGACTGCTATATACTACTGATGAGAAAAGGTATTTAGCAGTTTATATTTACTAAAATAATTGCATTTCCATGTTGTGTGTACTTTGGGAGACCAGATATAGTGAATGTAGGATCCTGGGAGACCAGATATAGTGATTGCAGGGTCCTGGGAGATCAGATATAGTGAATGCAGGGTCCTGGGAGATCAGATATAGTGAATGTAGGATCCTGGGAGACCAGATATAGTGAATGCCGGGTCCTGGGAGATCAGATATAGTGAATGCAGGGTCCTGGGAGATCAGATATAGTGAATGCGGGGTCCTGGGAGACCAGATATAGTGAATGCAGGGTCCTGGGAGACCAGATATAGTGAATGCGGGGTCCTGGGAGATCAGATATAGTGAATGCGGGGTCCTGGGAGATCAGATATAGTGAATGCGGGGTCCTGGGAGACCAGATATAGTGAATGCCGGGTCCTGGGAGACCAGATATAGTGAATGCGGGGTCCTGGGAGATCAGATATAGTGAATGCGGGGTCCTGGGAGACCAGATATAGTGAATGTGGGGTCCTGGGAGACCAGATATAGTGAATGCAGGATCCTGGGAGACCAGATATAGTGAATGCGGGGTCCTGGGAGATCAGATATAGTGAATGCGGGGTCCTGGGAGACCAGATATAGTGAATGCGGGGTCCTGGGAGACCAGATATAGTGAATGCAGGATCCTGGGAGATCAGAGACAGTGAATGCGGGGTCCTGGGAGATCAGATATAGAAAATGCAGGGTCCTGGGAGACTAGATATAGAGAATGCAGGGTCTGGGGAGACCAGATATAGTGAATGCGAGGTCCTGGGAGACCAGATGTAGTGAATGCGATGTCCTGGGAGACCAGATCTAGTGAATGCGGGGTCCTGGGAGACCAGATCTAGTGAATGCGGGGTCCGGGGAGACCAGATCTAGTGAATGCGGGGTCCGGGGAGACCAGATCTAGTGAATGCAGGGTCTGGGGAGACCAGATCTAGTGAATGCGGGGTCCTGGGAGACCAGATCTAGTGAATGCGGGGTCCTGGGAGACCAGATCTAGTGAATGCGGGGTCCTGGGAGACCAGATATAGTGAATGCGGGGTCCTGGGAGATCAGATATAGTGAATGCGGGGTCCTGGGAGACCAGATATAGAAAATGCAGGGTCCTGGGAGACTAGATATAGAGAATGCAGGGTCTGGGGAGACCAGATCTAGTGAATGCGGGGTCCTGGGAGACCAGATCTAGTGAATGCGGGGTCCTGGGAGACCAGATATAGCGAATGTGGGGTCCTGGGAGACCAGATATAGCGAATGTGGGGTCCTGGAAGACCAGATATAGAGAATGCGGGGTCCTGGGAGACCAGATATAGCGAATGCGGGGTCCTGGGAGACCAGATATAGCGAATGCGGGGTCCTGGGAGACCAGATATAGCGAATGCGGGGTCCTGGGAGACCAGATATAGCGAATGCGGGGTCCTGGGAGACCAGATATAGCGAATGCGGGGTCCTGGGAGACCAGATATAGCGAATGCGGGGTCCTGGGAGACCAGATATAGCGAATGCGGGGTCCTGGGAGACCAGATATAGCGAATGCGGGGTCCTGGGAGACCAGATATAGCGAATGCGGGGTCCTGGGAGACCAGATATAGCGAATGCGGGGTCCTGGGAGACCAGATATAGCGAATGCGGGGTCCTGGGAGACCAGATATAGCGAATGCGGGGTCCTGGGAGACCAGATATAATGAATGCGGGGTCCTGGGAGACCAGATCTAGTGAATGTGGGGTCCTGGGAGACCAGGTACAGTGAATACTGCATACACTATATCTGTTCTCCCCAGACCCTGCATTCACTATATCGGGTCTCCCAGGACCCTGCATTCACTATATCTGGTCTCCCCGGACCCTGCATTCACTATATCTGATCTCCCCGGACCCTGCATTCACTATATTTGGTCTCCCAGGACCCCGCATTCACTATATCTGGTCTCCCAGGACCCCGCATTCACTATATCTGGTCTCCCAGGACCCCGCATTCACTATATCTGGTCTCCCAGGACCCCGCATTCACTATATCTGGTGACTTCTACCAGTGTCCAGCAGAGCACTGGTTACAGCTTGTAGGAAGAGTTTTCATTCTCCTGTAGGAGGATACAGGACCTCTGACCTCTGTCTGGTCACTGGCTAGGAAAGGGTTAAACATCTAGGGCATTAATAGGGTTAACTGTATGCCTAGCTGTGTGTTTTGTGTACAGTCAGGTGCTTTTACTAGGCTATCTGCTAGATTTTATTCACTATATCTGGTCTCCCGGACCCTGCATTCACTATATCTGGTCTCCCAGGACCCTGCATTCACTATATCTGGTCTCCCAGGACCCCGCATTCACTATATCTGGTCTCCCAGGACCCCGCATTCGCTAGATCTGGTCTCCCAGGACCCCGCATTCGCTAGATCTGGTCTCCCAGGACCCCGCATTCGCTAGATCTGGTCTCCCAGGACCCCGCATTCGCTAGATCTGGTCTCCCAGGACCCCGCATTCGCTAAATCTGGTCTCCCAGGACCCCGCATTCGCTAGATCTGGTCTCCCAGGACCCCGCATTCGCTAGATCTGGTCTCCCAGGACCCCGCATTTGCTAGATCTGGTCTCCCAGGACCCCGCATTCGCTAGATCTGGTCTCCCAGGACCCCTCCCATATAGTGAATGCGGGGTCCTGGGAGACCAGATCTAGTGAATGTGGGGTCCTGGGAGACCAGGTACAGTGAATACTGCATACACTATATCTGTTCTCCCCAGACCCTGCATTCACTATATCGGGTCTCCCAGGACCCCGCATTCACTATATCTGGTGACTTCTACCAGTGTCCAGCAGAGCACTGGTTACAGCTTGTAGGAAGAGTTTTCATTCTCCTGTAGGAGGATACAGGACCTCTGACCTCTCTGGTCACTGGCTAGGAAAGGGTTAAACATCTAGGGCATTAATAGGGTTAACTGTATGCCTAGCTGTGTGTTTTGTGTACAGTCAGGTGCTTTTACTAGGCTATCTGCTAGATTTTATTCACTATATCTGGTCTCCCTGGACCGCACATTCACTATATCCGATCTCCCCGGACCCTGCATTCACTATATCTGGTCTCCCAGGACCCTGCATTCACTATATCTGGTCTCCCAGGACCCCGCATTCACTATATCTGGTCTCCCAGGACCCTGCATTCACTATATCTGGTCTCCCAGGACCCTGCATTCACTATATCTGGTCTCCCAGGACCCTGCATTCACTATATCTGGTCTCCCAGGACCCTGCATTCACTATATCTGGTCTCCCAGGACCCTGCATTCACTATATCTGGTCTCCCAGGACCCCGCATTCACTATATCTGGTCTCCCAGGACCCTGCGTTCACAGTGATGGTGCTGGCCATTGATTTGCACAGAGTATATGACAGCAGTGGGGGGGGGGGGGGGGGGGGGGGGGGGGGGGGGGGGGGGGGGGGGGGGGGGGGGGGGGGGGGGGGGGGGGGGGGGCACTTGTCATACACAGATTGCAAAAGCAGTGTTTAGTACCACCGCCAACAATCTACTGATCCTCTCCAGCAGCCACCCGTGTGTGGCCATGTGAATGTAGACTTAGAGGTGCCACTAGAATCTTTCCAATCCAACATTTCCAGGTGTGTGAGGATCTTTTTTTTTTTCTTGCTGCTGGCTGTACACATGTGGCAGTACAGAACTGGGCTTTTCTGTCACATGTGCAGCTTGCCTATAGTTCATCTTTAAAGTGTTACTAAATCCAGGACCCTCCATTCTCTATATCTGTTCTCCCAGGACCCCGCATTCGCTAGATCTGGTCTCCCAGGACCCCGCATTCGCTAGATCTGGTCTCCCAGGACCCCGCATTCGCTAGATCTGGTCTCCCAGGACCCCGCATTCACTAGATCTGGTCTCCCAGGACCCCGCATTCGCTAGATCTGGTCTCCCAGGACCCCGCATTCGCTAGATCTGGTCTCCCAGGACCCCGCATTCGCTAGATCTGGTCTCCCAGGACCCCGCATTCGCTAGATCTGGTCTCCCAGGATTCCGCATTCGCTAGATCTGGTCTCCCAGGACCCCTCCCATATAGTGAATGCGGGGTCCTGGGAGACCAGATCTAGAGAATGGAGGGTCCTGGGTTTAGTAACACTTTAAAGATGAACTATAGGCAAGCTGCACATGTGACAGAAAAGCCCAGCTCTGTACTGCCATGTGTACAGCCAGCAGCAAGAAAAAAAAAAAGATCCTCACACACCTAGAAATGTTGGATTGGAAAGATTCTAGTGGCACCTCTAAGGCTACATTCACATGGCCACACACGGGTGGCTGCTGGAGAGGATCAGTAGACTGTTGGCGGTGGTACTAAACTCTGCTTTTGCAATCTGTGTATGACAAGTGACTGCTGTCATATACTCTGTGCAAATCAATGGCCAACACCATCACTGTTTGCATCTAACCACTCATCTGAGAGGCTACGTGTAAAGAGATCCTCCGACCAACCCTGCACACCCTGTCCAGGGTCGACTCTTCTGCTGTGTTTTGGCCGCAGCTAATCGGCCAGTTTGCATGCAGCCATAGAACAGAATATTACTGTGTCCAGACGTGACATTCAGCTGCCTCTGGACACTGCAAACTATCCACGTCCGTGTGAGTGTAGCCAAATGTGGCAACATGGCAAAAGTTGATTCACTGGAGGGGCAAATGGAGTACAATACTTATCTTTTTCAAAGCAGTAATATAAAACAAGCATCTTAGAAGTGATGACCGTGTCTCCTTGACTTGTGGCCCCCCATCTGCCTGGGATGTCTAAGTCCCAGTGTAACTTGACATCTGTCTGCAGGGCTGTTCTTCTGAGGTGCAATGACAAAGGTTTATGATGTCTTTGATTGGGTTGGCTTCATTTCATTTGTATAAATTTCTTTGTTTTAGCTACCAGGAGTGAAGTGGTCTTGGATTCCAGATGTAGAACCTGGCTCCACCCCTGAGGATCCATCTCAGCAGTTTCTACAAAACAGCTTGGAACGTGTTCATAACTTACAGAATCTGGGGACCCAGGGGTCACAGGAGCTTTTGGAATATACTATCCGGTAAATGGTGCATCTTTCACCTCACTTCTCTCCAAACATCTCTTCTATCTGTGAACAGATTCTCTGAAGAATTGCAGCAGAATGGAAAAGATGGAACTTTTGTGACTTCTGTGTCTATTTGGGTTTGTCCTCCAGCCTAAAACCAGACCCATGTTGGGTCCATTTGCGGGCAGATTTATGTGGATGTGGAGTGCTCTGTCTTTGACGTAGCAGGAGTTTTGTTGGAGCTCTGCAAAGAGATTGCTGCTTACCCACAGAGAGCAAGGGTCCTTCTATACAGCATGCTGGCTTGAGCAGGCTTTTTATTCAAGCTGTGGCTGATCTTTAACCACTTCCCGGCGGCTGTTGTATATAAACGGCCTGATGGTGGCAGTGCAGGGGCGGGTGGCCATTTATAAACTCCCTCCTCTCCCCCTGCTTGTATGCGTTCCCTGGGAGCGCGCAGCACCGCGATCCGGTGCCCGCTGTGTCCTCCGGACACAGTGGAACACCAGTCGTTGTACAGGACCTCTGTGCGAGGTCCCGATCATGTGATCACTGATTGGCCAATCGGTGATCACATGCAGAGTAGTAAGCAAGATGTCATTTCTGACATCATTGCTAACTATGTGTGAAATCTGTGAATGATCACAGAGGTCACATGGTACAAGACTATTCACAACAGCCTTGTACCATGTGACAAGCTGTGACCAATCACAGCTCACACAGTAGTTCTCAATGGCTGCAAGAATGCAGCCAGAGAGAATGAGAAATTATTGCTTTTACAGCCTTTATGGGTGTAAAAGCAATCCGTGTAAAAAAAAAAAAAAAAAAAACCTTCATCACCCCCCACAAGTAGTACAGTGTCACCACTGTACTGCTAGGGTGACCGTATGTAAAAAAAAAAACATAAATATTAATATAAAAAATGTAAAAAAAAAAAAAAAAGTTTTAAATTATAATTTTTGGTGTTAAACTAATTTGGGTTGTCCGCCCCCTTTTTTTTTTTTTTTTTGTGCTAAAAAGATAACTGAATACATTTTGGCCAAGATTTATGAAGAAAGATGATTTATTTCCAAAATTTTATAAGAAAAAAGCACTTTTTTTTTTTCAAAATTTTTGGACTTTTTTATTTATATAGCAAAAAAAAAAAAAATAAAACTCCCAGTGGTGAATAAATACCACCAAAATAAAAGTTTTATCTGTCTCCAAAAAATGATAAAAAATCTATATGGGTACAGTGTTGCATGACCGCACAATTGTCATTCAAAGTGTGATAGCGCTGAAACTTGGCCTGGACAGGAAGGGGGTGAAAGTGTCCGGACTTGAAGTAATTAATGAAAACAAACAGGCCCGGCTCACATCTAGCGATTTGGGATCGCAGGTGGAATCACCACGATTCTGCCCATTAATCCAAATTGCACTGCAATGCTGGCAAAACACAGCACGCATTCATTTTTAACGACACCAAAACGCGGTGCGATTTTTGTTGTAATTTATAGCGCAGCAGTCACAAACAAACTTCCTCACTTAAAGCTTGTCACCCAAAAAGGAGCAGGAGCTTCTTTTGGGCTGCAAGCTTCATGCAATGTGGTTTGCCGCACTATAAATGGCGTGACAATCGCAGCAAAACCGTGCAGCCTTTTGGTGTCATTAAAAATGAATGGCACGCAAACATGCGTGCTGCGATTTGGAATCACAGCCAGAATCCACCCACGATCCCAATTTGCTAGATGTGAACGGGGCCTAAGACTTTGCACATTATTTTCTTTTGATGCCCCTAAAATGCATTTAGGCAATTTAAACTGAAAGTGAAACTGGCCTTGGGGATCTAAGGTTCCATGTGTAATTTTTTATTTATATGTACACAGGGGCGGCCATGTTTACTCATTACATACACAGACTCTTCTGATTATTGGGCTTAGCTACTCCTTCTCACAATGAAAGTCTTTGCTGACTTGGTTAACCACTTGCCCCCCAGAGGATTTACCCCCCTTCCTGACCAGGCCATTTTTTTCAATACGGCACTGCGTTACTTTAACTGAGAATTGCGCGGTCATGCAACGCTGTACATAAATTAAATTTATGTCCTTTTTTTTTTTTTTCCTTCCACAGAGTTTTTTCTTTCAGTGGTATTTGATCACCTCAGTCTTTTTTTTTTTTTTTTTTTTTTTTTTTTTTTTTTTGGCGCTACATAAACAAAAAAAGACTGACAATTTTGAAAAAAAAAAAAACAATATTGTTGACTTTTTGCTTTAAAACAAAGCATATCTAGTGAAAGAATTAAAAAATGTCTTCATAAATTTAAGCAAAAATGTATTCTGCTACATCTGCTATAAAAAAAAAAAAAAAAAAAAAGTCCCAGTACATGTAAATTAATTGGTTTGCATGAAAGTTCTATTGTCTACAAATGGCGGTATATATACTGGAATTTTTATTTACTTTTTTTTTATACTAGTAATGGCAGCGATCAGCGACTTATTGCGGGGACTACAGCTGGCTTAGTCAGTCTTTTGTTGTGATTAGCTGTTTTTTTTTTTTTTATTTTTATTTTTATTATTATATCTTTTATTAGGTTTGTGATTAGCTGTGCTTGAGCAAAGCTCATCACATGATGCAGATGGGCTGTGATTGGCCCTGACCAATCACAGCTAACAACACTATTGTATTCAGTGGATGGCATGAATCGAAGCCATCCATTGTGTAAAATTGTCATGTGATCTGTTGTGATTGGTCATAGTGATCACATGACACTGACAGCATGCCGGTGTAGTGATCTGTCACCGGCTGTGTCCCCTGGATACAGCCGGTGACAGATCTTGCTGCTGCATAGCCGTGTGAGCAGCACCTTCTGACAGGACATCATATGACGTCCACTCAGAAGGAGTAGCGTCCCACCCAGCTGTCAATCTGCTATAGGCCGGGCGGGAAGGTGTTAAAAAGAAAAAAAAGCACAAAAAAAGGGCCCCTGAAGCAGGGTGGACTGACAACTCATGGGGCCCCCGGACAATAGGGGATCTTGGGACCCCTGTGTCCTCGCCCACACTCAAACCACTCCCAAAAAGCCTATGAAAGGTACCAGGGGCATCTCATGGTGCCCCCTACTGACCCCGGGCCCTCGGGCAGTCCCCGAGTGTCCGAATGGTCAATCCACCCCTGCCCTGAAGGCTTTTGTCATACTAGCACATTATGGCAAACGAAGCCCTCAGCTGTCACTGCTGCCCAGGCTTCCATCTTCACCCGGTCTTCGTTCCAGGTTCACATGCCCTGCCCATTTAAATGGCCAACCCACAATGACGTCACTTCTGCGCATGTGCACAGGAGTCACGTTCACAGCACAGCAATGTGAATTGAAGGCTTGCTTGGTGTGCCTTCAATGTAAAGTCCAGTGTGCATGCACTGAGGATGCCACCGGCTGCTAAAATTGTGCCTATCTACTAAACGGTATACATTTAGGAGATATTCCTTGCACCTTATTGAAAGCTTACCTGTAGGTACAAGTTTAAATATAGAGTTTACTATCACTTTAACCACCTCCCGCCCGCCATATAGTAATATGACGGACACAAGGTGGTTCTCTCGTTCTGGGAGGATGCCATATGACGCCCTCCCATTCTAACCGCGCATGCGCAGCTTCCGGAGCACGCAGCGCTGCGATCGGCAGTGGGGACACAGCGGATCATCGATCCACGGAAAGAGCCGAAGATTTCGGCTCAGTCGTGTGATCAGCTGTGTCCAATCACAGCTGATCACATGTAAACAGGGAAATGTCGGTTATCGGTTTCTCTCCTCACGAGCTGTCACGCTGACAGAGGAGAGCCTGTAATAGGCATTCCTCGGAGAGGACATGTACACTGATCATCAGGGCACTGATGACCAGTGTGCCCTGATGATCTGTGTAGCCCCAGCAGTGCAACCTGTCAGTGTCCATCAGTGCCAGCTCTGTGCTCATCCATGCCACCTGCCAGTGCCCATCAGTGCCACATCAATGCCACATGTCAGTGCCCATCTGAGCTGCCTTTCAGTGTCACCCATCAGTGCCACCTATCAATGCCAGTCAGTGTTGCCAATCAGTGCCAGTCAGTGCTGCCTATCAGTGTGCATCAGTGCCGCCTAACAGTGCCAGTCAGTGCCACCTATCAGTTCCGCCCATCAGTGCCACCTATCAGTGCCATATGAGTGCTGCCTTTCAGTGCCCATCAGTGATGCCCATCAGTGCCACCTATCAGTGTCCATCAGTGCAGCCTATCAGTGCCCATCACTGCAGCCTCATTAGCGCACATCAGTAAAGGAGAAAAATCACTTATTTACAAAATTTTATAACAAAACACTAAGAAAAAACGTGTTTTTTTTTTTCACACTTTTCAGTGGTTTTTGGTTTTAAGAAAAAATAAAAAAAAACCCCGAGGTGATTAAATACCACCAAAATAAAGCTCTATCTGTCACAAAAAAATGATAAAAATTTCATATGGGTCCAGTGTTGCATGACCGCGCAATTATTCAAAGTGCGACAGCGCTGAAAGCTGGAAATTGGCCTGGGCAGGAAGGGGGTAGAAGTGCCCGGTAGGCTTGTGGTTAATGGTAAAGTAGAAGGCTGCTGTTGTGTGTACTACAGGTATCCAATTTAGTTTTTTTTTTTTTTGTCTTTTTTTTTTACCCCACAGGGATCTCCAGCGGATTGGCGAGCTGCAGTCTGATCTGGCTGGCAAGGCAGATTTCTCGGCCACCTACCTGCGCTGTCACTTGCTTCTCATAAAGGTTTGTGTCTTATACTGGTGGATATTTATGTACAGAAATTTGTATTCCTTCCAGCATTCCTTAGAGGATGCAGGACCCTGGACTTAAACGTGTGGGTATAGTTATTGTGTACAGTTGGTATAGACACTATGTAGATGAATATAGGGGCCAGCCATCTCTAGTGGCTATACTAGATTAGATTATCGGATTTTCAGAGAGGCGGGACTTATATCTCCTTCGATATGTTACGACAGCTTTTTGATATCCCCCGCTCCGTGAACTTTATCGCTATTGGCAAATAAGACACTTTTTTTAGCTCGCATTTTGGATTGACACCTTCGTCACATATTGTGAACGTATCGGCTGTGACTCTCCCAGGTGTTAGGGTTTTATTTTCAGATTTAAATCGCTCCTTTTCGAAGTGCTATCTTTCCCTTACCCCCCCCTATATATAGACAGAAATGGGAGATTGATTGCGGACTGGGAGACCATGGTGGATAATATACGTAGGGACTGTAGATCTCTCTCGGTCCGGGAGACGGCCCTTTAAAGTTTTAACCCGTTGGTGTTATACCCCCACTAGACTACATATCATGTTTCCAGGAAACATCGCACCCCTCTGTTTTCGGGGTTGTGGCCTTGCTGGTACCCTTGTGCATATGTTTTGGGCTTGTCCTGGTCTTTCCATGAACTGCCGTAAAGTTTCTAAGGTGGCCTCTGCCTTGGTGACTTTACTGGGTGCTCCCATTTTGGGGACCCAAACCAATGTAATGAGGCTGATTCACACTCTCTGTGTCTTATCTTATGGGCCATTGCCCTCCATTGGAAGTCACTGGTGGTACCTTTAGCTTCTGTTTTGCGGAGAGTCAATATGGTAATGCTCATGGAACGTATTCAATATGTCGTATTTTTGGCTCCATAAGACACACTTTTTTTCCCCCCAAAACTGGGGGAAAATGTCTGTGCTTCTTATGGAGCAAATATGAAGCAGCCGGCTCGGTATTCCCCCTCTGTTAGAATACCAGTCCAGCCGCTTTGCTCTTCTCTGCAGACCGCAAGCGGTCCTTCCTATTCTTTGGTTCAGTTGTTTTTCTCAGTCTTCTCTCCCCGGTGCCGGCATCTTTAGTGTGGGCACCCGGCTGTGACAGCTTGCGGCTTCACAGCCGGGTGCCCACTGCACATGTGTGAGAAGCGCTGCGCTTTTTGAATGACCCTGTAATCTTCTGGGACCTGTCATGTGTCCCAGAAGACTACGGGGAGGGAGGGGGTTGGACAACTCAGCGGGAGTGGGAGCTAGTACCTGTCAAATTCGGGTACCCGCTCCCCAAAGGTCCACAGTCTCTGGTCATCTGTGCTTTGTCCGCAGTCTCTGGTCATCTTTGCTTTGTCCGCAGTCTCTGGTCATCTGTGCTTTGTCCGCAGTCTCTGGTCATCTGTGCTTTGTCCGCAGTCTCTGGTCATCTGTGTTTTGCTTCAGTCTCTGGTCATGTGTGCTTCAGTCTCTGGTCATGTGTGCTTCAGTCTCTGGTCATCTGTGCTTCAGTCATCTGGTCAGTCTCTGTGTGCTTCAGTCTCTGGTCATGTGTGCTTCAGTCTCTGGTCATGTGTGCTTCAGTCTCTGGTCATGTGTGCTTCAGTCTCTGGTCATGTGTGCTTCAGTCTCTGGTCATGTGCTGTCTCTGGTCATCTTCAGTCTCTGGTCATGTGTGCAGTCTCTGGTCATCTGTGTCTCTGGTCATGTGTGCTTCAGTCTCTGGTCATCTGTGCTTCAGTCTCTGGTCATCTGTGCTTCAGTCTCTGGTCATCTGTGCTTGTCAGTCGCTTCAGTCTCTGGTCATCTGTGCTTCAGTCTCTGGTCATCTGTGCTTCAGTCTCTGGTCATCTCTGTGCTTCAGTCTCTGGTCATCTCCTGTACTGTGTCTGCAGTCTCTGGTCATCTCCTGTACTGTGTCTGCAGTCTCTGGTCATCTCCTGTACTGTGTCTGCAGTCTCTGGTCATCTCTCCTGTACTGTGTCTGCAGTCTCTGCCTTGTCATCTCCTGTACTGTGTCTGCAGTCTCTGGTCATCTCCTGTACTGTGTCTGCAGTCCCTCTGGTCATCTCCTGTACTGTGTCCGCAGTCTCTGGTCACCCTCCTGTACTGTCCTTCTGCAGTCTCTGGCCATCTCCTGTACTGTGTCTGCAGTCTCTGGTCATCTCACTGTACTGTCTGCAGTCTCTGGTCATCTCCTGTACTGTCCGCAGTCTCTGGTCATCTCCTGTATTGTGTCTGCAGTCAGCGCTCTGGCCATCTCCTGTACTGTGTCTGCAGTCTTTGGTCATCTCCTGTATTGTGTCCGCAGTCTTTGGTCATCTCCTGTATTGTGTCCGCAGTCTCTGGTCATCTCCTGTACTATGGCTGCAGTCCATTGGTTTAGAATATTTTTTTCCTGTTTTCCTCCTTTAAAATCTAGGTGCGTCTTTTGGAGTAAAAAATACGGTACATTGCTGGATAGGATGCACATATTCAACAGAAAATGGGATGGTTGGAAAACGCATCAGCGCTTATTGTTCGACTGATAGACTATCATAGATTGATTGGTATTGAATCTTTGTTGGTTGTGTGGTTGTTCTGTATATCTTACTGCCTACCTCACTCATGTACTTGAACTTTTTTTTTTTCTATGATTTGTGTTTTATAATACTGTTTATTACTTATGTGCCTTTTTCTTGATGTATGCTATACCTCATGAGTGTGCTGTTCTTGCAGTCTATACCTTAATAAAAAAACGTTTGTAAACAAAAAAAAAGTCTCTTTTATAGATGTCTTCTTGTTTTAGCTTCTTTGTGTTTGCTGTTTTCAGGCACTAAATGAGAAGTTGTGGAGTCTGGCCGCTCCCCTCTATGTGAAGCAGAATTCCCTGACTGCGACCGCTGTAAAACAGGTGACTTTTCCTAATCCTATTCATTCAGATAAAGGTGTGATGTTCAGTGAATAAATATTCGTATAAAAGGAAACTGCTGTATGTATTAAAGCAAACCTGTGCATTGACTGTCGGGAACAAAGCAGTAACCGGCAACTGTATTTACTTTGCAGTCAGCGGGTGTCATTGGACACAGCTGATCATGTGGTAAAAGGCCACTGTGATTGGCCTTTTACCTTGTCATGAGATCAAGCTGTGGGCACGCTGGGGGGTGTGCAGGGGGCGTGTTCTGGGAAGGCGTCATGAACTGGACAACCGTGCTGTAGCTGCCATTTGGCTATAGCCCGGTTGTCAAGTGGTTAAGGAGAAAATTTGAGCCTTTCCGCCCCCCGCTTACCTTTTACTGTTGTAGCGTCTGCAGAGTTTGGATACTCACCCACCTAGCCAGCAGATCCAGCATTGACCTGCTGGGATGTTCCTCTCAGGAGCCGCCCACGGGTGCAGTGTCGCCATGTTTTCTGTCACATCTGCAGGCGCCGCTAGGGTCTCCCCCTCTAAGGTGAATGAGATTGCACGTCATGCATCCCAGGAGGCAGCGGGGTGCACCATATCATCCACCTAGGCAAATGCTGGAAGTTGGGGGGGCTCGAGACTTTCAAGGGGAAAAAAAGTAAGTTACCAAAAAAATCAAAAAGGAACCCGATATCAGTGCTGCTGAGGGGAGGCCGGATGGAGAGGAGGAAACTGCTTCGGGAGGGTGAAGGTCCACTTTAAGCTTTGGAAATAAAACCTGGAAGCCGGTTGGTTTCTATGCAGAGCTTTTGCACTCTCAAGTTTTAGTAAATAAACCCCTTTATGTCTAATTGGACGGGCCATCCCGATACAGACAATGCAAATGGCCTAGTGAATCCTTAGGCCTTGTGCAGACTGGACACTTTGCTAACTCTCCTAGACTCCTTTACTCCTGGCAGCAGCGTTTCAGCAGAAAAAAACCTCTTGTAAATGCGTACAAGCTCTTGGGTGTTCATTTCATTGGCCAGAATAATAATTTATTCTGGTCATTAAAATGAATAAACACTCAAGCGTTAAACTCTTCTTTACACACGACAAGTGTTTTTTCTGTCAAAATGTCGTTACTCCTGGACGCGCTAGCTGTGGGGTTTTTTCTTTCCTCTAAACGCCCATGTGGGCAGGGACACAAAGGCTAACGTGCAGGGGCATTTAGAGGCAGATCAAAAAAAATGCTGGATGCCTCTAACAGCCATGTTATAAATGTCCAGTGTGAATGAGGCCTTAATAGTGTCAGCTGAAGGGATGCAAGGGCCTACGACTGCCATCTTGCCTAGGGTTCAATTCTTATGTTACTAACTGCACTTTTCTGTTTTTATTTACTTTTTTTTTTTTTTTTTTTTAACTTAGTGGAATTCTAGCTTCCCCTAACTAGCCTTAAAACTCCCCTCCCCCCGCCTAACATCTATGCTAATTAACCTGTGTAAGAAATATGTATATACTTACTTATTTGCAAGATACTCTGGTCTTGGCACTAGATCCGGATCCCCGTGTTAGCCAGCGTGACTTCGAGGGAGAGGAGGGATCGCTGACAACGGATTGTGCCATTGAAGTCTATGGGTGATGTCACCGCTCCCAGGCATTACAGCTGTTGGCGGAGTGCTCTCTCCTCTCCACTGCAGCCGGAGCGGGCTGACACAGGGAAGATCACATGACTGGACCAGAGTGGTCTGAAAGTAGGCAAGTTGGCAATGGGCATCTTTCTTATACAGGTTAGTCAACATAGATGTTAGGAGAGGGGAAGGAACAGTTTTAGGGCTACTTAAGTGTTAGCTGGAATTCCACTTTAAAGCGGAGCTCCACCCAAAAGGGGAAGTTCCGCTTTAAGGAGTGCTCCCCCGCTCCTCATTAAGGATTGGCACCTTTGGGGAGCGTGTACCCCAAATTTGACAGATACCCGCTCCCACTTCTGGTCCGATCGCCTAGGCGATCGGAAGCGGAAGGTGTCCTCCCTCCCTCCCTGTAGTCTTTTGGGACACATGACAGGTCCCAGAAGACTACAGGACCATTCGTGAAGCGCAGCGCTTCTCGCGCATGCACAGTGGGTACCTGGCTGTGAAGCCGCAAGCTATCACAGCCGGGTGCCCACACTGAAGATGCCGGCCTCCTGGAATACAGGACATCCGGTGAAAAGGGCTGCGGGGGGACACACCACGGGACCGATGGGACAGGTAAGTGGCTGTTTTTTAAAAGTCAGTCAAGTTTTTATAGCTGCTGATTTTTATTTTTTGACAGCGTGAGTGGAACTCCGATTTAAGGCATTGCCTTTCCTGACTTCTGATGTAGCCCCCCAGCCCCTTGGGATATCAGTTCCCTATCCAGTAAGAACGGTACATTGTATTTCAAGGGTCCACTCACCGGACAAAACCGTAGGTGTGTGGAGCTGAATGTTTGAGGACATCGGGGCCTTAGTAACAGTGAAACAATATCAGAGGGGAGCACAGAAGAGGGTTTTATTGCTCATAGAGATAACGGTGGCATCTGCTATTCGGCAGGACCTATGATCACAGGATTACTTTAACTACTTGCCTACTGGGCACTTTCACCCTCTTCCTGTCCGGGCCAATTTTTAGCTTTCAGTGCCGTCACACTTTGAATGACAGTTGCGCAGTCATGCAACACTGTACCAATATGAAATTTTTACCATTTGTTTTAGACAGAGCTTTCTTTTGGTGGTGTTTAATCACCTCTGGGGTTTTTATTTTTTGATAAATCAAAAACAACCGAAAATTGTGAAAAAAAAAAAAAAAGTTTTTTTCTTAGTTTCGGTTATACAATTTTGTAAATGAGTAATTTTTCTCCTTCACTGATGTGCGCTAATGAGGCTGCGGTGATGGGCACTGATGAGGAGGCACTGGTAGGTGTCACTGATGGGCATTGACAGGCATCACTGGTGGGCATTCACAGACATCACTGAGGGGCACTGAAAGGCAGTACTCATATATGACACTGATAGGTGGCACTGACTGGAACTGTTAGGTGTCACTGACAGGCACTGATAGGCGGCACTGACTGGCGCTGATGGGTGGCACTGATTTGCAACGCTCATAGGCAGCACTGACTGGCATTGATAGGTGGAACTGGCTGGCACAGATAGTTGGGACTGAAAGGCAGCTCAGATGGGCACTGAACTGATACTGATGTGCACTGGTAGGCACTGATATGTGGCATTGATGGGCACTGGTAGGCACTGATATGTGGCATTGATGGGCAATGACGGGTGACATTGATGGACACTGACAGGTGGCACTGAAGGGGCTACACTGATCATCAGGGCACTGATCATGAGTGCCCTGATGATCAGTGTAGATGTCCCCTCTGAGGAATACCAATTACCGGCTCTCCTCTCCTCACGAGCCGTCAGAGTGACAGCTCGTGAGGAAAAGAAATGACGAAAACCAGCATTTACTTATGTACATGCGATCAGTTTGTGATTGGACACAGCTGATCACATGACAAAGTCATCGTCTCTTTCCGCTGATCGGTGATCTGCTGTGTCCCAGAGACACAGCGCACCACCGATCGCCGCGCTGCGCAGTTAGAGTGGGATGACGTCCTCCCAGAACGAGAGATCCACCTTGCGCCTGTCATTTTTCGGGCGGTCGGCGGTTAAAATAATTGATTTGACCTTCACATTGTAACGTTCTTAGGCTTGTGCTGGAGTATACTGTACAGAAGGGATAAAGCAGGAAGGTTGGGAATGGCAAGCAGGAACTTGATTCTTTTACCCAGGCTTGATAATAGTTGTTTTTCCTTCCAGATTTTGGAAGAAACATACAAGATGGAGTTTATGTACTTCGGCCTGGAGAACCGCCAGGTAGCCATTATACATCACATGAGGGTGCAGGCAAACGCCCTCCAGCTCCTTGTGACAGCTCGGACTACTCGAGGGTAAGCGTGGCTAGGAAGAAAAGCAGCTTTATGTTCTAAGGTCAAAAGGGACTGAAGTCACACAGCTAAACACAAAAAGTTGAAACAAGTACATCATGAGGTTGATTTACTAAAACTGGGGAAGGTGAAATCTGGTGCAGCTCTGCGCGGTAGCCAATCCGTTCCAGGTTTTATTGTCAAAGCTTAACTGAACATGCTGAAGCTAGAAGCTGATTGGTTTCTATGCTGAGCTGCACCAGATTTTGCGCACTCCAGTTTGAGCAAATCAACCCCATGGAGTTTATTAAAACTGCACGGTGCAAAATCTGGTGCAAATCTACATAGAAACCAATCAGCTTCCTGGTTTTATTGTCAAAGCTTAATTGAACAAGCTGAAGCTAGAAGCTGTGTGTGAAAGACAAAATAAGAGGGCGCACAGGCCTAGTGCATTACCTTAAAAATAGTATTTATTGATAAAAGGTAAAATACTCACAAAATAAAATGATGTAAAATCAGATATACATGGGAAGCATGTCACAAGGGATTCAGAGAGGTACACATTGGCTCTGAAGAAGAGGTGCTTCCTCGAAACGCGTCAGCTACCAGCTATCCAGAGGTTTCCATTCTCCCACCAGACCACCCACAGGGGTTCCTGTACCACTCTGCATCCCTTGTGACATGCTTCCCATGTATATCTGATTTTACATCATTTTATTTTGTGAGTATTTTACTTTTTATCAATAAATCCTATTTTTAAGGTAATGCACTTGGCCTGTGCGCCCTCTTTTTTGTCTTTCACACACAGTTTCTTTTGGATATCCCTGGTCCGTTGAGGGCAGCAAGGCCTGCATTTCTCTAATCCATGTGGGGAAAACAATAGCGGGGAGTCCACAGTTCAGCGCAGGAGTACATGCATTCGGTTGCTACATTCTTCTTTCCTGAAGCTAGAAGCTGATTTGGTTTCTATGCACTCCGCGCCCTGGGGAACCCCAAGCTGTGGTTTTATAGAGCTCATCACCATAGACGTGACACCTCCACAAGGCTGAAAAGGGCTACGGGGCAATTGCCAAGCAGCTTGCCGAAAATAGATCACAGGGTGTTCAAATACTTCTGTTCCTCACTGTATGTGTGTATGTATGTATGTATGTATGTGTGTGTATATATATGTGTGTGTATGTATATATATATGTGTGTGTGTGTGTGTGTGTGTGTGTGTGTATATGTATGTGTGTGTGTGTGTGTGTGTATGTATATATATATATATATATATGTGTGTGTTATATATGTATGTGTATATGTATATGTATGTGTGTGTGTGTGTGTGTGTATATATGTATGTGTGTGTGTGTATATGTATATGTGTTGTGTGTGTGTGTGTGTGTGTATATATATATATTTATATATATATATATATATATATATATATATAGTTTCGGCTTTTAAAAAACTAAAACTATAATCTGACTTGGATTGTCCACAAATCCATTTCTTTTCTTATGGGTTGATCTACTAAAACTCTGGTGCAGTTCTGCATAGAAACCAATCAGCTTTCAGGTTTTATTGAGAAAGCTAAACTGAACAACCTGAAGTTAGAAGCTGATTGGCTGCCATGCACAGCTGAACCAGGTTTTGCACTCTTTATTTTTAGTAAATCAACCCCCATATCTTCTGCCAATGGCTTATGTAATTCTGTAAAACCACGATTTACTCCCACTGCCAGAAGGGCACCTCCACTATTCATTACTACAGCTTTTCAACTTCCATTGTCACCTGCCTGCCTCCTTGAAGTATGAATGAGGAGCATCATCGTATTGCTGAGGCCATTGACTTGCTCTGCTCCTCCTGTTGATCATTTCCCCCGAGTGCAGCCCACCTACTCAAATACTTACCTTCTTCCCCATGAAGCTCTATGAGGTGTAACTCACCTTTAGGATCAACAGCTGTTTGTGGGACTTTTCAGGTGGGAAAATATTGCATTTACATGCATTGCAGCACATGGTGTTTCTGTCATGGGAGGCCATAGTTCTACTTTTATATGCGGGGATTTACTGCTATGGTAATAATCTCCAAAACCTTGATAGCAGAATGTTTTTTTTATCACATTTGTTTTATTGCTATTGTGCGAGGATTTAGCATAGTGTATACTGGTATATAAACAGTATACATATACCTGAGGTGTGGAAAGGTGAACGAACACTATACACCCTTCCCACCCCATTCCCAGCTGTACTTACCTACATGGATGCTGAATTGTCAGTGCCCATATGGCTGGTCCAACGGTCCAGAGATTTGAAATTCCTGCTCTTCTCTGTACAGCGCTTCCAGGATGGAGCAGAGTGATTCTGATTGGTCAGCTCCATCACAGAGCATCTTGTGCATGGGCATTGATAGCTCAGCATTCACAGAGGTAAATAAAGCAGGGTTGGTGGGGTGGTTAGGATGCATGATGTTCAACTTTTTTCTGTAAAGGTGAACTAACCCTTTAAGTTCAGCTTACCATTCTAAGGGAAGGTATTTCTTGGTGTACATATAGTTTGAATAAAAATTTGGAAAGGCTAAAGTCTGTGGGTTTTTGATATTCACACACACACACACAAACACACACACACACACACTTACGTGCCCTGAAGGCAGTGCGGTACCTTACCTGCACCTTTTCGGTCTCTTGCCGGATGCTCTCTGCTCCTCCTTCCTGTGGTTGTCCCCTCAGGAACCTATGCGGGCACACTCCTGACTCTTGCTGTGTGCATCCATAGACACACACAGTGCCGGTAAGCCCCACCGGAGTTTGACTGACCGCAGCAGGAGGCTTGGGCTCCCGCTGCTGCCCGTCTCTCTTTTTTTTTTTTTTTTCTTTTTATTATATCTTTTATTAAATTTTTTCCAATACAAACAAGAAAAAAGAACTTCTAATACACAGACATAAGAAGGAAATACAAAATGCAAATACATCAAAAATACATAAATTCAGTTTGCGTTTTCTACCCCCCACCCTATCTATCTGCCTGTGTCTTCTGTGAGACCAGGAAAGAGAGGAGAGCGGTGCTGCAGCCGGGTCAGCCCTGGATCATGAGAGGTAAGTGTTCAGAGATTTTGGGGGGGGGGGGGGTCAAGTAGTGGGGAGTTTTCTACCTTAACCCTTTGATGCCGATGCCGAGCGCACGCAAATATGCGGCCGCTCGGCGTCTGGGCCTTGACACCGAGTGGCCGCATATTTGCGTGCAATTAGAAAATACATATGTGCTGAGAACATGCGCCCTGCGTGCTCCCAGCACATATGTCCATTAATCACGGAAAGGTCCCGATCTCCCCTTTTGATTGGGACCTTTTCTGATCATGTGATGGCGAATCACGGCGGTCACATGACCCTAAAACCCCGCCCGCCTCCCGGGTTCTGAAACTCTTAAAGGGCCGGGAGGTGCCGATGCCAAGTGGTTAAGGCAGAGAATGCTTTAATGCGGAGCTCCACCCAAAAGAGGAAGTTCTGCTTTAAGGACTGGCACCTTTGGGGGGGTGGGGAACTGATCCAGCGTTACTTTTGGTGGCCCAACTTGAATCAAGACTGTAGAGCCTATGTGGAAGTGGGAGGTGCCCGCTCACACGTCCGCTACGATCGCCCAGGCGATCGGAAGCGGAAGGTGTCCTCCCTCCCTCCCTCCCTGTAGTCTATTGGGACACGTGACAGGTCCCAGAAGACTACAGGACCAGTCATGAAGCGCAGCGCTACTCGCACATGTGCAGTGGGTACCTGGCTGTGAATCCGCAAGCTGTCAGACGGGTGCCCACACTGAAGATGCCGGCCTCCTGGAATACAGGACAGCCGGTGAAACGGGCTGCAGGGGACACACCACGGGACCGAGGGACAGTTAAGTGGCTGTTTTTTAAGTCAGCTGCTACAGTTTTTGTAGCTGCTGACTTTTTTTTTTTGACAGGGTGAGTGGAACTCCGCTTTTAAGATAAAAAAAAAAACTTTTTGATTTTAGAGTAACTTTAATATTGGTGTAATTTTCACATTTTGATATGCTTTACTCATCCGCATTTTTGTTTCTGTATTAAAGAGGGACTGAACTCTGGAAGCTGTGCTCAAAAAAGGGGCAAGGAGGGGGCTAAGGGGCTAGTCACCAGTATTGTCTGTAGCCTCCCTGCTGCCGCTCTTCTTCTCATTCCTGGCTTATCCTGCTTGCGGTGCTGCAGCCTCCCAGGGAGCGCGCACAAGCAGGGGGCGGGGAGGCCGCTTATAAACGGCCACCCAACCCTGCAGTGCCACCGTCCGGCCGTTTATATACAACAGCCGGACAGAAAAATGGTTAAATGGCATAATTAGTGCATAAATAAATTCTAATAAAAAAAATATACACATCAAGAAAGGACAATATCATGTGATAATATGCAAAAATATATAAGTATATAAACAAGAAATAAACATCACACACTGAAGATAATGGTGAGACAATGTACATGCATCCCTTAAACAAAGGGAAAAAAGTGACATAAATCACAAATAACGAAAGTGATAAGTAAATGGCATAAAATATGCCTGAAAAAGTGCCGTGACCAGAAGACTCGCAACTGGCGTGAATAATATCAAAGAAATATACAATAAGACTGTCAGGATGAAAACCCGACTCAAGACGAAACTTTCGGACCACACAAAGTCCTTCCACATAAATGTGTTACAAAATGGTGATAAGCGACCAAAATAAACAACTTATAACTCGTGATCAAATCCCTAATTGGGATTTATTTGTGTATAACATAGTAAATCTTCAAATCTTAACTTTTTTTTTATTCCTGGGACATATTATTATTATTATTTTTATACAGTATTTATAAAGCGCCAATAGTTCGCTCAGCGCTGTACATTACAAAGGGGAACAAAACATGTGACAGAACAATACCAATACAATGCAAAACATGAGGGGATCGAGGGCCCTGCTCCTTGGAAGCTTACAATATTAAAAAGATACATCTGTGTAAGCCAGAGAAACCTATTTTCAGCAGTTGAAAGCTCATACACTGCTGTACACAGGTCGGATATACAACATTGCAATGTGTCTATATTTGTTGTTTTTTCAGTCTGGAGCTTATTTCTCATATTCCTTGTACTTTGTGTAGGGAGGAGCCTCTGTTCGGACTTTGTGAGCAGTTCCTGCAGGAGATAGACGTCTTCCAGAGGTGAGAGTGAGTTTTATACACGTTACAGATCCCTGTGCAGAAAAAATCTGCACGTGATACTACTGTTGTGTGAACAGGGCACATAAATCCCTTGCAGATTGCGTGCGTAAAAACTGACGTCTCTGCGCTATGGTGTGAACGAGGCCTTATGCAGGTCATAGAAGAGTCAAAAACCGCCCTTTTTTATTAAAAAAAAAAAAAAAAAAAAACGAAAAATCGGTCGTGTGATCGGCCGACGTTACCACCAACAGTAAAAAAAAACGGCCGGCATTTAATTACTTCTGTCCCTGCAGAGAGCTCCGCTATTATATTTGACATGAAAAAGTATTGTGGTTGCAACAATGTATCCATTTCGGATACAGATGTTTTTATTTGGTTACAAATAGATACATTGTTGCAACCGCAAGACTTTCATATAAAATATAATAGAATTCTTCTCTCCTCCCTCCTCCCCCTCCCCCAGTTAAATTAGCACAGTGCTAAGTAGCAAAAAGTGGTCTGGCCATAACCGGCCAGAGCTGAAGTAATTACAGCAGGACTAAATGATAGAGATATATATATATATATATATATATATATAATTGTACACTGACTGTAGTGAATGCATAGTGCTGTGTACAATCCCGCGCTATTTCTGGTGTTTGTAAGAGAGGAATGCTGGGATGATGTTATTCCTGTGTTCATGCATTAGAGTGATGTCATCTGTCACCAACCAGCGGGCAAAGACCTCTGCTCCCCTACTATTTGCCCTTTCTAAATATTTTTTGTTGCCTCTCCTTCAGGTGCTTCATCTCTGAGCTCCCACACATGCAGGACAGCTTTGTGGACAAGCTGCTCGATCTGATGCCACGCCTGGTAAATTCCAAGCCTCTTCAGATGGTGAAAATCCTACAAACCACCCTACGGCAAAGCAGCTTTCTGCGCCTAACTCTTCCAGAACAGGTAACCATTGCACACCTGATGCTTGTAATACAGAACAGCGCCACCTACTGTAACAGGCTGATATAACCAACTGCCTGACCTCAATGCTGCACTTCTCACCTCTGCTGGGAAACTGTGTGCACTCAGGGAATTGACAGATTACAGAAATCCTCTGACCTCTCCTTCCCTCAAGACTCAGAGTAAATAAAGCTAAAGCAAGGGGAAATACATGCATATTATATAATATTTTATATTATAGAACAGATGGGACCCGTTCACATAGTAATGCATAATCACGTGCCATTGGTGTGTTGGCTGTGACTTTCATTGTGATGGTCACCCCAAAAATAAATGTGCATCACAGCACAATGCACAATGTTCTGGCCATTGCATTGCCAAATAATTCAGACAGAATGCACAGCTCACTGTACAAATTCGGCAATGCCGGATCTCACTAAACTCACGTGCATGCGTGGGAGCGACTTCATCCCCACCCACCAATGACAGCGACTGGCGATAGAGACCTGGAAGTCGGCTGCCCAAAGGTGTCTCCCGGGCAGGGAGCTCAAGGACGCCACATCGCTGGAGCCGAGGTGACTTATAGTTCCGTTTTAATGAGCATTTGACCCTTTGGGAGGGATGCAATGGTAGATTTTTTTTTTTAAATTGATGGAGTTTAGCTTTGACTGCAAACGGTATGATTCACCTCAGGGGTGTGCAATTTATATTGCCCGACGCCCAGGACATGTAGCTCCGGGCACTGGACAGGCAGCAGGGCTCTTCTGTCAGGTGGAAGCATTCGGGTGGCAGCGCTACTGCTGATTGCCTTACGCTGGCACCATAGTGGGCTGTGTAGAAGCAAACAACCCCCCGCCTGCTGTCTCCCAGGCTACACTTGGCTATCTGCAGGCCTGGGACCAGTCAGTGGTTGCTGGCGGGTATAGGGGAGGGAGAAGAGCGGACACATCCACTCCCCTCCCCTTCTTGTCCTGACCGGAAGTGATGTGACGTCACTTCTGGGTCCGCGTTGACAGATTCCCAGCAATGTGCACTGCATTACATTCAGCGTAGTACAGCAGAGACATCCAGGGTCTTTTAGACCCGGGACGTCTCAAAAAAGAGAATCTGTCACCAAAAATCATCACATAGAGGACTTTTTGTACTTTTGTTTTTATTTTTAAAAAATTAAAGTTACACCCAAGCATATAACCACCCCCACCCCCATTTATGTAAGCACGTACAAACATAAAATCGCTGGGGCGCCTATGCATGAAAACGACGATTGCGATACCCATGTTACATATCGCTGCACACGCTAGAATGAGATCGATAATTCTAGCACCAGACCTCCCTTGTAATGCTAAACTGATGACCTATAAGGGGCTTTAAAAGCGTCGCCTATAGAAAATATCCCAAAAGGAAAAAAGAAAACTTTTGTAATTGATTATAAAGCGTGAGTTGGAGCTTGGCTTCAACATGATATTTGTTTCCAAATCTGCTTAATCCATTTAACACTCCCATCCCCCCAGACTGATAATGCTGTTGCCTGCTGTGTCCTGGCTCATTCCTCCAAAGTGGTGTTTCAGTAATGTAGGAGATGAGTAATACCAGCCATAGACGGGTCAAAAATCGGCCGATTTTCGCACCGTTAGTGGGTTAATTAGTCGGCCGAATAATAGTCGTGGTTTTTTTTTCGGGCCTTATGCACATTTTTTTATCGGGCATGTTGGAAAATTCGCGGCCGATTTTCTCGGCAATGATGGGCAAATCGTCCGATCATTTTACTGATAAAAAATCTGCGCATGAGCCGTGACCTACAAGAAGAAGAAGAAGAAAAATTCCAGTCCACTATTATATTTTATATGAAAAAGTCTTGCGGTTGCAACAAATGTATCCATTTGTATCCGAATAAATACATCTGTATCCAAAATGGATATAAATGGATACATTGTTGCAACTGCAAGACTTTTCATATAAAATTTAATAGCGGACTGGAATTCTTCTTCTTCTTCCTCCTTCCTCCTCCTTCCTTCCTTCTCCTCCTTCCTTCCTTCTCCTCCTTCCTTCTCCTCCTTCCTTCCTTCTCCTCCTTCCTTCCTTCTCCTCCTTCCTCCTTCCTTCTCCTCCTTCCTCCTTCCTCCTCCTTCCTTCCTTCCTTCCTTCCTTCCTTCCTTCCTTCCTTCCTTCCTTCCTTCCTTCCTTCCTTCCTTCCTTCCTTCCTCCTTCCTTTCCTTCCTTCCTTCCTCCTTTCCTTCCTCCTTCCTCCTCCTTCCTTCTTCTCCTCCTTCCTTCTTCTCCTTCTTCTCCTCCTTCCTTCCTCCTCCTTCCTTCCTCCTCCTTCCTTCCTTCCTCCTCCTTCCTCCTCCTCCTTCCTCTCCTCCTCCTTCCTTCCTCCTCCTCCTTCCTTCCTCCTCCTCCTTCCTTCCTCCTCCTCCCCTCCTTCCTCCTCCTCCTCCCTTCCTTCCTCCTCCTTTCCTTCCTTCCTTCCTTCCTCCTCCCTTCCTTCCTCCTCCCTTCCTTCCTCCTCCCTTCCTTCCTCCTCCCTTCCTTCCTCCTCCTCCTCCCTTCCTTCCTTCCTCCTCCCTTCCTCCTCCTCCCTCCCCCTGTATGCTCCCCTGTCTCTGCAAGGGAGAGAAGTAATTATAGGGTTAAATGCCGGCCATAGACGAGACGAAAATCGGACGATTTTTTTTTTTTTTTTTTTTTTTTTTTTTTTTTACTGTTGGTGGTAACGTCGGCCGATCGAACGACTGATTTTTCGTTGGGTTTTTTTTTTTTAAAAACGGACGATTTTCGAACCGTCTATGGCCTGCTTTAAAGCTCAGATCACCAGGTGAAAACAGAAGGAAAAAAACAAAGAAAACTAATGCAGCCACCATATCTTATGATTGTTAAGCTGCAATATACGTCATTTTTGGTTTTGGGTTTAATTTCGCTTCAAGTGTGTTTTGGTATCTAAACCTTAATCGGGGTCCAAAACACCACATGTTTCCTGCAAGTGTGAAATCCTACTACACCATGTGATGTCATATAATCATTTCATCTCCAGATCCACAGAGCCTCGTCGTACATTATTGAGCCAGCTGCTGAGTCTGATAACCCGATCCGATTCACCTCCGGGTTGGTCGTAGCTCTGGATGTTGATGCCACATTGGAGCATGTTCAGGAGCCACAGAGCTCTGTGAAAGTCCAGGTATGGCCGGGTACAATGGGATGACTATATTAAGGGCATTATTCATGTTCTTGTACCAGGAAGATAATAGTTTTTTGTGATCTTAACTGGCAGGGAGACTACCAGAGAAAAAAGGGGAAAGAAAACAAGCGCAGGACCCTCATTTTATCCACCATGAGTCTTGCCCTGAAGAATGACAGCAGATGAATGAGTGTCCTGCCTTTGGCACACTTTCGCCTAGATCATGGGCGTCAAACTGGCGGCCGTCCGGCTGTTGCCAAACTACAAGTCCCATGAGGCATTGGAAGATTGACAGTTACATGCATGACTCCTAAAGGCAGAGGCATGATGGGATTTGTAGTTTCACAACAGCTGGAGGGGGCCGCCAGTTTGACACCCCTGGCCTAGATTGTCTGTTGCTCTTTTCACCAGCTGCCATTCTGTAGGATGTACTGTTGCTGGATCACAGAGACACATTACCGATCATGACCGGAACCTAGACACTTTGGTTGATATCTAGGTTTGTTGTAACAGTGATTCTGAAAGGATTAGTTTAGGAGGCACTGCTTGTAAAACACACAGCTCTGTCTCTGTTTGTTAACCACTTCCCGTCCGGCCCATGTATATAAACGGCCGGATGGGAGCAGTGCAGGAGCGGGTTGCTGTTCATAAACAGTGCCCGCATTTTCAGCCTGTGTGTGCTCCCTTGGAGCGCGAGGCACCACGATCCGGTGCCCGCTGAGTCCACTGATCGCTGTACGGGACCTCTGTGTGAAGTCCCGATCCTGTGATCACTGATTGGCCAATCAGTAATCACATGAATAGTAGTAAGCAAGATGTCACTTCCTGACATCATTGCTTACTACTAGTGGAATCTGTGAATGATCCCAGAGATCCCATGGTACAGGGCTATTCCCAACAGCCTTGTACCATGCGACCAATCACAGCTCGCACAGTATTGCTTACTACTAGTGAAATCTGTGAATGATCCACAGAGATCCATGGTACAGGGCTATTCACAACAGCCTTGCACCATGCTCGCACAGTATTGCTTACAATCTGTGTTCATACATGGTAGGGCTTTCTCAAATGCACCATGCTACCTCTCAGCAGTATTTCTCAATGGCTGCAGGAATGCCCTCAAAGGGCCGGTTGTATCTGTAAGACTAGATGTCCAGATCGCCCCTCCTTACATAAGATGTCAAGATAAGATGTCAAGAGCCCCCCCCGCACACCATCAGAAGTCAAGAGTCCCCCACCCTCTCATCACAGTGCACCCCCCTTATCTTGTGCTGCTGCTATGGAGAAGCTGGGGGCTCGAGCTAGGAAGCAGAAAGTGCAGGGTCTGGAGGAGAACCAGAGTAGGGCTGGAGTCAGCTGACGGAGTCTGCTGAATGCTGAGACCAGGGAAGGCAGAGGCTAGGGGATGCTGTGGCTGCACAGAGAAGTGCAGGATCTGTAGGAGGAGTTCTGTCCTCCTCTCTGCTGCCAACTGCTGAGACGGGGACAGAGACAAGCCTCTCCACGGCTGCATGGAGAATGGAGGAGGAGTTCTTCTCTCTGCTGCTGACTGCTGACACAAGGTGGGGGTGAAGATGAGGGGGGTGCTACAGCTGCAGGAGAGGTGTGAGGGCCACATGAAATGGCCTTGTGTTTGACACGTGCTCACCTGACCCAGCTGCTTGTGATTTTATCTAAGGCTTCTGTCCTCAGGGAATGAGTCCCTCCCTCCCTGCCTGAGCCACCCATTCTCCCAGAGATATCGGGGTTTTTCAGTTTTTACAGTATCTAGCATCTTTTGATTTTTTTTTTTTCCTCCAGTTAAGTTACTGCTGGGCCGTCACCTGAATTGAATCAATACAGAACAGTGGTCCTTCCCCATTTTTCCTCTGTGATCTCTTGATCTATCAATACAGAACAGTGGTCCTTTCCCATTTTCCTCTGTGATCTTCATTCTATCAATACAGAACAGTGGTCCTTCCCCATTTTCCTCTGTGATCTTCGATCTATCAATACAGAACAGTGGTCCTTTCCAATTTTCCTCTGTGATCTTCGATCTATCAATACAGAACAGAACAGTGGTCCTTCCCCATTTTCCTCTGTGATCTTCGATCTATCAGTACAGAACAGTGGTCCTTCCCCATTTTCCTCTGTGATCTTCGATCTATTAATACAGAATAGTGGTCCTTCCCCATTCTCCTCTGTGATCTTCGATCTATTAATACAGAATAGTGGTCCTTCCCCATTCTCCTCTGTGATCTTTGATCTATTAATACAGAACAGTGGTCCTTCCCCATTTTCCTCTGTGATCTTCGATCTATCAATACAGAACAGTGGTCCTTCCCCCATTTTCCTCTGTGATCTTCGATCTATCAATACAGAATAGTGGTCCTTCCCCATTCTCCTCTGTGATCTTTGATCTATTAATACAGAATAGTGGTCCTTCCCCATTTTCCTCTGTGATCTTCGATCTATTAATACAGAATAGTGGTCCTTCCCCATTTTCCTCTGTGATCTTCGATCTATTAATACAGAATAGTGGTCCTTCCCCATTCTCCTCTGTGATCTTCGATCTATTAATACAGAATAGTGGTCCTTCCCCATTCTCCTCTGTGATCTTTGATCTATTAATACAGAATAGTGGTCCTTTCCCATTCTCCTCTGTGATCTTTGATCTATTAATACAGAATAGTGGTCCTTCCCCATTTTCCTCTGTGATCTTCGATCTATTAATACAGAATAGTGGTCCTTCCCCATTCTCCTCTGTGATCTTCGATCTATTAATACAGAATAGTGGTCCTTTCCCCATTCTCCTCTGTGATCTTCAATCTATTAATACAGAATAGTGGTCCTTCCCCATTCTCCTCTGTGATCTTCAATCTATTAATACAGAATAGTGGTCCTTCTCCATTTTCCTTTGTGATCTTCGACTTGCTTGCTATTCAGCTGGGGTCTGACAGAGCTGGCGGGGTTATATGGATACACTGGGGGTCACTCCCAGCAAAGCGTTTGCCAATGTCTAACCATTTGAAAGTAGCGGCATATAAACCATGGTGTAAGAATAGATTCCTGTGTCCTGTACTGGATTCCAGTGTATGGCATATACAGGAATGTCAAAATCCTATTTTTAAAACTTTTACAAGCAAAAATCAGCACCTGAATATATCGATCAAGGTAGACTGACCTTTTAGTAAATTTAAGCCTTCTTGTAGGGGTCTGAGATGTTTACTTTTATATGTGCATTCATCGTTGAAAAGTGTCCCTGTCTTCCCTCCTCCAGGTTGTTTACCCAGATGGGCAGGTTCAAATCATCCATCCTAAACCAGCAGATTTCCGGAACCCAGGTCCCGGCAGACACCGGCTGATCACGCAGGTGTATCTGTCTCACACAGCATGGACAGGTAATCAATAGGATCATCACATACCCAATGGGTCTTATTTATGTAAATGTTTGGGGGGAACGTTGTTTCAATCTCTCTCGCCCATAGCAGCCTTTGTGATTCTCCTGTGGGACAATCTGTTGTAAATTGCTCAGGTGCAGGGCCGGACTGACAATTTGGAAACTCGGGCACTGCCCGAGGGCCCGGGGTCAGTAGGGGGCCTCATGAGATGCCCCTGGTACCTTTTTCATAGGCTTTTTTGAGTGTGGACAAGGACACAAGGGCCCCATGATCCCCTATTGCCCAGGGGCCCCATGAGTTGTCAGTCTGCCCCTGCTCAGGTGCAACAATATTAAAAGAAAAATTTCTTCAGATCATTTCCACAAACACTGCTAGGTGCCTGTCCAGCTCATTGCTGAGGATATGTACAATAGAGCAATGGATGACAGCAGTCCAGCATTAAATCCAAATTCTTTCCATCCATTGAAAAGGGATACAACAGATAATGAGATCTAATACACGCCTGACGCTCACAGGCACTTATTCATAGAGACTCTTAAACATAAGCAACCATGAACATGAAACTCATAAGAGAGCTTGCTACCTGTTGTACCTTGTTTTTTTGGACTCCTATAAAGAATTTGAGTTTAATGCTTAAAGTGTTACTAAACCCAGGACCCTGCACTCACTATATCTGGTCTCCCAGGACCCCGCACTCACTATATCTGGTCTCCCAGGACCCCGCACTCACTATATCTGGTCTCCCAGGACCCCGCACTCACTATATCTGGTCTCCCAGGACCCCGCACTCACTATATCTGGTCTCCCAGGACCCCGCACTCACTATATCTGGTCTCCCAGGACCCTGCATTCACTATATCTGGTCTCCCAGGACCCCGCATTCACTATATCTGGTCTCCCAGGACCCCGCATTCACTATATCTGGTCTCCCAGGACCCTGCATTCACTATATCTGGTCTCCCAGGACCCTGCATCTGGTCTCCCAGGACCCCGCATTCACTATATCTGGTCTCCCAGGACCCCGCATTCACTATATCTGGTCTCCCAGGACCCCGCATTCACTATATCTGGTCTCCCAGGACCCCGCACTCACTATATCTGGTCTCCCAGGACCCCGCACTCACTATATCTGGTCTCCCAGGACCCCGCATTCACTATATCTGGTCTCCCAGGACCCGCATTCACTATATCTGGTCTCCCAGGACCCCGCATTCACTATATCTGGTCTCCCAGGACCCCGCATTCACTATATCTGGTCTCCCAGGACCCCCCACTATATCTGGTCTCCCAGGCCCGCATTCACTATATCTGGTCTCCCAGGACCCCGCATTCACTATATCTGATCTCCCAGGGGGACCCTCATTTACTATATCTGGTCTCCCAGGACCCTGCATTCACTATATCTGGTCTCCCAGGACCCCGCATTCACTATATCTGGTCTCCCAGGACCCCTCATTTACTATATCTGGCCTCCCGGACCCTGCATTCACTATATCTGATCTCCCAGGACCCCACATTCACTATATCTGATCTCCCCGGACCCCGCATTCACTATACCTGTTCTTCTTGGACAACAATTGTATTTCCATGTTCTGTGTACTGTGGGAGACCAAATATAGTGAATGCAGGGTCCAGGACAGACCAATATAGTGAATGCGGGGTCCGGGGAGACCAGATATAGTGAATGCGGGGTTCGGGGAGACCAGATATAGTGAATGCGGGGTCCTGGGAGACCAGATATAGTGAATGCGGGGTCCGGGGAGACCAGATATAGTGAATGCGGGGTCCTGGGAGACCAGATATAGTGAATGCGGGGTCCTGGGAGACCAGATATAGTGAATGCGGGGTCCTGGGAGACCAGATATAGTGAATGCGGGGTCCTGGGAGACCAGATATAGTGAATGCGGGGTCCTGGGAGACCAGATATAGTGAATGCGGGGTCCTGGGAGACCAGATATAGTGAATGCGGGGTCCTGGGAGACCAGATATAGTGAATGCGGGGTCCTGGGAGATCAGATATAGTGAATGCGGGGTCCTGGGAGATCAGATATAGTGAATGCGGGGTCCTGGGAGACCAGATATAGTGAATGCGGGGTCCGGGGAGACCAGATATAGTGAATGCGGGGTCCTGAGAGACCAGATATAGTGAATGCGGGGTCCTGAGAGACCAGACATAGTGAATGCAGGGTCCTGGGAGACCAAATATAGTGAATGCAGGGTCCGGGGAGACCAGATATAGTGAATGCGGGGTCCTGGAAGACCAGGTGAAGACCGGGGAGACATATAGTGAATGCAGGGTCCGGGGAGACCAGATATAGTGAATGCGGGATCCTGGGAGACCAGATACAGAGAATGCAAGAACATGGGTTTAGAAACACTTTAAAACTCACCACACACTTGGGAGTGAATTCTGTTCCTGGCCTTGCTGGAATCTAAAATAATAACTTTTTATTGAAGATATGTTGACCTAGCAATACATTAATGAATTTAGGCAGACTTGCATTTTTACCGCAAAACCCTCTTTAAGTGCAATTACAAGGAGTCTGGGGTAAATTCCTGATAGTACACATAAAGTAAGCAGTGTACTACTCCCAGCTCTTTAGGAACCACATAACCCAGCATGCCCATTTGGAGCCAAAGGGTGGCCAAGCCTGATGTACATGGCACACTAATAGAGAGAAGGGTTCAGTCTGTAAGTATCAGCCTTGTAGTTTTCCTTTGTTCTCTCTATATATTACTGTAATTCTATATCCTTCCCTGACATTACATCGTATATTTCATTTTCTTCCCACAGAGCCGTGTCAGATCGAAGTACGACTCCTACTTGCCTACAGCTCCAGCCGCAGCAAAATATTAAACCGATCGTGTAAACCGGCATGGGGGGAGAGCATGGACACCCTGCCTGCCGTGGACAGCACCATAGAAGGCACTATTCCCTTCAGCAAACCCGTTAAAGTCTTCTTGATGCCCAAACCCGCCAGGCGGTAACATATCTAGAGTTGGGTATGTGCGTTGTAACGTAACCAGGGAATATGGACTCCTATCTCCGGTGGTAGCCTGTCACAGCGATCCATCTCATTTCTTGTCACGTGGTGCTGTTCTGCAAGATGGAGTCCTACCACCGTCCCTGGGATCTGTCCGTGTGGTTGGCAGAAGAACAGACACACAGGCAGATGCTGGTCATCTTGTGATGTAAATGAAAGAGGTTCTCCAGGAACTGTCATTTACAAGCCCTAGACATGCAGGGAAACCTGTATTGAAACACGTGTTTAGGCTTCCATTGCTGACTTTCTTTTAAAATGCTGGTTTGCTGGCTGCCGTGCTGATCCAGCTGCATCAATATTTAGGTTCCCTGACTCATAACAAAAATGAAGATGAGGAATCCTTTAGCAAGAAACAACCAGGCAACTAGCACTGAAGGAAGGATCAGAAACACAGAAATGGAATGCCAGAAGTGTGCTTTCAAAGTGAAGAAAATCAAAAGAATATTTATACCAATCCGTCACATTTTGGACTCTTTTTGGACTTCAGCAGAATCCTTAATCTGACATTTTGGGATTCTTTCATTTAACAGAAGAACCAAAGACTGTGTGAGGTCTGAGCCCTTATCTAAGATCAGCATTGCTGGGACAGCTAGATTGTTGGGGGAGCTACTTACCTATCCAGCGGCCCGTGTCTGGAAGAGCCACCACATCTCCATTCTTCAGTCATTGCAAGTATTCAGACATCAGACGTGTTGAATACGTCTTCCCTCCCCATCAGGTGTTTGTGGTTTGTCCAGCCCTCTTGTAGTGACACACAAACCGGCAGGAGGTACCACAGCGGCTGGTGGGGGAGCAAGTTTTTTACACCTTTTGGAAGTGTGGAATACATGCAGCAGCTAGGGAGGGGGGATGTGTTTTTTTTTTTTTTTATATACATGCACAGGCCCCTGGTAAGGTTAGTATATAAATGATTCTTTTATGTGTCCTGTAGGAACTAATGAGCTGAGGGTCAGCGTCCAGACCGTGACCAATTGGCTGCAATTTAACTCTTTAAACTCCTTTAAACTTTAGTGGAATAAAATGTTGCTTTGTATAAGAGACTTTTTGTAACTTTTTTGTTTTTCTTTTTTATAGTGTGGTTACAAAGAAAATGAGTGAGGGTTTGTTTTTGTTTTTTTCATGGTCTAATTGGGCTGTGGCCTATGTGGGGTTCTAGAAGATGCAACAAGGCTCCTGATTCTTCGATTGTGCCAAGAAAGTTTCCCATCTTTGCACACTGCCATGCTGGAAGACAGATATGTGAAGTCTTAGGACCTATTGCACAGTATTGGCTAGGTAGAGCTTACTATGATCCATTTGTGTGTATCCTTAAGCCCCGGTTCACATATATGCAGCCGTGCGGGCTGCGTTTTGCACGGGCACGAGAGCCCATTCATTTGAATGGACTCTCGTGCCCGGTGACACGCAGTGAAATCTGCACTTTTTCAGAAAACGCGACCCACACGGGAACCTCGGTTCCCAGTACGGTTGCGTTTTCCAGTGCGGGCGGCGTGCCATTAGAATTAACGACACCCGCCCGCAGATCCGCATTTCTCTGTGCGGGTGGTGCGGCTTCACGGATTTTCGTGTGGATCCGCAGCGGCACCACCCGCACAGATGTGAACCTAGCCTTAACCTCTTTGTGCTGAGCTGCCGCACATTTGCTTGCAATTAAGAAAAACATATGTGCTGAGGGCGCGTGCTATGCGCGCGCTCCCAGCACACATGTCCAGTACTCACGGAAAGGTCCCCATCTCCTCTTTCGATTGGGACCTTTCCCAATCATGTGACCGCTGTGTCGGTGAATCACGCCAGTCATTTGACCTTAAAACTCCGCCCCGCCTCCCGGCTTCTGAAACCCTTAAAGGGCTGGGAGGCGCCGGCGCCAAGGGGTTAAGGATAAGTTCACCTCAGGGGCGGACTGACAACTTCGGGCAATAGGGGATCATGGGGCCCCTGTGTCCTCACCCACACCCAAAAAAGCCTATGAAAAAGCCAATGAAAAGGTACCAGGGGCATCTCATGGGGCCCCCTACTGACCCCGGGCCCTTGGGCAGTACCTGAGTGTTCGAATGGTCAGTCCGCCCCTGGTTCACCTTTTGGATAAATATATTAAATGCACTTTTTTTTTTTTGCAGGTAAAAAAAATGTGCTTTTATTATTTTTGTCCAAAGAAGCCTGTAAAGCGTTGCACCAGCGATCTGTCAGAATCTCCTAGATTTGCTGAAGCCTGTATTTGCTTTGGAATAAATCACCTCTAACATTGGTTGTCCTACGTGTGTGGATGTTGCTGCATTATATAAACTATTAGAATAGTTTTTCACATTTCAGAATAGGGTGCCCTTTTAATATTATGGCCAGTCTTGAGGCCCCCCATTTTAGAATGGGGTGCCTCGGGACTGTCCATCATTTTATAGGGTGCCTCGGGACTGTCCATCATTTTATAGGGTGCCTCGGGACTGTCCATCATTTTATAGGGTGCCTCGGGACTGTCCATCATTTTATAGGGTGCCTCGGGACTGTCCATCATTTTATAGGGTGCCTCGGGACTGTCCATCATTTTATAGGGTGCCTCGGGACTGTCCGTCATTTTATAGGGTGCCTCGGGACTGTCCATCATTTTATAGGGTGCCTCGGGACTGTCCGTCATTTTATAGGGTGCCTCGGGACTGTCCGTCATTTTCAAGGGTGCCGGGACTGTCCATTATTTTAAAGGGCGCCTTGCCTGAAAAAAAGTTGAGAAACACTGACTTAGAAGGCCACAGGTTCGCTGTAACGTAGTCTCTACTTGGCTGATAAAATCCAGCATCTCCCACGTGGCCAAATATATTCATGGGCTAACATCGACACATTCAGCAACGTTTTCTGATGAATTGGTAAATTATTGGTCTGCCTGTAGAATGAAAGCTGTGGGGTTTTTTTTTTTTTTTTTTTTTCAGAAAGCCTTTTGTATTACTTAAATACATTTCTGTATATGTGTGATATTTTATCTTGTAAAAATGTTTTTAATGTATAAATATAATTAAATTCAAAGTCATCTTGTAGCAATTTATTAGACTTATGCAGGCCATAGATGGGTCGAAAATCAGCCGAAATGTCGTCCGAAAGAATAATGGGCCGATTTTCGGATCGTTAGTGGGTGAATTTGTCGGAAGTTTTTCGTGATTTTGACACATTTTTTTTATTCGGTTATGTTGGAAAAAAACGTCCGATTTTGTCGATCGGCCGATTTTCACGGCAATGATGGGCAAATCGGCCAATCTTTTTACCGATTAAAAAAATGCGCATGAGCCATGACCTGCAAGAAGAAGAAGATGAAGACAAAGAACATCTGTATCTATTTGTATCCATTTTGGATACAGATGTTTCTATTCGGATACAAATAGATACAATGTTGCAACTGCTATACTTTTAAATGTCAAATATAATAGTGGAGTGTCCCTGCAGAGATCTCTGCTATTATATTTGACATTTAAAAGTCTAGCGGTTGCAACATTGTATCTATTTGTATCCGAATAGAACCATCTGTATCTGAAATGGATACAAATAGATACAATGTTGCAACTTTGCTATACTTTTAAATGTCATATAATAGCTGAGCTCTCTGCAGGGACACCGCTATTATATTTGCCGGCTGTAGACGGGACGAAAATCAGCCGATTTGTTTTTTTTTTTTTTTTTTTAACCAATGGTGGTAACGTCGGCTGATTGAACAACCGATTTTTCGTTTTAAAAAAAAAAAAAAAAAAAAACGGCTGGTTTTCGACCCGTCTATGGCCTGCATTAGGGCTCATGTACATTGCAGCTGATAAACATTTAGGAGCTGTTGAGTGTTTTTTTCAGCAGCCCCTGAACTCTCCCTAATGTTTTCCTATGTGTCCATGTACACATCTTCGTTTAGAAACATCCACCCACATCGGCAGCGCTCCTGTCCGGCTGTTTATCGGCATGGGCCCGAACGGGAAGAGGTTAAGCTGCCAGGTTGTGGAAATTTTTTGAAAAAGAACTACTATGGACTAAATTGGTGCCCCAATCTACTTGTCCCCCATGACAATATACTTGTCCAGATAAAAACAAAAACTTTTTTTTTTAACCAAAACCGTATTTAAATCGGTGGTGATATTATAATGTTGTTGTTTTTTTGTTTTTTTTAAAGGGGGTTTTATGGCAACTTAAACGTTTAATATTTTTAACATTGCGCTGTTTATCTCCAACCCCCCCACCCCGCCTCTCTCCAGCACCGCACCCGGGGACTAGCAGGGAGCAGAGAGATACCATGCAGTGAATGAGGAAAGAACACACCGAGGGCACACAGGCCTAGTGCATTACCATAAAAAATGTTTAATGAGAAATAAAGTAGGTGACAAAGTCAAGGCACGTCATAAAAAGAACAGCTGGGTCAACACCGCGATGAGTAACAGTCCACAATAGGGAGTGTAGACATCCAATAGGCTGACGCGTTTCAAGGACTTGCCTCTTCCTCAGAGCCCTTCAGCCCACCATGCAGTGTAATGAGCACTGATTGGCTGCTTGTCAGAAAAGGGGCGTGTCGGGCTTATCCTTTATCCCTTTCGTTGCCAGAGCCGTTTTTGCACAAGATTGAAAAAAATCATTTTAGGCCTGAAGATTACACAAAACTCCCAAACATGATATATTTTCTGAAATCCGAGACCCTGGAAAATAAAATAGTGGTAGTGCCAAGTTTTTATGTCTCATGATATTAATGCAAAATTTCAGTAAAAAATACATGTTTGCTAATTTTAGGGCACAAAAAAGCCATAAATTACCCTTTTTTTTGTAAAATATAAAAGGACAGAATTCTCATCATTTCTTGCTGCAACAAGACTTTTGAATCGTCCCTTGTGGTAATGTACGCAATTGCCATGGTGTCTGACCAAGCATGATCAGATGGCCATCTTTTCGAGATGTCCAGTGTTGCAGGGACAGCCAAATTGCTCAAAGTTC